GTTTTTACTATATGCATATAGGGAAAATCAATGACCCCCTGGGGCGGGGCCAATTTTGACCCCAGGGCTTTTATTTGAACAAACTTGGTAGACACTCACTAGAAGATGTTTCATGCCAAATATCTAAGCTCTAGCTATTATGGTTTTTTTAAAGAAAAAAATATTTAAAGTTTTTTCTTTCGGTTGCCATGGCAACCAGAGTTCTGCATGGAATTAAATTCTTTGAACAATTTTTAAAGGTGACCACCAAAGAAACATTCCTGTGAAGTTTGGATGAAATTGGCTTAGTGGTTTATGAGGAGATGTCATTTAAAGTAAAAGTTTACGGACGGACGCCGGATGGACGCCGGACGGACGCCGGACGAAAAGCGATCACAAAAGCTCACCCTGTCACTTTGAGACAGGTGAGCTAAAAAGGGGACAGACGGATGGAAAAAGTGGCAACTATATGCTCTCCTTTTGGAAAGCATAAACAAGAGGGCCATGATGGCCCTGAGGTCGCTCACCTGTATATAGCCCCCCCCCCCCCCCCCCCCGGGTCAATTTTTACCCAAGGGCTTTTATTTGAACAGACTTGGTAGACACCCATAAGAAGATGTTTCATGCTAAACATCTAAGTTCTAGCTCATTGGGTTTTTTAAAAGAAGATTATTAAGTTTTTACTATACACATATAGTTAAAAACAATGACACCCCTGGGGCAGGGCCAGTTTTGACCCCCGGGCTTTTATTTGAACAAACTTTGTAGATATTTACTTAAAGATGTTTCATGTATAATATCTAAACTCAAGCTATTTGAGTTTTTTCAAAGAAGATTTTTAAGTTTTTGCTATACACATATAAGGAAAATCAATGAACCCCGGGGCAGGGCCAGTTTTGAACCCAGGGCTTTTATTTGAACATACTTGGTAGACACCCATTAGAACATGTTTCATGCTAAATATCTTAGCTCTAGCTCTTTGAGTTCTTTAAAAGAAGATTTTTTAAGTTTTTACTATATGCATATAGGGAAAATCAATGACCCCCTGGGGCGGGGCCAATTTTGACCCCAGGGCTTTTATTTGAACAAACTTGGTGGACACTCATTAGAAGATGTTTCATGCTAAATATCTTAGCTCTAGCTCTTTGGGTTCTTTAAAAGAAGATTTTTAAGTTTTTACTATATGCATATAGGGAAAATCTATGACCCCCTGGGACGGGGCCAATTTTGACCCCAGGGCTTTTATTTAAACAAACTTCGTAGACATTCACTAGAAGATGTTTCATGCCAAATATCTAAGCTCTAGCTCTTCAATTCTTTAAAAGAAGATTTTTAAGTTTTTACTATATGCATATAGGGAAAATCAATGACCCCCCGGGGCGGGGCCAATTTTGACCCCAGGGCTTTTATTTGAACAAACTTTGTAGACACTCACTAAAAGATGTTTCATACTTAATATCTAAACTCTAGCTATTTGGGTTTTTTCAAAGAAGATTTTTTAAGTTTTTGCTATACACATATAAGGAAAATCAATGACCCCCGGGCGGTGCCAATTTTGACCCCCAGGGCTTTTATTTGAACAAACTTGGTAAACACCTATTAGAACATGTTTGATGCTAAATATCTCAGCCATAGCTCTTTGAGTCCTTTAAAAGAAGATTTTTTAAGTTTTTACTATATGCATATAGGGAAAATCAATGACCCCCTGGGGCAGAGCCAACTTTGACCCCAGGGCTTTTATTTGAACAAACTTGGTAGACACCTATTAGAACATGTTTGATGCTCAATATCTTAGTCATAGCTCTTTGAGTTCTTTAAAAGAAGATTTTTTAAGTTTTTACTATATGCATATAGGGAAAATCAATGACCCCCCGGGGCGGGGCCAATTTTGACCCCAGGGCTTTTATTTGATCAAACTTGGTAGACACTCTCTAGAATATGTTTCATGCCAAATATCTTAGCTCTAGCTCTTTGGGTTCTTTAAAAGAAGATTTTTAAGTTTTTACTATATGCATATAGGGAAAATCAATGACCCCCTGGGGCGGGGCCAATTTTGACCCTAGGGCTTTTATTTGAACAAACTTGGTAGACACTCATTAGAAGATGTTTCATGCCAAATATCTAAGCTCTAGCTCTTACGGTTCTTTAAAAGAAGATATTTAAAGATTTTTCTTTCTGTTGCCATGGCAACCAGAGTTCTGCATGAAATGGAATTCTTTGAACAATCTTGATAGAGCTTCATACAAAGAGTATTCCTGCCAAGTTTCATTAACATTGGCCTTGCGGTATCATAGAAGATGTCCTTAGAATATTTAAAATGTGGACGGACGACAGACGACGGACGCCATTTGGTTGGCCATCCTAAAAGCTCACCTGCACTTTGTGCAAGGTGAGCTAAAAACAACAAAACATCAAGAAGATAATTTTTGTTTATGTTCATGGATATCACAAGTCATTTGTTAACAAGAGGGCCATGATGGCCCTGAGGTCGCTCACCTGTATATAGGCCCCCCCACCCCCGGGCCAATTTTTACCAAAGGGTTTTTATTTATTTATTTGAACAGACATGGTAGACACCCATAAGAAGATGTTTCATGCTAAACATCTAAGTTCTAGCTCATTGTGTTTTTTAAAAGAAGATTTTTAAAGTTTTTACTATACACATATAGTTAAAAACAATGACACCCCTGGGGCAGGGCCAGTTTTGACCCCCGGGCTTTTATTTGAACAAACTTTGTAGATATTTACTTAAAGTTATGTTTCATGCTTAATATCTAAACTCTAGCTATTTGGGTTTTTTCAAAGAAGGTTTTTAAGTTTTTGCTATACACATATAAGGAAAATCAATGACCCCCCCCCCCCGGGCGGGGCCAGTTTTGACCCCAGGGCTTTTATTTGAACATACTTGGTAGACACCCATTAGAACATGTTTCATGCTAAATATCTTAGCTCTAGCTCTTTGAGTTCTTTAAAAGAAGATTTTTTAAGTTTTTACTATATGCATATAGGGAAAATCAATGACCCCCTGGGGCGGGGCCAATTTTAACCCCAGGGCTTTTATTTGAACAAACTTGGTAGACACTCATTAGAAGATGTTTCATGCTAAATATCTTAGCTCTAGCTCTTTGGGTTCTTTAAAAGAAGATTTTTTAAGTTTTTACTATATGCATATAGGGAAAATCTATGACCCCCTGGGGCGGGGTCAATTTTGACCCCAGGGCTTTTATTTGAACAAACTTGGTAGACACTCACTAGAAAATGTTTCATGCCAAATATCTAAGCTCTAGCTCTTATGGTTCTTTAAAAGAAGATTTTTTAAGTTTTTACTATATGCATATAGGGAAAATCAATGACCCCCGGGTTGGGGCCAATTTGACCACAGGGCTTTAATTTGAACAAACTTGGTAGACACTCACTAGAAGATGTTTCATGCTTAATATCTTAGCTCTTGCTCTTTGGGTTCTTTAAAAGAAGATTTTTTAAGTTTTTACTATATGCATATAGGGAAAATCAATGACCCCCTGGGGCGGGGCCAATTTTGACCCCAGGGCTTTTATTTGAACAGACTTGGTAGACATTTACTAGAAGATGTTTCATGCTTAATATCTAAGCTCTAGCTCTTAAGGTTCTTAAAAAGAAGATTTTTTAAGTTTTTACTATATGCATATATGGAAAATCAATGACCCCCCGGGCGGGGCCAATTTTGACCCAAGGGCTTTTATTTGAACAAACTTGGTAGACACTCACTAGAAGATGTTTCATGCCAAATATCTTAGCTCTAGCTCTTTGGGTTCTTTAAAAGAAGATTTTTTAAGTTTTTACTATATGCATATACGGAAAATCATTGACCCCCTGGGGCGGGGCCAATTTTGACCCCAGGGCTTTTATTTGAACAAACTTGGTAGACACTCACTAGAAGATGTTTCATGCCAAATATCTAAGCTCTAGCTCTTAGGGTTGTTTAAAAGAAGATATTTAAAGATTTTTCTTTTGGTTGCCATGGCAACCAGAGTTCTGCATGGAATTAAATTCTTTGAACAATTTTTAAAGGTGACCACCAAAGGAACATTCCTGTGAAGTTTGGATGAAATTGGCTCAGTGGTTTATGAGGAGATGTCATTTAAAGCAAAAGTTTACGGACGGACGACGGACGGACGGACGGACGCCGGACGAAAAGCGATCACAAAAGCTCACCCTGTCACTTTGTGACAGGTGAGCTAAAAATCACATTTAAACTATAATTTCTATCAAAATATATATTCATATACATGTCAATTCCTAAACAAAGCTTATAAATGTGAAAAAGCATATTGCCTTTGGTTTCTTTTCTTGTATTTTATTATTTGTTGAAATGTAAAATTAACTTCTATAATGATGCAAATAAACTCTTCTTTGGATTGTCTTAAACACTTCATACATGGCGCTGTTTATACTGTTACAATGGTGCTGTATATATCATGAAGAATCTTAACGTGTACAAATAATGTATTTCTACATCATAGTCCAATAGTTACTTACATGTGTGCATGAAAATTATATATTGCGTTCTGTTCTTTTTTGGCATATTTCTTGATTCAAATGTCGTTACTTCACAAAAATAGTTACAAGTTACACTGCTATGATGACTTTATATTTGAATCACTTTTTTTATTGCACAAGAGTCCACATAGCCTTCATCATCTTAATTTAGTGCACCTATTTTCTGCATTTCTTTGAAAACAGTCTAAAGTTGCTGGGTTTTCTTATAAACTTCTCTCCAATAACAATTTGTATTACCGGTATTATAAATTAATTAAATAAGTTGCTGATGCGATATATGGAAGAATATATTCTATATTCTGACATATGAGCAGTGTCATGACAAAACCAACATAGTGCGTTTGCGACCAGCATGGATCCAGACCAGCCTGCGCATCTGCGCAGTTTGATCAGGATCCATGCTGTTCGCTATCAGGATCCATGCTGTTGGCTATCAGTTTTTCTACTTGTAATAGAGTTGGTAATCGAACAGCATGGATCCTGATCTGTGCTGGTCACAAACCCATTATGTTGGTTTTGTCATGGCACGGCTCATATATCCTGTCAGCAACTTGTATAACTAATAGTATAAATTGTTAAATAGCAAACAACCACTTATAATATTAGTTATAAAGACATCTGACAAGTTTATATAGTTTGATATAGAAAGTTGAAAGCTGCTAAGCAAGTGTTTATTGCAAACCCACTTACATAGGGCAATTAACATGTCAGACATCTTAATAAAAATTAATACACCTGATACAGTAGAATTACTTTACTGGAAAAAAAACAACAACAAAAAATACCTTATAAAGTGACAGTAGCCATTTATATAGATTATCTAAACATCAAAATTATCTAAATAAAGCAACATTACAAATGTGCAATATTATAAATTGCCAATAAAATCTATTTATAATGCTTGTAATAGTAATCAACTCTATTATTAATTTCACACAAATTAATACATAAATTTAAAATTGTCATGTATAAAGATGATATATACATGTATACATGTGCATGTTCTTCCGGAAATGCCTATGACATGGAATAAAAGTTGACAACTAGTTATTGTATTCTTGTAAATCTGGATATATACGATATAAGGACATAACAGACTATCGAATTTGGTTCCAGCAAGTCAAGGGTTAAATTCATACTGAAATTTACATATTTCAAATGATATGGTATTAAAAGTATTAAAAAATGAATGGAATGAATTGTAGAATTTCAAATGAGAGACAAAGGTCTTTTTCACAAAATGTTTGTAGTATTCTTCGTCAATGGATTTCTTAGTCTTTTAACACATGATGCAAAACACTTTTTTCATGCAGATATATACTGCCAGTATAAGACAAGGCAAACCTGTACATCAATGCAGTCTAACTGGGCTCTAAACTGTTGGTTTCTTAATTTTAGATTCTTTAAACTTAAATCCTTAAAATTAAAAAAGAATTTTTCAAAATTCCATTATATGAAGTCTGTATGACATTAGGACAAAGATTAATTTATCAAAATACACATGTTTCAAATATAACACAAAAAAATCAAAACTTCTGCAAGACAAACAAGCTATAACACTTGAATATATGTAGTCTTAAAGTTTTTTGACAGATTATACATGTATGACCCAATGTAAACAGTAAGATTATATAACCAAGTCACTAAGCAAGGGTTATATAATAAACAACATTTTACACATTGTCATATACCGGTAACCTGTCAAAAGTCTTTAATATAAAATAATTGCTATCTTTTTTTATGAAAACTTAATTCATGAAATTAAAACAGCTTCATATACATAACATAAACATCTTGAATAGACAAATATAAATCATGTAATAAAAGTACAACATTGTAAAGCTTGCTGAGATCAGTTAATTCATTCACTATGGCCTTATTCTGTACACATCACAGTTAGGCTATATAACTGTCATATAACAATCATTTACCAAGCTTAAAAAATCTTCGCAACCAAACATACACAAAAAAACAACACATCTTTATATGATAAGATGAAAAACCTGAGTAATATAATCTGACTAGTAACATTTCAATGCAAATCATTAACAGGGCATGCCTCCAAATTTTCTTAAATGTTCAGAATGTTTTGAACTTTTAATCAAACATAATCATTATAATTATACATTCACACCAGTCCAAAGATATTAATTGAGTGAAAAATAACAGAACAATCTTGTGTTTAAATCACTACCAAGTATATAAGTAGGTCATAGAACAAGAATTTAACTATGACTTTGTTTCCAAACATTTCAATTTAAAGAATGATAATAAAACATTCTCATTATTCAACACTATTTCTTTAACAATATATATATAGATATGAAAAAGTTGATATTTTTGAAGAGACATGTTCCTTTACTGAATACAATCAATATGATCCTAATATCCAATAGCCATCCCATCAGCTCTAGGGTCTGAACCTGCCCAGTAACAATCATTGTCTGGTTTAAATGGCCATTTTCCTCGAGCAATAATTTGACCTCTACCAAACAGTGACCTTGAGAATCCTGCCACATGAGGTGTTACACCATGACCCATGTCCTGTAATTGTTTGACCACATTGTCTGGGATACCATACTCCAGTGCTACATGTTCAAGACTACCTGACTTCACCCTAAAATAAAACATGACCATGACTGTTGTAAACTTGCAATCTGAATAAATGGTTAGTTTGACTTGTTACATTGTAATTTGAATGAAATTTATTTGTCTGAAACATTAAACCGATTTAACTGGAGGGGAGTGCTTTATGGTGAACCTTAGGGTTTCAATGACATGTTTTTTTCGTTTTAATTGGAGGATGAAGGCCTCAAATGCCCTTTCCTGCATTATTTCATTCACATACAACAGCAGTGTGGGGCAACTGCTTTGAAATCTGTGGACTAAAACACTGAGGCCTCAGACTTTGTCCTTGTTTTTTTTTTAAAAAGTCAACTGAACATTCAGGTCAAATTAACAATATTTAGTTTATAATATTATAAACTGTCATATTTAATTGGTTATACCATGTTTAGTAATAAATAAAGAATGCCAAACACTTTTCCCTTCAGGCATATTAAGAGTGTTTTTTTTCACTAGAATAAATATCTTGATACCACGTTCAAAATATAGAAACCTGCTGATTGTATGCTTTTTTGTATATATAGTTTGATCATGTCCTATCTTAAATTCAGGCCCTAGAGTCATTTAAAATATGTAATAACTATGAAACAGTTTACATACGTATGTCCATGGCCTATACAGAATCGAGGCATATCTAGGGCCATTTGAGGATCCATTCCAAACTCCAGCATGTTAAGTAAAACTTGTACATGACCTTGAGGCTGCATGAAACCTCCCATTACACCATAACTGGCAAGTAACTCTCCTTCAAACAGACACAAAAAATGAAATCATATACTTCTTATCTTAATTGTAAACAACTTGAAAGGAACTATGTATACAATATAGTTACAAAGAACATTAATGTACCTTCACAAGACAGCAACAACTTGTTCATGCTTAATTTATGCAAAGAGTTTGCCCTGTTTTGAGATTGGATCTGTCCATTAGTAACTTAATACTCACTTTGTTGCTGTACATTGAAAAATTAATATGATATATATCATACCATATCTTATGTAAATTTCACAGTTCAGACCATGTACATGTTGTTTAGAGTATTAATGTATGAAGTTTTTTATGTACCAACTTATGTAACTACATGAATCACTGTATAAATGTGTCAAATTCAATACCCCCAACCATCAACTCCCCCACTCCAATGTTTAAACTGATTTGAGTGAAATAATTTATTATATAAACATGTTTAATAGAATTTACATATAATGTACATGTATTAGTGTGCATACATGCATTTTGTGAGTGAAACAAATTGATGGAATTCTTATAATACTTGATAATAATAAATCTTAACTACTTAACCAGTTTCACCAGACGTCACCATGGCAGGTATTATGGTATGGTATGGTCTTTTATTTGGTGCTATCACATTAGGATGTCCAGGTTCTAGGGTAAAGTTGTACCCTCTGTTCTGCAGGGTGAAACCACAATTACTGGGTACAATACCAGTCCCAAATCCCATATAATTACTGTTGATAAATGAGCAAGCGTTACCACGACGATCAACTACACTGAAGTAGACTGTGTCACTACCTGACAAACTCTCTCCATGACATACTTCAGGTATAGCTCTGTAAAATATTACATATTAAAATAGAAATTCCATCACAAAAAAGTAGCTGAATAAAAATATGACTAAAATTGAGGCAATATCCCTGTGCTTAACTTATTACCAGGTGTATATAAAACATTGGTTCAATGATAGTTGTTATCTGTAATTCAGCAAATGTAGGTATACTGTCACAGCTCCATGGTACACAACAGTTCACAATAGATTAGTTAGCATGTTGCCTTATTTTCAAAGTTTTATCTGTACATGTTTGTTTGTACAATCAGATTAGCTGGTAAAAACCCAAAATATTCAAAATTCCAGATTGAGTATACATGTATATGTATTGATCCTATTTATGGAGTTACAACTTCACTCATCTAAACTTTGCCATTACAGTAACATCTGAACAAGCGGTCACACCTGCATAGCAGCCAATATGTATACAACTGTCAGCTGATTTTGCTTTACTTACATAAAGTTACTTATTATTCTAATAAAGGTCCTAAGACATCTAACAAATTAAATCACACCTTTCCTTGCTGATAAGCCTCCGTCTTTCTGCAGCATAATTCTTACATAACATCTTGTCAACAGGAACATGTACCTTAGAGGGGTCTGCACAATGCTTGAATGTATCAGCAAAACTCAAACGTAATGCCTCTATCAGTGTGTGTAAATACTGAGCAGAGTTATGACCCATTTCTGGAACAAGAGAAAATATTACAATTTAAGGTTATTATTTAATTAATTACTTAATCAAGGTTATTAATAATATTGAATTCCATTGGATGAGTACACAGCTGTCAAACCTATATCGGACTAGGTGCATGTAAGTTCCTATACATTCAGTATTGTAATCAACAATATATAATGACCTCTTCATTTCATACCTGTTGGTCTAGCGAGTCAAGATTTACAAGATGTATACTGGGTTTGGGTTTTTTGGATAGTTCTGTGTTTACAATAAAGATACTTTAAATAATAATAACACAATATTTATATTCTTAATTTCCTAAAAGTCTTTTTGTCAACAACTTTTTCTTGTTTTTTGTATAAATCTTTGTAAATATTTTGTTGTTTATCAAATCTTTATTTTGTAACCCTACCTATACATTATAATACATGTTTATTAAGTTCATAGGGAAGACTTGGCAAGCCATACTGTGAGTCCTCTTTACATAAAGTCTTTATCACGACAGTGAAAATGTTCTTCAGGGTACTACCTTTCAAGTTAAACTCTTCCAAAATATTCAAGGCCATCAATGCTGTTATCCCCTGTCCATTTGGTGGAATCTCCCAAACATTATGACCTTTATAACTAGTCTTTATTGGGTCTTCAAATGTTGTGACATGATTCTTCAGGTCATCAAGGGACATAACTCCACCAAACTTTGATACTGCATCACATATTGCTTGAGCAATTCTTCCCTCGTAAAATCCTTTCTTCCCATTAGCTGCTAACTCCTATATAATAAACACATTTATCACACAGCCGTGCCAATTTTTCGACTCCGTAAAAATGGTATTGCACGGTCCTGCATATATTTTGACGTGACGTCATTAGCATTATACAAACATAGTGTAAAGACGCGCTAAATGTTAGCGTTATACTATAGGCGCGCCAATAAAAATGACTCTTTTTTTAACTTTAAACGGTTATTATTTTGGGTATGTGATAAATTGAATATTATATTCGTGTAAGTTCATTACTAAATTTATTGAACTTGTTGAATAAAATAATATTACGCTCGCCAGATGCTCGCATAATATAACTTTATTCAACTCGTTCAATAAATTCAGTATTGAACTAACACTCATTCAATATCCTCTATACACAAACTTGTTTAACTAATAATTGACTTATTAAACAGTATTGAAGAAAAAATACCTTTATTGTCTGAAATGCTCCTGAATCAAATATGATTTTTTCACAAAATGTAACATAAAATGTACCTGCTTTAGGCTGCTTAATTGATGTAAAGACTATAAAGTACATCAATAGCTAAAATTGTTTTTGCTTAAAAGCAAAGCTGTGCATTATTATTTCATTTACTTGATTAACTAGGATTGACTGTGGAAAATACTTTGTGGTAGACATTATAGTCATATTGACTAGTTTCCTTTTAAACATATGATGTGTGAAAAGAACACAACTTGAATTTCTCTTGACACATAAAAAGAAATCATAGGACATACACTGGCAATCACAGCAACTCACCAAGCAAAAAACTGACCAGAATTTAATAAATTACCCTGAAAGTAGTTGCTAGTTTAGGATTTTTCATGATATCTCCATGCCCTGGTGCCTTGCCATTAAGTAGAAGATCCTGCCCATCAGTATTGCCAGGTTCCAGTAGCAAATGGCTACCTGTGAAAATAATATATGTAAATTCACAATTTGCATATTATTGATATAGCACCATTAAGGATTCACATTTTCTTTTCTAAATTGACTCAATTAACTTGTCAAGCCTTCACATTTTCATTTCTGACCTGGCTTAATAACTTGACAAGCTTTCACATGTGCCTCATTGAACTGGCTCAAAAACTTGTCAAGTCTTTACATCTTCCTCTCTGAAATTGCTCAATAGATTGGTCAATCTTTCACACACTCCTTTCTGAACCTGTTTTCACACTTCCCTTTCTGATTCAAAACAATGGAATTGTCAAGGATTTGAAAGTCAACAAATATGGCTGGGCTGCCAGTACTAGTAAGTCTGGTAGGGCTACACAGACATACACCACTAAATCAATACAGGTGGCTTTCATTTTGAAAAATTCTTATTTACAATAGCAAGAGACATGAAACTAATTACGAATATTATTAATGTCAATGATCTGATTACCTTGTTTCCAAGCATGTGCAGTTATTTTCTGTACAGGGAATCCATCCTCAGCAAGTTTTATAGCTGGTTCTAGTGTATCAGCCAAGGTTAACTACAGTAAGAGAAAAACATAACACTGACGAAGAAAGATGTTACATAATGAACATTGCAAAACTTGATTTGTATTGTTTTTCTGTAGCAACAAGAACTAAAGTACCAAAGTAACACCATCCAACAGCTGGAGTAAATATTACTTGCCAGTGTCAATATGTAAAAATCTTCATTTCTATACTTTCCAACTTGACAAACAATGTGTGAAAATCTATATTTCTATACCGAGGGGTGAAAGCGAAAAGGTTCTAAGTGCATTTTCCAAAATTTTACAGGAGAAGCAAAAAACTGTCTCAAATGTTTGTAAAATAGCAAAAATCCACAACACTTTGATTTTACACATAGAAATGTTTAAGAAACATGTCAATGATAATAAAAATTCTTGGAAAGACTTGACAAACAAGATATTTAATCAAATGTAACTTAGAACTGTTTCGCACTTAAAATTTCTTATATTTTGAATTTTTTGTTCAAAGCGAAAAGGTTCCAAGTGACATTTTGATAGAACAAAAGCATGTTTTTTTTCTTATTTAATTTAAGATTGAGCAACATTTTGTCATTTCTAATTATTCAGTAAGAGATGGAGTATAAATTGCCAGATAGGACTGTTTCGCATTTACTTTTTATTTTGATTTCATATTTTAGGTGTGAGACATTCTCTTAATCCATTTTCAAGATTATGAAATTTTAAGTTTGACTTTGTTTAAATTAGAAACATAAATAAAGGTCATAATTGATAGTGTACAAATCTTTTAAAGAACATTATGGACATTAATTACACCTGTTTAAAAAAAAAACAAATGCCAATTAATTTGATAATCATTTTTAGCTGAACTATACAAAGTATATTGAGAACTGTCCTACTCGCCCTGGCATCCGCGTCCAGATTTCAGATTAAAGGTTTGGTGCAGTTAAATACTTAAGGTACAAAAAATGTATCAACTTCAAACATTAAATATATGTTCCTACGGCCTTCGTGGTCAATTCCTATGCATCAAAACTCCAAACCGGTGTTAAATAGCCATTCTAACACGACCCGAAGAACAGAAAGTGTGTGTTATTATGCAACAGATGCACAGTTTGACATTCTATATTTAGACATATGACGTAATCATTATACACGTGACGTAACCACTAAAAAGCCGACGCGCTGAAAAATAATTATGGAAACAAATCAGGCGCAATTTTTGCTTAACTATCAAGTAAGGGCAACATTTATTTGTTGATGTCGTGTTAGAATCGAAAATAATATATCCAAATCAGTGATTTTATCGCTTGATAACATCACGGTTTGTCGTTCGGATGCGCATCATTATATCACTCGGGCTACGCCCTCGTGATATAATTCCTCGCATCCGAACTCCAAACAGTGATGTTATTGAGCGATAAAATCACTGTTTGGGATATATTATTTCTTAAATAAACACAGCTTAAAGGCCGATATTATTCTTTATCAATTACACACATGTTGTGTGACATGGTACATAACTCTAGCATTACTACTTCCAGAATTATTCCCCCTTGAAATTTGAATTTATGTTAACAAATGTTATTTTCTTTTTACTATAACTTCTTGTCATATGGATAAGACTTATAAAACGCAAGCTCCTGTATTTCCAGAATTATCCCATTTAATTTTGAAAGTCACTTATAAATTGATTTTTTTTAGTATTATCTTTGTTGTTATAAATGGTATCTACTCTAGACTTAAGATAAATAATTGTTCTTTTTGTCATTACTCACATCATGGCATGACAAGGTTTATAACTCTAGCTTCTTTTTCAAGAGTTATTTCCACTTTGAACTCATAATTTTTCTTTAAAAACTTTTAAATTCTTTTTGCTCTTATCATTTTTGTTTTTGAAGGGATTGACTTTCAGATTTCAAATTGCTGTCTTTCCATTAAAGTAACATTTATTGACAAGATCATTATGTTGTACAAAAATTTAGAACAATTGACTGCTTTCTTGATACTGATACAGAAATATATTTATATCATAATTGATTTTTCTTTCCTTACTGCGTCCAGTATTTGATAAGTCGAGCTTCGCAGTGTCTCCTGTGACAGCTCTTGTTTTCTTACATTTTCTGTAAAATAAAACAGTTACATTCATATTCTTTCATATTTAAAATGGTTACCTTCAATAAGATAATTATTCATGGAAATTCATGTCATTTCATCTACAACTATTTTCTTAACAATATGTATATGCATTTATTTTTAAACAACTTTAATATTATAAGCGGCTAAATGAGGTCATCCCTAGCACATAGTTCCATTCTAATAAATGCGCCAAAATGACCATTTTAACGCTGTTCATTAATAAAATGCGCTAAAATGACGCAACTCATCTGGCATCCCCATGCTGTACAGTTATTTAGAATATGAGTCTGATTCTAATTTTGATAGGGAAAATCCAATTCAGCCAGTGAATATGATACTTCACCCAGTGAATATGATTTTATAATTTGTTCTGAATTACCACTGTTTGAACCAATAAAATAATATTAACAGCTATTTTTAGATCATATAATAGTGAACAATATTCTCTGAAAAACTTTTTGGACTTGTCTGAAACTTCATTCAAAGGCCAAGAATATCTTTGCAATAAACAGTTTCATAAACAGTCCCAGAAATATTTTTGAACTGAAAATATATTTTAAAAAATTGTGCATTACATATGACTTGCACATTTTTTTCAAATTATATGCATAACACATGAGACACCCTCATGTAGCAACAATGCATAAAAGAGATGATATGTCTCAAGGCCATGTCCCAAAGGCCACCTTCATTAGCATAAGTGTCACCCATACCTATACTTTCATTTACATTGTTTATACATCAAAGTCACCCATAGCTCCACCTACATTTACATTTTTCAATATCTCAAAGGCACACATAGCCCCACTTTCATTCACGTTACTTATAATATTTCAGTGTCACACATAGCACTAGCTATATTTACACAACTCAGTTTCTTGGACTCATACATAGCCCCAAGTTCATTTGCAATGCCCAATATATATAAAAGTCACAATATCTTGTAATTTTGTGTACAACCTTTCCTACCCAGATTTCTGATAATCATTAAACATTCTAAATATCTCACTATCATCTGAAGTCTTACTTTCAAAAACATCATCCAATTGTCATCTAAAGTTGCGGTCTCACTTACTCCTGGCAGAGCCCAGGACCACCTCGGTAAGTTACTGGGATGATCCGTGGTGAAATTATTGTTGCTGTCACACTTACCCCAGCAGCACTACTGGAATTCCCAACTAATACCCAGGATGCACCCGGACCATCCAGGCAGAGCCCAGGTGAAGCTATGATTCATATCGGTGCTTTACCCGGTCATTCCTGGATGACGGCGGCTGAGCCGGGGTTGACCCAGGCAGAGCCCCGGTAGAACCCCAGTGGATTGAAAATGCGCAAAAATGATGATGTTGATACATAATTTTCAATAATATGGTTCTAAATGATATTTTCTCCTATTTAATAAGTAATTCATGATGATTTTCTGAATAATACTTTTGCAAGACTGGACAGAAGGGAAATGGGAAGGGTTTTATAACAAAACAAGTGCAATCATTGCAAATTGCCGTACTTCTTTTGAAATGAACCGGGCTTTGCCGGGACACTACACGGGGATCAACTGTAGCTCAATCGTCATCCTCCATTGCTCTGCCGGCTTTCACAGGGGCTCTGCCGGCATTTACCGGGGCTCTGCTGGCATTCACCAGGGCTCTACCATAGCTCTACTGGCTATATAATACCCCGGATCATCCCCAGTTTGAGTTAGCAGAGCTACAGTGCTTCCCTGGTGTAACCCGGTCGTTCCCGGATGGGCTAAGGATGAAGCCAGCAAAGCTACACCTTCCCGAATCAGCCTGGTGATATTATAATAAATTATTTTATTCCATCCGGGGTTGAATGCCTGATGTTCCCGGATCATCCCGGACGTTGCAGGCAGAGTTACAGATGTACCCTGGTTGTTCCCGAATCATCCCTGGACGTCTACCAGGGCTCCGCCGGGTTTTGAGACCATATCTTAAAGCTTCCTCGTCCCTGGATTTTATTACAACCAGCTAAAGCGTCACTTTCAGTAACATTATCAGATTTCTAACCGTCATCTATAGCCCTACCTTCAAATATCACCATACAATTTCTCACAGGCACTTAAAATTATTTAAAATAAAGTGTGATCATTACTGGCCTTGTACACTTAGAACTGTTTCCCTTTTAAAAAATTGATAATTTCATGAGTGGAGTTAACTGCGAAACAGTTCTAAGTAATTAAGTTTTCTTTCAAAATCAAAGCATCTACTCTGAAACTAATGAATTTCTTATGTGATATTATTTAATAATATACAATAAAAGGTTAAGCTGCCAAAATTATTTAGATCTCATTTATTTTAATGCAGTTTGAGCTGTTTTTATTTAATCTTGTAGATTTTATACTCAATGAAAGCGAAAAGGTTCTAACTGCCATTTGCAGTTAGAACCTTTTCGCTTTTTAAAAACTAGAAATGTGTCATCATGCCACGGATGCCCCCGCATGCAGCCAAAATTTCAAATGGTATAATATTTAGTTCCAAATTTGTTTGCACAAATTATTTTTTTCATTCTAAGTTCAAAGCCCTTAAAACTTTTCAATGTTAACACAAACCATTTTTATACAATGTTCAAGGCACTAAAATTATTCAGTCTTAACCTTTTAAAAACAGCATATTGCATATTTGTAGCCAACATAATGGCTATATACATTTCCACAAAAGTATGAGTGCTGAAACTGAAAGTTCAACATTCAGGAAAGATAAGTTTGTCTAAAATCATTGAACCACGACCAAATTCAAACTTAAACTGCTTATTCCTAAGATGTATCTATATTATTTTCAAAGTGAAAGAGCCATAACTCTGCAAAAAAAATCATCGAACCATGACCAAATTCCCAACTTGACCTGCGCATTCCTTTGACATATCCAATGTCAATTTTGAGTTGAATATGTAACACTGTTGGGGTTGATAATGAACAGAAACTGTAAATTTCATATCATTTTCAAAGTGAAAGGGGCATTACTCTGCCAAAAATCATTGAACCATGACCACATTCGAACTTGGTCTGCGCATTCCAAAAACATATCCATATGTCAAATTTGAGTTGAATGTGTAATACTGTTGGGGAGATAATAAAACGGAAACTGAAAATTTCATATTATTTTTAAAGTGAAAGGGGCATAACTCTGCCAAAAATCATCGAACCATGACCAAATTTGAAATTGACCTGGGCATTCCTTTGACGTATCAATATGTCAAATTTGAGTTGAATGTTTAATACTGTTGGGGAGATAATAAACAGAAACTGAAAATTTCATATTATTTTCAAAAAGTAAAAGGGCATAACTCTGCCAAAAATCATCGAACCATGACCAAATTTGAACTTGACCTGCGCATTCCTTGACGTATCGATATGTCAAGTTTGAGCTAAATGTGTTGTATGATTGGGGAGATAATGAACGGAAACTGAAAATTTCATATTATTTTCAAAGTGAAAGGGGCATAACTCTGCAAAAAAATCATTGAACCATGACCAACTTTAAACTTGACCTGCCGCATTCCTTTGACGTATCCATATGTCAAGTTTGAGTTGAATGTGTTGTACCATTGGGGAGTTAATGAACGGAAACTGAAAATTTCATATTATTTTCAAAGTAAAAGGGGCATAACTCTGCCAAAAAATCATCGAACCATGACCAAATTTTGAACTTGACCTGTATTTTCTCATGACATATCAATATGTCAAGTTTGAGTTGAATGTGTTGTACCGTTGGGGAGATAATGAACGGAAACTGAAAATTTCATATTATTTTCAAAGTAAAAGGGGCATAACTCTACCAAAAATCATCAAACCATGACCAATTTCGAACTTGACCTGTATTTTCTCATGACATATCAATATGTCAATTTTGAATTGAATGTTTAGAACCGTTTGGGAGATAATGAACGGAAACTGAAAATTTCATATTATTTTCAATGTAAAAGGGGCATAACTCTGCCAAAAATCATCGAACCATGACCAATTTCGAACTTTACCTGTATTTTCTCATGACATATCCATATGTCAAATTTGAGTTCAATATGTGCAAGGGTTATTAAGATAATGAACGGAAACTGATGATGACGGAAGGACGGAAGGACGGAATGACGGAATGACGGAATGACGGAACAGGGTAACACTATATGCCCCTGCCATTATATGGCGGGGGCATAAAAAAGTTAATTTCACTTAGAACCTTTGGACAACTTTTCATTTCACCCTGTTATAAGTAAACTAAATCTAATATATTTTGACATAAGATGTATCTGGGTGTTTATGTTACAAATATATAAAAAAGTGAATTTTGTAAAAAAAGTGAGTTAGAACCTTTTCGCTTTCACCCCTCGATACCTTGCCACTTCCAAATAGTGTGTGAAAATCTTTATTTCTATACCTTGCCACTGCCAATTAGTGTGTGAAAATCTATATTTCTATACCTTGCCACTGCCAATTAGTGTGTGAAAATCTATATTTCTATACCTTGCCACTGCCAATTAGTGTGTGAAAATCTATATTTCTATACCTTGCCACTGCCAATTAGTGTGTGAAAATCTATATTTCTATACCTTGCCACTGCCAATTAGTCTAATATTAATCTATAAAAGCTCTGGGATCAAAATTGACCCCGCCCGGGGGTACTGATTTTTCTTATATGTCTATAGTAAAAACTTAAAAAATCTTCTTTTAAATAACCCATAGAGCTAGAGCTTAGATATTAAGCAGGAAACACCTTCTAGTGAGTGTCTACAAAATTTGTTCAAATAAAAGCCCAAGGGTTAAATTGGCCAAGTTCTGGGGGTCTGATTTCCTTACATGTCTATCATAAAAGCTTTATAAAAATCTTCTTTAAAAAAGGTTATTGCCACTGCATATTAGTGGGTGAAAATCTATATTTTTATACCTTGCCACTGCCAATTAGTGTGTGAAAATCTATATTTCTATACCTTGCCACTGCCAAATTTATCAACAGTATCACACCAAGCTGCAGCTGCTCCAGGTACTGTTACTGTATGACCATGGTTAGCCGGAAACTTATTTTTCTCTGTAAATCCTTCTTTATTTAACAATTCTAAGGTTAGTTTTCCTGGAGCTCTACCACTGTTACAATATAGAATTTGTTTCCATTTCAATAAGAGAAGAAAAATGACAATCAACAGTCAAATTAAAAACAATCTATACTACAGACATTTGAAGTAAAACCTCTGTTCTGATTCATTTAAGCTTTTAAAAGACATTGTAGTCATTTGTTACCAGATTTTAAACACTTGCAAATAACTGTAAGAGTAAAATGTATGGTGTTAGCTACTTAAGATACACTTAAACCTTTTAATAGCTACTCATACAACAAGAGCACCTCTAGGCGGGGCATTATATGCCCTAAAGTACTTTAGCTGTAGGTTGATTAATGCTTGAGTTATTGAACGAAAACTGTTTCCAGTTTAAAGGTGATAGTAACCTTGATCTTTGACCTTGTGACCCCAAAATCAATAGGGGTCTTCTACCCAATATAGACAATCATCCTATGAAGTTTGAATACTGTGGACCAAATGGAACTTAAGTTATGCTCCGGAAACCACATTCAGTTTTGGGGTTATAGTGGCCTTGACCTTTGACTTTGTGACCCAAAATCAATAGGGGTATTCTACCCAATATGGACAATCATCCTATGAAGTTTGAAAACTGTGGGCCAAATGGAACTTAAATTATGTTCCGGAAACCACTTTCAGTGACCTTGACCTTAGACCTTGTGACCCCAAAATCAATAGGGGTCTTCTACCTTATATGGACAATCATCCTATGAAGTTTGAATACAGTGGGCCAAATGGAACTTAACTTATGCTCCGGAAACCTTTTTCAGTATTTAGCAAATGGTGACCTTGACCTTTGACTTTGTGACCCCAAAATCAATAGGGGTCTTCTACCCAATATGGACAATCATCATATGAAGTTTGAAAACTGTGGGCCAAATGGAACTAAAGTTATGCTTCGGAAACCATTTTCAGTTTTACGGTAATAGTGACCTTGACCTTTGACCTTGTGACCCCAAAATCAATAGGGGTCTTCTACCCAATATAGGCAATAATCCTATGAAGTTTGAATACAGTAGGCCAAATGGAACTTAAGTTATGCTCCGGTAACCATATTCAGTTTTATGGTAATAGTGACCTTGACCTTTGACCTTGTGACCCCAAAATCAATAGGGGTCTTCTACCCAATATGGGCAATCATTCTATGAAGTTTGAATACTGTGGGCCAAATGGAACTTAAGTTATGCTCCGAAAACCAAATTGCTAACGGACGGACGGACAGACAGACGCCAGCTAGGGGGTATAACATAATATGTCAGAAATTCTTTCAGGCATATAATAAAAATGCTTTATTACTCAAACTAAGCAAAGTTAATAAAATCTCTAGTGATCAATTTTTACTAACCTGCCATTCATCCCATGAACTTTCTTTGTTTCATTATCAAAGTAGAGACAAAAAGCATCACCACCTATACCAGTACTAGTTGGTTCTGTCACATTTAAGGCTGCAGCTACAGCTATAGCAGCATCAGCTGCATTACCCCCTTTCTTCAGTATATCTATTTCATATATAATAAGAGGGGAATTAAATAGAATCATCAAGAACTCAAGTTTAGGATACAAATATTTTTGTTCTAATCCAGAATCTCACTTCTTGCAAATACTTAAAAAAATACACAATATCTCAAATTGTAAGGCATTTGACAGGTAGTTTGACTACAAAAAATATACTAGCAAACATTGGAAAAAAGTTTGGGTTTGGGAAGTTTTGTAAATAAATGGGTAGCCAAATTTAAATTAGACTTGTCAAAGAGATTTTTTTTCAGATGGGCAATACATCTTTTACAACTTTATTGAAACTTGATGAGTTTATTTCATATGGTTTATTTTTATACAGATAGTGTACACAATCAGAATGACTAAATGTGAAAAGCTTTACTTTTTGCAATATATTTTGAGTCCTTTTGGCTGGAGCATTCAATGGACATAATCTAAAAGTAACTGGTGTCATTCCTTTCCTAAACATCGTAGTATTGTCGTCACATGGCTTACCCTTGTTTTCTTGAAAATTGTGACATTAAAAAATGATTCAGAAAAAATAGAAAACAACATGAAAAATCTCAACTGATTATTTACAACATTACTGTGGACAAAAATTATACTGTAACTACAGAGATCATAGATCCTCAAACATATACATGTATTTCATTACCCACAAGTACTGTTTTTCTGAAACATGCATAAACTGATTCATCTGTCCAATGAAACATAAAGGATACATTGTTTTGTTTTTATTGTGGAATTATAAAAATAAAATGTTAAAAACAGTTTTGAATGGGACTGCCTTAGATTCAAATCAATTGCCGTCAGTTGGAAATTCAATTAAAACAAATTTAATGATTAGTCCAACTAACTGTACTAGGCAACGAGATGACTAATTTAATGATAAACACAGATGCCACATATGTGTGGCAATTATAAAAGTTACAGAGAGTTGTAAGGGCCATTGCAAATGGTGTGAGGATCTGACCACAAGGTGCGTCTGTATTTTACTTACTCCAAATAATTGTACTATGCAATGAGATATTTTGCTGCATTGTGTAACGACAATATTTTGCTTCTATAAGTGAGATTCTGACCCAGAACAAACATATCTCTGCATCTAGCTTTGGCAAGTCAATATTTTACAGCACAGGAGTCAGGAACAAGTCTGTTAGTGTAAAATGTTGTAGAACCTGACAGTAATTTTTGATCATGAAACGGAATGACCTATCCAGGATTAACATTTTCAAGTGAACTTTTAAAGTCATTAACATCTAAATTTCTTTCAATAAATGGGAAGTTTCGAATCGGTTTGAGGGCGAAACGTGAATAAAAACTCGGGCAGATATCTCATTAAAGAATAATGATAGAGATAACTGAATAGTATGGGATTGTGTATACCTATTCCAATATTTGTGGCAAGCTGCTGTGAAGACGCGACACATCCTGATTTACACACCAACACCGATCTATGTGACAAAAATGGGAGTTCAGCATCTCGGTCCATCTTGATTTACGTCCCGTAAAATTACTCTTCATGTTGAGGATAGGGCGAACGCTACTAAAATTTTCCCATAGGTTACATACCACTAAATATTCCTAAAACTTATGGCTCTGAAGTGCTAAATACAGTATTTTATTCAATGCCAAACGGTTGTTGTTATTACAAACTTCTTCAATCCCCCCAGAGATGTGCGTGTTGTGGAGAAGACATATGGCAGTGGTGGATGATTGACCTGACTAACTTGGAGAGTTTGACCCTACAAAGAGCTGCCTGAAAGCCCTGTATTGCCAATCCTCTGGGTAGGTCTTCTGGATAAAGGAAATGCCATTACAGCAAGGAAAGACTGCATGACACGACATACCCAAGGGTTACAGGGACTGGCAAAAAACAGAACAAATATTCCTGCTCGTACGTGTTCAACCCAGGGACGAGGACAAGTAACACTACTATTACCAATATAAACAACACATCTATTTTACAGTGCAAGAAAAAGCATGTGAAACCAACTGGTGCTTTTTGAAACAAGTGGCTCTCTGGTGATATTTTTGTAAGTCCATGGATGTTCCACTAACTTGAGATCATTATTAATCTACAGTATTTGCTCACTTTAACAATCTTAAGTATATGAAACTTAGTCAAAATAACTGGATATCTTAAGCTCGATTAAAATACATTGTACTTCTTGTTTTGGTTCATCAAGGTAGGTATATAATGCAAAGAGTAGGCCTAATAATTCATAAATATCTACAATTTACACATTGATTGAAGTTAATTAATTTTTATCATGTTATTAACGACTAAATTGAAAGTAATAGGTCAAACATACTATTTTAATTGAAAAGAAACAGAAGTGTTTTTATCACAGATTTATTAGTTCGTTAATTACCACTCTCAACAAATACAAAAACAATATTAAAACAAGTTTCATATCTTACAATATCAAACAAGACATTCTAGTCATTTTCAGAAACTATCAATGAATTAGTAAAATTACATGTAGATTTAGATTTTAGTAATTTAGTAAGTAACTTTAAAACTTTTAAATAACTCAGCACTTTATTATCTACACAAGAGCACACATGAATTGTTCAATCTTATGTCTTTTAAAACATCATTGACAGAAATTTTGAAACTATGTTACACTATATCACTATAGCTTCACAAGTGGTGGTTTATAAGGATACAAGATATAAATTGAGAGCCCAAGCAATGCTCTCAGATGACATATATACAAGGTGTTTCGCTTCAAATGAGTACTATATTTAAGTTGATAAAAAAAAAATAGAAACTGCTCTTGCCAAGTGCGTTTAAATCCTAGTTAACATTTAGACTTCCATGAGGAGGAAAGAGGAGCTTTTATATTAAATAGTCCAGTCTTACAAGAAGCTGTCTGCTATTTGTTGTTGTTAAATCCATTCTAGGTTGCATGGTACTATTTTGACATAGTTTTAAGCCTTAAAATGTGTGATTTCTTATTTGCTATTACTTAACATCAACAAAACAAAGAGGGTCTATAAACATACATTTGAAAGGGATCTATATCAACAAACAATATAATAAAGCATTGTGTGTAATAGGCAGAACCTACCATACATGTAGTTTTGTATTAGTTATAAATACACAGAAAAATAGAGACAAGACAGCTTACTAAATCATTATTAAGAATTCAACATATTATTTTCTGACATGTAGTATCATAAAGTTGTATAAGAAGTTGATAATTTTGCTTGTTATCAAATAAGAACACATTTCTCACTTAAGTAGGACATTTCAAACGTTCACACTAAAATTATGTAAGATACATGTAAATAATAAAATTAAAGTGAGATTTTTCACTCATTACAAACACATAATTGAGCTGCGTTATAACAAAACCAACATAGTGTGTTTGCGACCAGGATGGATCCAGACCAGCCAGCGCATCTGCACAGTCTGATCAGGATCAATGCTGTTCACTATCAGTTTTTCGTAAAAGAGATGGTTAGCGAAAAGCATGGATCCTGATCGGACTGCGCGGATGCGCAGGCTGGTCTGGATCCATGCTGGTCGCAAACCCATTATGTTGGTTTTGTCGTGACGCGGCTCATATGTATGTTCTTCCAACATTGAAACTATAAAAAAGATCTCTTTTAATACAATAAGTGTAATAAACAATATCGTACCAACATGAACCAATAAACATGAAATAAAATCACTAAACAACAACTGTATTGTTAACCCTAAAAAAATCCTGCTGAATTACCTGGCTTTCATTTTGCAGTTGAAAGTTTAAAGTGAATTGGTCTATAATAGAAGATCAGTAAAACCAAAAATAATTATGTTGATAGTATTATCATATTAAAACAAACCAACAAAACCACAAAAGAATTATATATGGATGCTATTGGCAAGTGTTGGATACATAATCTAACATATAAATATATAGCACAAAAATATTATTCATCATATATATACATGTATGTTCACACTCAGACACTATACAACTTTATCAACATTTTGTTTTCCATAAGAATATCCAAGTGATGAATTTCTTTTATTATTTAAAATATTTGAAATACACAGGAAAAAAGGTTTCAGCTGGTTGGCAATACTGCAACATGTATGTATATAAAAAATTCCTAAACTTAGGCTAAGTAGAGAATAACATGTTTGTACCTAATATTACAAGTTTATCAGGTAAGGCTAAGGAAAAAAGAGAAAAGCCATGCTGTGACGTGCCCTTATTTTGTTCATGCCAATCTGAAAAATTTTGTAATAGCACACACTTGTTTGGTATTATATTCATCATGTTTTCAATTTCAATATGTGTTTTTTTTAAATTTCAAATGAAATAACCTCTAAAGTTCATGCTGCTCGCAGTAATATGCCAAGGGTCATATCTATAAGAAATAGTCCCAAATGTTTTTAGTCAAATGTAAGTAACAGACTATAATATTCAAAAAATCTGTTTGATTCAAAGTTTATCAGTTTAATATTTTCAAACTAGTAAGAAGTAAAATAATCCATTCTCTTCATTTTATTACCATATGTATTGATGAAGTGTCTGATAAAGCTGAGGGTGACTGATAAAGCTAAATTTATCAGGCATGCAGTTTATCAACAGAAATTAATGTAATAACATAATAAATCATAATATTTCAATACCAAAAGGAAAGTAAATCTAATTAAAGCAGTATATTTAAAAGTACATGAACATAAGCTTAACACACACAAATTCAAAGTTACCAGTAAATAGTTCATACTTCATAATAAACTATAATAACACTCACTGGTACTTTTCCTTTTTAAGCGTAAGGAAAAAGTTCCAATAATTCATAAACATCAACTATAATTATATAGACCATCACTGGAACTTTTTCTCTTTAAGTATATGAAAAAAAGTTTCAGAATAAGTTGTGATAGAGAGTTATTGCTTTTTTGATTTAGCAGCACTTTCTTCCTGTGATTTTTTCCTCCTCAATGCAGCCAATGTAAGGTCTGTAGCCAGGTTCATGTGTCCAATCATTAGACTTACAGCTGCTATACGCTGTATACCCTGAAATAAACACACCAAGTTTGATACACTATCTATAAATACACTATCTCCCCATCGCCAACAGCCTCACCCCATCCTCTTCATCAGTATCTCCCTTTCTCTCTCCAAGTTGAAATGTAATTTGTTTCAGAAATCAATCAGAAATTATGGCATGTATTTAGGTATTTTATACATATATTATGTCATGTATTTTAATTCATAAATGTTAATTTTGTTAGTATTCAACATTGTATATTCAATATTGAAAGGATACCACACAAGTGATTCTGTGAATAATTTCAGGAATGAGAGCATATAAGTAGAATCGCTGAACTTTCAAAAGCCAGATGAATAGCAAGAAATAATTCACTGGCAGGATATAGTCCAAACTATTTATTTAAACTTTAATGTGATGAAAGCTTGAAGTTTATTTTTACATTCCTGGAACTAACTGGTTTTATACGGGCAACTACCCAGTACTGGTTTAAAAGTAGAAACATGGTTATGACCCAAGTAGGACTAAAACCTATAATCCTTCATCTAAATAGCAGACATATTAACCATTACACTACCCATACAGGATGATGAAAGTAACTTAAATCACTCAGCCATAAATCTAAAACAAAGTAATTTCAAAATATCACAAATACTTGTACAAACTTGTATCATTCTGTGAACAAGATTTCTATATTTTGTTTCAAGAAAATATTTCTCTACAATTAAAGTATAAAAGTATAAAACAATCACCTGTGAAACAGCCATCTTTAGGTCACTAATGTCCTGTATCAGAATCAGGTATTCATTCACCATGTTCCATTCCTAAATAATTACAACATCTAGTTAATAACAATACTATGAAATGCATATAACTCTGCACCCCATACATAACTGTATCAACCAAAGGGCATATTTTGTATAAATTGATGCACCTATTTCCCCTACATCCTAACACTGTATTAGAAACTTTTGAGTATATTCTACAGATTTTGTTTAGCTATGACCAATTCTGTATTTATTGCACAACAGGTCATACATTTAGGTAAACACAAAACAAATTTTGTTGAAAATATTCAAAGTTTCTGTAAATACTACCACTGTAGGTCTTTCACAGATTCATTAAAAAATCAAACATATATCTATAGAAACTAAATTCAGAGGGATGTTCATCTATATAAACTTTTCATTAATCTAGAATGTTTTGTTTTCATTTAGCATGCTAGAATTCAAACAAACAAGCCAGTTATTCTTTGTCATTCAGACATTTTAATGCTTTATCATTCATTGTCACTGAAGAACAATCATCATCAAACAAATATTTATCCTGATAATACACTAAGTATGTTAAGGACTACATTATTTGTTAGGAGTATACTTACAATAGCCAGATTTTCCACCTGTAAGAAGAGTTCAGTAAGAGCACGTGAAACTGGTGGTAGTATAACAATGGGTTCAGATTCTTGCTTTGTTATGTTGTTATATAACTGCCATAGTGGCTTCAGAAGACCAAGGTTGATATCTAACTTCTCTAACTCTGTATCTCTACAATATAAAGTATGTTATATCACACATTGCTTATTAACTTGACATTTTGTGATCTGCTTTGGTGGAAAACCAATACTAAAGATCTGTCCAGGTAGAAATTTCTTTCATAACGTTTTTATATATTTCATTATTTTGTAATGGGATAAAGTTTAGGCATACATTATCCAGTGTGAAACCCATAAGAAAATGGTTCTTGGGGGAAAATTCATAAGTTTTTTTCTTAAAGTGAGACTATGTTTGAATATTTGACTTCAAACAATTGGTTTTAACTATGTCACACTAAAGTTGTGTCTGAACTGTGTTGTGTTTTAACTATGAAACACCTATGTTATGTCTGAACTGTGTTGTGTTTTAACTATGACACATCTATGTTGTGTCCCAACTGTGTTGTGTTTTAACTATGTCACACCCAAGTTGTGTCTGAACTGTGTTGTGTTTTAACTATGTCACACCTATGTTGTGTCTGAACTGTGTTGTGTTTTAACTTTGACATACCGATGCTGTGTCTGAACTATCTTGAGGAGAAGTTGAATTGTTTTCAGTCTTTGGGTTCCTGTCTGTTTGCTGGCTACATAAACTAAAGATGTCCATAACTCGCTCAATGGTAAACATCTGTAATAAAATATTAGAACCCAATTTACCACTGAGAATTGAAATATTTCAAAGTTAAAGCCTAGTACATGTACATGTATATGAAAATAGCATGCACAAGTTCATTCTGTCACTCAGCTCATATCTGCATTGTCTTGATTCCTTTATTATATATGAAAAAAGAACACAATACATGTCCTGTTTGAACTTTTGTATATTAGCAGTTGATATGACAAGTTTTTGTTGTCATAACAACACTGTCATATTGATATGTTTGATAGAATTTAACTTTTTCTTTTTCAAAATTGCTGCATTTCAATATGAAAATGTAATTATGCATGTTAACAAATTTATTCATAACAAATTAATTTTGCAAACTGAACATATCTTGTAAAATAAAATAAATTATTTTCATGATATTGATATAGGCATTAAAAAAATCAAAGGTTTGTCAGATGAAAAGAATGTTGGTATATAAATATAAACAAATAGAAAAAAAGAAAAAGACGAGCCAAGTTTTAACTGTATTTATTATTCTACTAGTTTTGGTTGAAAAACAACCTTCATCAGGAGTATAGTGCAATATATAAACAATTAGGACTGTTCTCACCTAGCCATGTTTGATGTAAGTACATCATTTAGGATGATATATCCGGTCTCAAAGCTGTCTCTTGTACCAGCTGTTACTGTAAATTTATAACCCCAGTGTGAATGTGTTGTGCTCACCTCTGTCTCAAAGTCATAGTATATTGTATCTCCTAAAATATAACATTTCTCCATTGATTGCAGTGACATAAAGTAAGTCACAAAGTGAGAATAAACGTGCATACAAACTAGGAATCAGATTCAAGAAATGTCCAAGTAACATTACTTATTTATTATTATCAAAAGATAAGTTATAGACAATATACCTATACTAATATGTCTGTCATCTCTGTTGGATAAGATGTAATCAATGTTATATAATTGCTTGTAAAATGTCTATTTTTATGTTTATTGAAAATCTTGTCGAAAAAAAGATTTTGCATTATATATGTGTTATCTTTAATGCTTTTTTGTCTTGTATTATCACAATAAGCTTCCTTTGTTAAATAAAGAGTTTATTATCATTATTATTATTACATTCCACCAAAAAAAAAAATGCAAAGTTACAACCCGGTCAGAAATTGACCTTTGACCTTCAACTATGACATTGACATTAAAGAAGCAAACAAGGGTATTGCATGCAACAATCTACTTACTGTGGTGAAGACATATGCTATATGTTCTGGCAATCCATGAAGTATTAACAAAGTTACATGCCTAAAAGGATTTGACCTTTGACCTTAAAGTGTGGCACACAAGACAGCATTCACTTTTAGTAAACATGTGAACTTTTTCTTTTTTGAAATAAATCCCATCATGCATGCAGATGATATGGTCCAAACAAACTTTCCAGTAGCCCTTATGACTATTATCAAAAGTTCAATCCTTTGCTGTGACCTTGACCTTCAGCTGAAGACCTGGACCTTGTGCATGACACATTATTTTTTTATAGTGATCAACTGTAACATGCATGAAAAAGTAATAGTCGGGAATCAAACTTGAACAGACTATATGACAAAGTCACAAACTCAATCCCTTGCTGTGTCCTTGAACTTTGAGCTACATGTATGAACCTTGGTCTTGCAAACTACACAATGTCTACTTATGGTAATCATGTATATTAATTCATTTTAAAAATACCATCATGCATGTAGAAGTTCAAGACCAGACACAAACTCAAACTGCACTTAAAACTTTACGAGTTCAATCCCTTGAGCAATGGAATTAGGTCTTGGATTTGTCAATCTACCTGAAGCGAGTCGAATAACTGTATATCATATACCTGGAATTTGGAAACTGGTCCAAACACCTCTAGAAGATCCCGACATCTTATAACTATTCTGTTGCATGTCAGATGAAGAACTAAATGTTAGAACATCATCTTCCTTTGTTGAACACCTGCAATAACATAATCATACAATCAATAACATAGAGTGAGTGCTTAACACCCTCCCTAAAATATTGATAAAAAGTTTGTTCCTATGGAAAACACCAGGACTTGGTTAGAACATGCCCTAACCATCAAACCAAGTGCACTTTGTTTCCGTCTGTAATTTCATTACATTTCATCCACAAAGCCTGTGTTGATAATGACACACTTCTGTCACCAGATGACACGCCTCTATCACATAATTATGGCACGCCTATGTCAGCAGAATAAAGCCTAGTCAGTCTGTCTAAACAATTATACACTCTTTGTTTGTTTCAATTTTGTTTTTAATGATGATATTTTAATTAGATTTACAATGTAGAGATCCAAAGTGAAAGCAGGAAATGAAATCTTGTTTACAATCAACTGTAGAAGCATCATGATATCCTCTGAAAATGGGAACTTAAAGTATCATAAAGCAAGACAAACATGTATAATACACTACAAATACATGTTTAGCTAAATTGGAAAGTCTCAATAACAGTCCAAATCTTACTTGGAATCAAAGTTGACAGTCAGGAATGAGGCACCAGGAAGCTGGATCTTTTCTTTCACCAACTGATTTTCACCAGTTTTATAATTGTGTTGCGACTCTCTTGTGATCACAGACATAGTGACTTCTTCCATAAACTGACAAGCTGTCCGAGCTATTGGTACCAAGCTTGCTTTCTCACAATGGTGGACCAGATTTTGGACAACCTTGATAATAAAAATAACAACATTTTCCTACTTTTCCATATAAGGATTTTTTCTAGTAATAAAGAATGAAAACAAAAAAGTTTTCTTTAAAAGAAAAAGGTTGATCTTATTAATAAAGTATATGTTCAATTAAGAATTTTTATGAGAATTAAGAAAATGATAGTGGTGGCATGGCTAAGTGGTCAATGCCTCAAACTTATAATCTAAAGGATAGCTAGCCACTTGAGTTTAAACCTGTCAGGGGCAAGTCATTGTTTCCTTGAGCAAGAAACTTTAAACTCATTGCTCAATTCTTGTTGGTTCCAAGAATGGATTTGAGAGTGTTTTTAAGCTTATACTTTCCATACAAACAAACTAAAATAAATTCTGAATAAACTAAGAAACTAATATTTTACTTATAAATACAGCTGTTGTATATCTCTATATATGTACCTAAACATTAAACAATTTATGTACATAACTTACTTTCTGGAAATTATCTCTACTTCCTGTTTTATATAGAAGGTCAAGGACACAAGGTATCTGCTGTACTTCCTTACATCCAAGTAGGTCAGAGTTGATCACATGACCGTAAGCTGGCCAATGAGCAAGCAGGCTGGTGAGAACTTGTCGTGCATACAAAACTGACATAGCCATGTTCACCTGTAAATAAATAATATACCATAAATAGACCAAGATTTGATGGGTCCCAAAATTTTAGATGTTTTAGGATCCGTTTTCCCAGAATAGTAATTTTTATCTAGTGAAATGGCCAGTAAATGAAAATATCTGCAATGCTTTTTGCTTAAATCTGGCTATGAATCACACATTTGAAATATTTTCAATTATATTCTTGGTTAATTTCTTTATTAAATTTTGTAGAATTTTCTATTTTAAATGTGTCATATAATCTTTGTAAGAATTTCAAGTTTTTTAGCCTTTTTGACCAAAGTGGAGCCCCATTCTTTAACAGAATGCTTCTTGTTTAAATTACGTCAAATATTGACAAATAAATCAATATATTCAGAGTAACTATGGGTCATAAAATATATTATAACCTTAGCGAGATATTCTCTTGTGCCAGTCTTGCCATGTTTTTCTAGCTCTTTCTTCAGTAAGTCAGCACTTTTTGTTTTCCGTTGTTTAACAATCTCCTCCTGGACATCGTTGTCCGGACATTGAATCAGTTTCTGGGTATCTACTGCTGTCTCTTCTGTCGCTTTCTCTATTTTCCTACAAATAACATCATAACATTTGAAGATTATATACATTCAAAGATATTTTTCTGTTTTCCTACATAAATTATAACATTTGAAAGTTGCATATATTCAAAGATATTTTGTAAGCACTGAAAAAAAAATGAATAAAAATTTATTGAATTTTCTAATGACTAATGCTAAACTGAATGTAAATATACCAGTAAAAGGTTATCAAGTACACATTAAATAATCTAGATTTGACTTCCAATGTTACCAACTCAGTAAAATCTATAGTAAGAGTCATCTTCAGTGTAGTTGGATTGCACTTCGTGGTCACTAGCTCAAAACTTTATGTGGTAAATTCTCTCACTTCCAGTGACAACAATTTATTGGTTTTTGACTAAAGCCCGACATAATGTTTGATCATTACTGGGCCAAGTTTACCAATAGCAAGAGTACTGTGTACTAACATATAATAACTACAAGTACACTAAGATTCCCCCTCCTGTACTACAGTGAAAAACTTGACAGCTATCTGTTTCAGTGTTCATTATGACATAAGGAGAAGTTTCAGATGCTGCCTCCATAAAAGTTCTCAATTAACATACTGACCCAAGCAAACAATTCTGATCTATAACTAGTATTACTCTTTAGTTAACCATAATAATGATTGTTAATGCTAGATAAAATCATACAGACTGTATCTTTGGATTTATATAGCAACTAACACTTTTTTTGCATAGTAATAAATCTTGATACTTAAAAACAAAACAAGTGCTTTGCAATTAAATTTCAATGCTTAGCAACCAAATGTCAATGTTTAATAACCAATTTAACATTAACGTTTACCAACCAAACATGAATGCTCCGCAGAAATACCAAAATGCTCAACAACCTGGCATAAATGCTTAGCAACCATAACTGTAGTCATGACATTTTTCCCCATTTGTCATACCTCTCAGTTTGTTTAAGATCCATGATTTAAAACCAACCAAAACATCAAAGCTTAGTAAAAAGACTAAACTGCTTAGCAACAATTACTATGATTATGACATTTTTCCACATATGTATTTGTACGCACCTCTCAGTTTGTTTGAGGGATGGATGGTAATGTATTCCTGTATCAATGACTTTTTCTGACAGTGTTGTACTTAGTATTGCCTCTGGATGCTGAGACTGTAGAATTACGTCCCTGAAATACATCATATATATTGATAATTACCACTTGCCTATACCTTTCAAATGTTACTAAAATACCAAAAAGTAACATATATAATAAACAACATATATTAGATGTTTTATGCACCTTCTTTTGTATATATAAATCTTCAGAAGCACAAGGATGCATTAAAAGCCTGAGCCTGCATTTGCACTATTCAAAATCAGTTATTCTGTGTTTCGTTATCTGTATTTCCTGTAAAGAAACCACTGCTTGTTCAATGCATGCATTTCACATACTGGTATGACATCATTTTATAGTTACGTTTTGATAATAAAATAACTAGGGCTGTCACTGCATTAAACGATTTTACAATGTGCCCTCAGTCAAGCATATTAAAAAACATGCAACAACGGTGCATGATCATGAAAATCTATCCATTAATGCATGTTTTACCTTTGGTTATTGTATACATGCGTCTGCAGTTTTTATGAAAGAATATAACGTAAAAATCAAAAATACTGAAAGTTGCAACATTTTCTTAAATATAGAACATAGTTATTTGTGTCAATGCAAGATCAAATCATATTTTGCCTAGTATCCCACATAATACTTCAAAAGTGGCATAACTAACTAAAAGTTAAATCATATTTTTGAAAATTGGTATTTTGAATGACTTACCATTTTTCTGAAAGTTTCTTGATGATTTCTTTAGGAGTAGCATCAACACCTTCAAAACTGAAATATAATTCAATTTAATAGTACATGTACAGTAAAGACTGTTTTAGTGACCCCCTGTATATAGCGACGTTCTGTCTTTAGTGACCATAGCTAGGTGCGCCGAACAGGATTTACTATACAAATGGTCTGTATGTAGCGACTCCCTGTCTAGTCCGTACAAGGACCATGATTTAGTCACCCGTTACGGTATTTGAGCCGTGAAAAGCGACTTTTGCAAGGGGAGCAGGGCTTGGGTTAGGAGGTGACTTGGGCTAAGAAGTCGCCTTCGGATCAGCGACTTTGCTTAAAACAAACTTCAAAGTGATTTTGAAGTCGGTCGATTTTTTTAATGATCTGTCATACTTATTTACACTGCTAGGTCTGTTTACAATTTGTTTGCCTCTCAATTACAACCAATTACCGTTAATCCGCTAGTTAAGAACGCGTGTCAACATCATCTAATACACGCCGCAAGGCAAGCGTTCACTATGTATATCTCTCTCATTATGTATTCATGCGATTGACAAATCAGAACGCGCGTTGTATCTACGGCAGTTTGCATTGACCAATCGGCAACACACTAATACACTGTTGCTCTTTGTTGACAATTACACAAAATGGCGACAGATTCAATCAATTTTAGCCGATTGCATGATTAAAGACACAATCATATACATAATTGCTGCGGTGTTATGGCGAGTAAAGATAAACAATGCCTAACGTCTTTAAGGTGTGGTTATGTTCGAAAACTCGACTGTTAAAATTTTTTTTCGGAGCACTAACCTGTAGAAATTATGTGAAGATTTGTACCTAATGTTTTATTAAAACATTGATTTCCGTAAACAGGCTGATTATACAAAATTAAATGTCAAATGAAAATTATAGACGATGACCAGCATGACTCATTGCCAATATGGCAAGTGGCACTGCTCTATCTGCCCTGAATATTGTTACCAGCTAAACATACTCACAACCTGTATACAGTATATGTAAATATTGTGTTTGCTATTGGTATACATTTATGAAAAGTAGATTTATAGTAGAATTGTTTTATTTGAGAGGTGTTTCTTATTTCTTTTCTGGTTTATTCCTAACTTATAATTTTCCAGATGACGCCTAATATATCTCCCAACTTCTCCCTAAAGTCTCGAATATATATGAATTATGTAGAGACTGTCCACAGTGACTCCCTGTCTATAATGACCTTTTTTCTTTTCTCCCATTGAAGGTCACTGTAAACAGTTTTTACTGTATATTCAAAAGTGGAAACCTTAATAATACTGCTAAATACCACACTGTAAAGACATGTCTATGACACCTGATTTTAAAAACATCATACTTGGAGTATGTTTTTCAGACATTCAATAAATCAAAACACAGCGGGCTAACAGTTCAAACAGTTGCAATAAAGTTCTTTCCACATTTTAGCTTCCCTTTACCAAATGTCTTTACCTGGACACAATATCTATCAAACATATTTCCAAGTTAGAGTCATGAACTACAATTTGCTTAGACAAGTCAAGTTATGTGTTGCTGCGATACAAATTTATCTTAAACTTCCATTAGTCAAATGCTACCATTTCTTCACAATGAAATTTCATTATTCCTCTTAGAATTACTTTAAACTTTCACACATAAAGTGTTAAAAATTCAACAAAAAAATAGGTTTAGTTTCTCCGCTCAAAATTTTAAACCTTTTACTAAAAAGTACACTTACTTTTCCAGGATAGCTTTCACCACAGCATCTGGGTTTCTGTCATTCATGTCATATATAACTTTTAACACAGATATCGGCAAGTTCAGGTCACTTCGTAATATCTGCAAATATGCCAAAGATAATTTAAGATCAATTATTGTGCACAAAAAATTTAAGTTATCATATCTATCTAAGTTTAGTTGTGAAAGTTGTTCTAACAAAGTATATTACTGGTCTTCAAGTAGACTGGCTATTTAGGTTTGATTGTGAAAGTTGTTCTTACAAAGTGTATTTTAAGTTTTCAAGTAGACAGGCTTACATATTTACCATGTGTCATATTAACCTATAACCTGCTGGAACTAAAAGTGATTAACCTTTGCCCTCAGTACAGAGCCAGGTCGTATACTGTTGACAGACTGACTAAATTGTCACCTTGATATCTCTAAACTTGATAATATACAGTTCCATAAATAAAAGCTGCATCAGTCCATTTAAGAAATTGTGCAGGTTGACAAAAATTATTGACCTCAGTTAAGCAGAAGCTAATGATCTGGGCTGCAGCTCCACAACAAAACACATATTGGATCACATCATTTGAATTTCTATTTGTTTACATAATGTTTCAACAAAGCAAGTGAAGACAATTTGTGGGTGTTTATCTATACTCTATATTGGTGACATAAACATCACTGCTAGTACACCACAAGAATTTTAAAGACAAAACAAATGTACATACTCTAAACATGAGTTGTGTTTTCTCATCAAGTTCGTGGAACATGTCCAGCTCATCAACGATGTTTATCTCCGTGTTACCAGACGACACTGACGATGACGAGTCACTTATCAGACTCTCGTCACTGTCCGAATCTTCGTCTTTACTCAGAGATTTGGAGTTCTTGATCGCTTCCTTGAGTTTATTTTGTAACTCGTTCACAGAGGCAGGTGCTTTCTTTACAGTAGTCGTACAGCCCTCGTGTGTATACAACATCAGAGATAGTACCTGGGGATTACAGAAAAATTATAATCTCTGCTCAAAACTATAGTGATATTAGTTCATGAACATTAAGTTTATATAAATGTTATGCACCATATGGTTATTTTAATTTGTTTGCCATTACATTTTTACTCCCATTACAATGTTACTTGAGTATTTTTTTAAATAATAATTATGTATTAAAATTGAGTAATGGGGAACGTACAGCACCTTTGTTCAATTATAAGCACTTAAATATTTATAAAATACAAGTTTTTCACTTAAGTTTAGCCTATATAAATACAACTTAATTATGCTCAAATTATCCTTTTTTAAAATGTATCGTCAGATGCCAATTTTTGTGTAAAAGCATCACAATATCTAAACCATTAACAAATTTACCTCCAAATCTTTCAGTAACCACTGTTGACTAAATCCCGTCCCCTTACTTGCCGTGGAAACAAGACATTGTATAAAGTCAGGGGCGTATAACTCATTTATACAACAATTACTGGCACTCTGTAAACTGTTATGTAGAAGTTTCAAAGCCAGCGACAACACCCACAAATTCTCTACATTTTCAACAGTCTCTGTAAAAACATGTCACATACTTCATTTTATTCAGATTAATGTTTCCCCGACAGTAACCATGTTATTTTCTGATGAAAATCAATCAAATTTGAGCTGCGTCACGACAAAACCAACATAATGGGTTTCGACCAGCATGGATCCAGACCAGCATGCACATCCGCCCAGTCTGATCAGGATCCATGCTGTTCGCTATCAGTTTCTCTACTTGTAAGCGAACAGCATGGATCCTGATCAGACTGCCCGGATGCGCAGGCTGGTCTGGATCCATGATGGTCGCAAACGCACTATGTTGGTTTTGTCATGACGTTGCTCATTTATAATTCCATTAGAGAGAACTGGTGAAACATTACTTGACATAATTTCTCTGTAATAATGGATTAATCATATCAACATTCTCTGTTATAGTGAACAAATCAATTGAAATATTCATATAATCAGTGAAGCTATGTTACCCAGTCTCATTTTACTTTATTTATTACAAATGTATAATGGACCTTTGTTGAACTTCATTTTCTTCAACATGACAGCTTTCTGTTTTGAAAATAAGACAGAATAAAATCTTTACACTGAACTTGAAATAAATTTCACAAATATTATGACTATGATTTCACGAATGACTGTGATAACATGAATATCATGACTGAGAAAACATGAATGTTGTCACTGTGAAATCATAAATATTGTGATTATTGTGATATAACTAATGCCTGTGATATTTTCATACATGTGAGCTTTTTTCGATGATCAAGAGGGAGATTTTTCTTCAAAAAGAGGGAGATTTTAGAATTTGCAATAAACAAAGAAGGAGAGTCTGACTTCAAAAATAGGTAGATTTCTTTAATTTGTGAAAATACACCTTATTTTAAGAAAAATCTTTGAAAATATGGCTGCAGAAAGTGGGAGTCTCCCGCTAAAAGTGGGAGAGTTCACATGTATGTATTATTGACAGATTGACAGCATGAACTGTCTCAACTGTAATGATATATTATATTTACCAGAACTTTTCCTTTCCACAATATCTTTGACAATATCAACAAACTCAACAATATTTGTAGAGTCCCAGACCTCTGTAGTCATTGATACACAGTCTATATACTTGTCTGGTACCTGAATACAAAAGAAAAATTCAATATACATAGGTAAGAAAATGCTTCATCACAAATTGCGACGCAGGAGTGTAATAAAACCATTTAATAAAAACGATATCACACTAGTGTAATAACACTTTGACATGACATCATTTGTGCTATACATAAACATAGCATTAAAGCGCGCTAATGTTAGTGTTACACCATAGGTGTGTCAATGAAAAATGACTCTTTAACAGTTAACCGTTCTTATTTTAAATAAGTGATAAATAGAATATTATATTTGTGTAGATTCAATACTAAATTTATTGAACCAGAGGCTCGCATAATATGATTTCATTCAACTCATTCAATAAATTTAGTATTAAACCTACACTCATGCAATATCCTTTATATATATTTTTACATGTAAATCAAAGAAACATATGAATATAAAAAATTGTCTTATTTTTTTTAAACAATGTAATAATGTTAACAAATAAAGTAATATATAAAATTATACATACAGTATGTCTCTTCCTTGTTTTGACATCTACAAGCAGGGTAGTATGTTTATCTGGGTAGTGTTTAAGAACCACACCTCTTTTATTATCCATTCCTGTATGATTATACATCACCAGTGTTCCAGTTGTCAAAACCTACAATATACAGGAAATATGTTTTGTTGTTATGTAAACCCATTATGTTACAATTGTACGTTAAGTTTTATAGGTAAAGGAAGATCTTTGTTACACCCCATTATTTCTGACAGAAGCTGGAACCATAAAAGAACCACCAATTTTAAATATGCTATCTAGAAAAAACCATGTCAGGTGAAACAAATAACCATTTAACAAGAATAACAGTCAGCCTGATGTAAATGATGTTGCTTCAAACAAAGCTAAGAGGCTAACTGGTCAAGCTATTAATGTGTCAGACTAGTAAACTAAAGATTGCTGGCTGAGTGGGTTCAAAACCCTGTCAAGGGAAAGCCATTGTTATCTTGAGCAAGAAACTTAACACTAATTGCTTAGCACTGGTTGGTTCCAGCTATATCGTTATTACGTTTGTTTCTTACAAAATCAAACTATAATTATAGTTTCTTACAAAATAAAACTAAAATAAATTCTGTACTTATAATGAGAGCAAGTAGACAATATATTTTAAGACTAAGTGACTATGACCTTGACCCAACCGAGATGAAACTCATTCAGAGTACATGAAAGGTTAAAAATCCCTATTAAATATCTAAAACATCAAATGAGCCGCGTCATGACAAAGCCAGCATAGCGGGTTTGCGACCAGCATGGATCCAGACCAGCCTGTGCATTTGCGCAGTCTGATCAGGACCCATGCTGTTCGCTATCAGTTTCTCTACTTGTAATAGGGTTTGTAAGCTAACAGCATAGATCCTGATCAGACTGCGCGGATACACAGGCTGGTCTAGATCCATGCTGGTCGCAAACGCATTACGTTGGTTTTGTCATGACGTGGCTCCAATATCTAAAATATGAGCCAAATGTTACAGGTGTTATAAGAAATGGTAATTAATTATGGACAAATCAACCAGCAACTAAATATGCTCAACTGAAAAAACAATTGTGTAGAAAAATAATTATGACCAGTACACCATTACGATAATTATAACCACAGAGTCAAATACAACAAATGAAAATACTTCATATTAAAACACATTTTACCAGCAGAGTAAAGAAAAGAAACTACTGTTTATTAGCCATATAATGTTACAAATACCTCAGGAAAACCAGCCATTACAAACATTGCAAAAATTGAAGACAGCTCTGGTTTCTGAAATGAAGAATAATATGTTTACTATAACAGCTAAATGATTTACATTTATTTCTTATAAATAACTACATGTATAAAGTAAAAAAACTTCAATGGTGTGAATCTGTTTGTAAAAAATTTTAACTAAAATTCTAAAACAGATTAAAAAAGATTTCATGTCTTGATCTCATTCTCTTTTGTATAAGGTAAACTTTATCTTTAATCTTGACAATATTTCTACATGAGCAGAAAAGTTCACATAAATGTTGCAACTAAAATTTTTGGCACTTTAAGTGTTGGCATCTACATCACAAGATGATGCTGCATTGAGATTAATTTTCATTTGAAATGTAATGCATTTGTTCCCCTTTATTTCTTGTTTCTATCCTTTCAGAAGTATCCCAACCCCAACAAATATATATCAGTAACTACAAAATCATCTTTAAAATAAATGTTGTAGTATATTTACCTTGGCAATATTCTGTACACATTCCGTAAGATGATGGTGTAGCACAAGTTTCCATTCACGGGAGTTATATAATCTTTGGAGTATCCTAGCAACAGAGCATGACCATTCTAAACCAGATCTGAAATATTGTAATTCTATTAATGTATCCTAGCAACAGAGCATGACCATTCTAATCCAGACCTGAAATATTGTAAAAATATTAATGTATCCTAGCAACAGAGCATGACCATTCTAATCCAGACCTGAAATATTGTAATTATATTAATGTATCCTAGCAACAGAGCATGACCATTCTAATCCAGACCTGAAATATTGTAATAATATTAATGTATCCTAGCAACAGAGCATGACCATTCTAATCCAGACCTGAAATATTGTAATAATATTAATGTATCCTAGCAACAGAGCATGACCATTCTAAACCAGACCTGAAATATTGTAATAATATTTATGTATCCTAGCAACAATATGTTAATTATTATTTGAATCCTGAATCTTTTTTTTTTTACATTTTGCTCAAATTTTGATTTTATTGAAATATTTTTGCTCATCTGGATGCATAAAGCTTTAAAACAAATTATACAAGACTCATTTGCAATACTATCAGCATAACCAACTTTAATAAATAAAACAAGCTGAAATAATTTAAAAATTCAGTAGATGAATGCTCACTTTTCTAGACAAGAGGCTCCAAATGTAAACAGATATTTGATGGTACTGTATCCCTCCATTTCACCACTGGTAACCTCCCTGTCCACTGAGCTGTCTGCTACCTGTAATACCAAATGATAAATATAATTTGCTTTCTACAAGTAGGACTTTTGATTATTAACCCTTCAAGTGCTGGAAACCAAAGCGTTAAGCCTTTGCAACCAGTATAGAGCCAGGCCAGTCTGCACACCCATGCAGTCTGACCAGGCTCTATACTGTTGGCTGACAAACTTTAAATATTCAAATTGATATCCCTCAAATTGATAATGGACAGTCTCAAAAATCAAAGTCCATTTGAAATACTCAGCATGTTAAGGGTTAATACCATCTTTAACAAATAGATAAATACATTATAAAGGAGAAGTTTACTTAGGTCATGTTTAAAGTCACACTTTAAAGGTCATGCAATGACTCTGAATATAAATCTAATGAAGGTCCCATATTTTTCTATGCGATAAAACAGGCATACACGTGGCAACACAGACCTTCTGTACAGCTGAATAGTTTCAACATACAAAAATACAAGTCACAAATGAGATACAAACTCATAGCAGTCATGTCTTTACTAAAACATCAATACAGTACCACTTTGAGATATAATTATCTTGACTAGGAGAGGACACTCATAAGCTGTCATAGCTTACTACCCAATCCCAAAATGTATTGTGTAAATATCGTTCATTACGCAAAATGTAAATATATCAAATAAATATGTTTAAACCAATTACCTTGACCGGACATTTAGTCAGTAACAATCCCAACAAACCCATGGCAAGATGTCTGGTGTTTACTTCATGACCGCTCTGACCTCTACAATAACATCAAATATACTCAATATACATTAGTACACTAGCAACAATGATGTCAATAAAATATGAGGAAACATGGCCACGATTACATTAGAGTTTTAACCCACTATCTCTGTTCTGTGAAAAGACACAGTAAACACTAGCTCATCTGATATCTGATATTTTTTGTTCCTTTTACGTCACACCAACACCGTCAAGGTCATAAGGCAACTTTCCAACTTTACTTGTGGAGGAAGACCACAGGTGCCACTCTATGCATTATTTCAGGCACGAATGGGCACCTGAGTAGAACCACCGACGTTCCGTAAATTAGCTTGATAGCTTAATTCCTCATATGAACAGATTCGAAGTTCCTGGTGGGATTTGAATCCACAATGGTGAGAGGCAAATGGTTTGAAGTCAACAACCTTAACCACTAAACCACACACACAGAACAATCTGATTGATATTTTACATGTACATATATAAACTCTTTTAAAGGGGAAAATTATGTGAATCCAAGAACTTATTTTCATATTGTTATGGAAGAAAGCCATTTAATTGTTTAATTTTTTTTTTACCTTGAAATGCTACAAGGATCCTTGTGATGATACATTTTTTTCTGGTGACTGGTATCTCAAATTGATAAAAATAACAAACAGATAAAAATTACCTTGAAATTTTAAACAGCAGCTTCAGAAATTCTTGCGTCATAAAATTGAAACTAGATCCACTGGGCCCAGCCTGGAAAAGAGAAATTACAATGGGAATAATAAATAAATCAATCAAGTATTGGCAATCTATACAATAAATTTCAACATCTAAAGAAGATAGTAACAGGATTGGTTGATACATATTTTTCATAAAATCAGTAATTGTCTAAAATAAGCAGAAACAACTGATAAACTAGATTAAGGCTTAATTATTTCTTAACTTCCATGTCTCTGAGGGGGTTTATAGGTGGTTTTAGTTTGTTTTTGCTAGGAATGAGAGAGGGGAACGTAATACAAAATGTATCTGTAATGTTGCTGGAAGGAAAATAAAAGAAATTTCAACTAAACACTGTTTCCAAGCAAGAAAACATACATGTAAATTACATGTAAATAATTTTGAAAATTATTGGGAATTGTAAGTTTGCTTCATAAAAAACCAACACATTTTTCTCCCAACCAAAACTGTCTGGAATTTAGAGCCCTTAATGTGCTGAATTTCTAACATGGACTTGTCCTGCTTCCATTAATGGAATGGCCAATTATAAACTTTGGGGATATTGAGATAAAAATTTTAAGTTGGTCATCCAACAGTATAGAGCCAGGTTACACTACAGGGCTGTGCAGACTGACCTGGCCCTATACTGTTGGTAAAGGTTATTCACTTTTGGTTCCAGCAGGTTAATGATTAAATGAAAGTAATGCATCCATAATAGGGAATCAATGTACACAGTAACATTGAATATCTCTTTTCTTTACAATATGATAAAGCTTTTAAATTCATCACTGCATCCAATTTCTCCATAAAAATCTTCTTTTATACATTATCTTACGTTTGCATCATGAGGAATCATGGCACCCAGTAGACCCATAAATTATTTCTTTTAGCAGTTAGATTAACTTACATTTGCATCATGAGGAATCATGGCACCCAGTAGCCCCATGAATTATTCCTTTTAGCAGTTAGATTAACTTATGTTTGCATCATGAGGAATCATGGCTCCCAGTAGCCCCATGAATTATTCCTTTTAGCAGTTAGATTAACTTACATTTGCATCACAAGGAATCATGGCACCCAGTAGCCCCATGAATTATTCCTTTTAGCAGTCAGATTAACTTACGTTTGCATCATGAGGAATCATGGCACCCAGTAGCCCATGAATTATTCCTTTTAGCAGTTAGATTAACTTACGTTTGCATCATGAGGAATCATGGCTCCCAGTAGCCCCATGAATTATTCCTTTTAGCAGTTAGATTAACTTACGTTTGCATCATGAGGAATCATGGCACGAAATATTCCTTTTAGCAAATAGATTAACTTACGTTTGCATCATGAGGAATCATGGCACCCAGTAGCCCCATGAATTATTCGATTAACTTACATTTGCATCATGGGGAATCATGGCACCCAGTAGCCCCATGACTCTTTCCTTTTAGCAGTTAGATTAACATACGTTTAAATTATGAGGAATCGTGGCACCCCGTAGCCACATGAATCTTTCCTTTTAGCAGTTAGATAAACTTACGTTTGCATCATGGGGAATCATGGCACCCAGTAGACCCATGAATTATTCCTTTTAGCAGTTAGATTAACTTACGTTTTGCATCATGGGGAATCATGGCACCCAGTAGCCCCATGAATTATTCCTTTTAGCAGTTAGATTAACTTACGTTTGCATCATGGGGAATCATGGCACCCATTAGCCCCATGAATTATTCCTCATAGCAGTTTGATTAACTTACGTTTGCATCATGAGGAATCATGACACCCAGTAGCCCCATGAATTATTCCTTTTAGCAGTTAGATTAACTAACGTTCGCATCATGAGGAATCATGGCACCCAGTAGACCCATGAATCTTTCCTTTTAGCAGTTAGATTAACTTACATTTGCATCATGAGGAATCATGGCACCCAGTAGCCCCATGAATTATTCCTATTAGCAGTTAGATTAACTTATGTTTGCATCATGAGGAATCATGGCACCCAGTAGCCCCATGAATTATTCCTTTTAGCAGTTAGATTAACTTTCCTTTGCATCATGAGGAATCATGGCTTCCAGTTGTCCCATGAATTATTCCTTTTAGCAGTTAGATTAACTTACGTTTGCATCATGAGGAATTATGGCACCCAGTAGCCCCATGAACTATTCCTTTTAGCAGTTAGATTAACTTATGTTTGCATCATGAGGAATCATGGCACCCAGTAGTCCCATGAATTATTCCTTTTAGCAGTTAGATTAACTTACCTTTGCATCATGAGGAATCATGGCACCCAGTTGTCCCATGAATTATTCCTTTTAGCAGTTAGATTAACTTACCTTTGCATCATGAGGAATCATAGCACCCAGTAGCCCCATGAATCTTTCCTTTTAGCAGTTAGATTAACTTACGTTTGCATCATGAGGAATCATGGCACCCAGTAGCCCCATGACTCTTTCCTTTTAGCAGTTAGATTAACTTACGTTTGCATCATGAGGAATCATGGCACCCAGTAGCCCCATGAATTATTCATTTTAGCAGTTAGATTAACTTACATTTGCATCATGAGGAATCATGGCACCCAGTAGCCCCATGAATCTTTCCTGGGAGTGAATGGAGAAAGCCTCTTCTTGTCTTGTCTCAACAGTTCTATCCTCAAACAAATTCACTGCTTTCTCTACAATTGAAGCAATATAACTTTTATATTTAACTATAAAATATGACCTGTTGACCTTGAAAACATAATTGTCCTAAAACTAAGTATGGAAACAATTTTTTTTTTAACAAAACAAATCCAAAATTTCAATCTAATTTAAGACATTTGAGAAAGCAATTATGAAACACTATATAAAATTATCAAGTTTAATGCAATCATGTAGAGACAGTATCTTAATCATTATTTAAGATTGATGTTGAAGAAAGTTCATTTGGTGAACAAAGTTTCTTTGCATCATAAAGATGGTTGTGGCCCAAGTAAGTCTCAACCCAACCATCTTTGAGCTGAAAGGCAGACACTTTTAACCACAAGGCCATCATACACACTACAAAAATAACTTGTTGATCAAGGGAGAGAATCAATATGACAAACCTTTTCCTTCAGTATCGGATTTAACCTCTGCATTATTTGATGCCTCGATTTTTGCTTGCAGAGGCCTCTTCAAATTCTCTGAAAAAAGATGTTAAGAATGTAGATATGTCTTATATCAGTGAAAACAATATCTGATGATAGAAACATGATATGAGCCGTGTCACGACAAAACCAGCATAATGGGTTTGCCACCAGCATGGATCCAGACCAGCCTGAGCATCCGCACAGTCTGATCAGGATCCATGCTGTTCGCTATCAGTTTCTCTACTTGTTATAGGGTTGGTAAGCGAACAGCATGGATCCTGATCAGACTGCGCGGATGCGCAGGCTGGTCTGGATCCATGCTGGTCGCAAACGCATTATGTTGGTTTTGTCATGACGCTGCTCATATATAGCTTAAGGCGATGAATGCTCCCCAAACCTGCATGTTTGTCAATATACAAAGGCTGTATGAGCAACTGAAGAAAAAAATCTTTCTTTATAGAAAAAGTGACCTTGACCCAAGTGACCTCTTACTGCACTTTATAATTACTTTCACTGAGGAAAAATTTAAACTAAATTCACAAAAATTTAAAGCAACATATAAAACATATTAAAAATAAAGAATTTTATATCTTAGAAAGCAACAAATTAAACTGTATAGCAATGTACATTTAACTGCAATTGTTTTTTTCCTTTCAAAAAAATATAGAATTTTACCATCCTCATCGTCTGGAACCTGTTGTAAACAATGTGTTGTTATAGAGATACACTGATTCTGTAGATGTGTTGCCAAAGAAGTGTAATCATGGTCCATGGCAACACCATTCTCCGTGTTATATATAATATCCCCCATAGAGATGGCCAACAATGTAAACAACATCCACACATGTTGATGAATGTATGCCTGAATCAGAGAATCTGTCTCCTGAGATGTTTTCACTATAAAACAAAACAAAAACAGACATTAAATACCTTTGTTAGTATTTCATGTATTGGCATGCATATCTAAAAATAAACCATTAGGAGTTTAAGGTATTCACAATAATAAAATAGAGGTTTTCACTAAGAACACATGAAAACAACAGCACAGCATGCCCTGTTTACACTTGTCTGTTAAAAATTCTAAATTGAAAAGGGTGTTTTGTTAAAAATTCTAAATTGAAAAGGGGCATAACTAAAAAATTTTGCTTACAGAATTATTTTATTAGCACGTATTCCAGGTTTCATGTTGATAACTTTTAAAATGTTTAAACAATGGACTACATTTAAGTTTTGCATGACGACTATGCCACAGCAATCCTTATAGCTTAACTTTTTCTCCAAAAAGTATAAACAAGAGGGCCATGATGGCCCTAGATCGCTCACCTGAATTATCAAACTCATCCAAACAATTACCTAGACAAGCATTCTGACCAAGTCTCATGACAGGTGAGTCAAAAATGTGACCACTACAGTGTTAACAAGGATTATCCATATTTGAGCAGTGCGACCTAGTTTTTTACCCAGGTGACACATATTCAAACTTGACCTAGAAATCATCAAAACAAACTTTCAGACCAATTTCCAGGATACTTGGATCAAAACAGTAGCAACTAGAGTGTTAACAAGATTTTTCTATTTTTAGCTCCGGTGACCTAGTTTCACATGCGATTTCGAACTCATCCAAGCAATTACCTAGACAAACATCCTGACCAAGTTTGATGATAATTGAGTCGAAAATGTGACCACTAGAATGTTAACAAGGTTTTTCCATATTTGGGCGGTGTGACCTAGTTTTTCATCCAAGATGACCCATGTTAGAACTTGACTTAGAAATCATCAAAACAAACTTTCAGACCAATTAACAGAATATTTGGATCACAACAGTAGCCACTAGAGTGTTAACAAGATTTTTTCTATTTTTAGCTCCTGTGACCTAGTTTTTCATCCGAAATGTCCCATGTTCGATTTATTCCCAGCAATGACCTAGACAAGTTTCCTGACCAAGTTTGATGACAATTGAGTCAAAATTGTGACCACTAGAGTGTTAACAAGGTTTTTCTATTTTTAGCTCCTGTGACCTAGTTTTTCATCCGAGATGACCCATGTTCGAACTCATCCGAGCTATCACCTAGACAAGCATCTTGATCAAGTTTGATGATGATTGATGCAAAAATGTGACCGCTAAAGTGTTAACAAGGTTTTTCTATTTTTAGCTCTGGTGACCTACTTTTTCATCCGAGATGACCCATGTTCGAACTCATCCAAGCTATCAACTAGATAAGCATCCTGACCAAGTTTGATGATGATTGATGCAAAAATGTGACCACTAGAGTGTTCACAAGGTTTTTCTATTTATAGCTCCGGTGACCTAGTTTTTCATCCGAGATGACCCATATTCGAACTCATCCGAGCTATTATCTAAACAAGCATCCTGACAAAGTTTGATGATGATTGGGTCAAAAATGTGACCACTAGAGTGTTCACAAGGTTTTTCTATTTTTAGCTCCTGTGACCTAGTTTTTCATCAGAGATGACCCATGTTCGAACTCATCCAAGCAATTGACTAGACAAGCATTCTGACCAAGTTTGATGATGATTGGTTCAAAAATGTGACCACTAGAGTGTTCACAAGGTTTTTCTATTTATAGCTCCTGTGACCTACTTTTTCATCCGAGATGACCCATGTTCGAACTCATCCAAGCTATCACCTAGACAAACATCCTGACCAAGTTTGATGATGATTGGGTCAAAAATGTGACCTCTAGAGTGTTCACAAGGTTTTTCTATTTTTAGCTCTTGTGACCTAGTTTTTCATCCGAGATGACCCATGTTCGAACTCATCCGAGCTTTCAACTAGATAAGCATCCTGACCAAGTTTGATGATGATTGAGGCAAAAATGCGACCGCTAGAGTGTTCACAAGTAATTGTGGACGGCCGGACGGACGACGGACGACGGACGACGGACGACGGACGACGGACATTCACCGATCCTAAAAGCTCACCCTGAGCAAGCTCAGGTGAGCTAAAAAGCTAAAAAAATAAAATAAATAAGAGTAATCCCTAAACTTTCATGGTAATTTTAATGCTTTCATATTAATTGTACATTGTATAGTTTTCAAGAATAAAAGTTTATTTTATCTTCTTTTTTTTTTATCTTTTTTTTTTTTGACAGAAAAGCAACAATGGGAAAAGCAGTTACAAGACAACAACATCAACAACTTGACATTACTGATAAACACATTTCCACCATTATACATATACTTACATTTCATCTGATAGAACTTTGTTATAGCATGTTGTGGAGAGTGACCAGTGGGGAGGCTGCCCTTCATATGACAGCCCAGGCAAAGGTCAAAATCTTCACATTCATTACAATGCATCCTGGTACCAACTATAAATGCCTGACATTTGTTGCACTTGTACCTAAAATAGAAAATTTAGTTTAACTCTTTAAGTTTAAAAAAAGGGTCTATGAAAATAACAGAAAAAAGTTCAGACGGCATATATAGTAGTCATAATTATATATCTTTAATATTGCCATTATTTGTTGACATGGCTATATAAGGGTGCCAAAATTACTTGACATAGCTATATACTGATGCCAGAAATAGTTAAAATGGCCATTTACTGGTGCCATTAATATTTGGCAATGCTTTAAACTGGTGTCATTAATAATTGGCAATGCTTTAAACTGGTGCCATTAATAATTGGCAATGCTTTAAACTGGTGCCATTAATAATTGGCAATGCTTTAAACTGGTGCCATAAATAATTGGCAATGCTTTAAAATAATTGGCAATGCTTTAAACTAGTGTCATATATATTTTGCAATGCTCTAAACTGGTGACATAAATAATTGGCAATGCTTTAAAATGGTAACATAAATAATTGGCAATTTTTAAACTGGTGCCATAAATAATTGGCAAGGCTTTAAACTGGTGCCATAAAGAATTGGCAATGCTTTAAACTGGTGACATAAATAGCTGACATGGCTTTATACTTATATGCTATATAACATGCCGTTAAACTGGTAACTTACACAAGGTGTATAATATCATGCTCATCTGTATGTTTCTCTGGTTCTACTCCACCTTTAAATAGAATTTAATGTTAATGAAATATATATATGCATGAACTTTTATCATGAAACATTTTAATAGAAATAAATGTCTTTGAAAAATATTTGTTTTCCATTTTTTATCATAATACCAGCTTCATTTTTTATCTACTTATGTGGTATTGTCATACAAAGAAAAGATGTACAATGTACTGTCATATAGAAAATGAAAACTAAGTATAAATATAGTATGCTTGACTATTCTCACTGCTGGAGCCTGGATAATAATGAATTTTGTTAGTTTCCAAGGACAATAATTTTGTTAAAATCTACGTTAGAGTCATTGACCATCTTTTACCCTCTCAAATAATAGTGTGAAGTTTCAACCCATTCCCTTGAGTTGTTTTGGAGATATCAGCTTGCATACAAAAATTTAACCAAAATGTATGACGCTGATGTCAGGGTGAGTGCATAGCTCGATTTGTTCTTCAAAAAATGAAGATAAATCTCGATATTGCAGTTAAAATTGCTAACAGCAAAATAAAACAGGTTAAGGAAACAGCTTGCTTTTGAAAAATTCCCAAAAAGTTTCAGATTAATGTTATTCTAACATTTACCAATAACCATGATTTGCCAAAAAATCATGGCTTTCCATGTGTAACAAAGTTCCATGGCTGTGATATTACAGCAACCTACCAGCATAACATGTTTTACAAAGATCCATGGATGTTCTCTTGTTGCATGTTAAAACATTACAGCAACCATATTTGACCTAGATACCTACCAGCATAACATGTGGCACATAGATCCATATCTATACAATGTAAACATCTATATCTACGTCCTGGAAGAGTAACATTACAGCCATCACAATTCACTTCTACCTCAAGTAGGTCACAGAACCTTGCTATAAACATCTGTACAGCCTGAAAATATTAATATATTACGTTTTGGTTAATGTCCTATCATTAAATAACTTACTTTGATGCTTATTTCATTTTATATCTGATTAGTTAATGAAGAGCATACATAAACAAACAAGAAAATTTGTTTGGTAAACACAAGGGTACCATTGTCACAAAATATAACTGTCACAAAAGCTTTAGGTGGAGATGCGGCTGATAAGGAGTGAGGCAAGCAAGTTGGTCCCTATACATATTTTTGTATTTTCATCTGAAATTTACCTTTATGTGTGACCTTCACCTTAGTTGCAGGGACCTTAATTTCATTTGTGACACTCAGCCTTATAATGATGAAAATTGTGCAAAGTGATATCAAAATCCCTCAATGCACGTAGATGTTTCGCTCCGGACAAGTGTTTTTCAAAGAGAACTAAGTGTGACCTTGACCTTTGACTAGAGACCAGATTCATGTGCAGGGCACTACATCTCATGGAGGTGAACAATTCTATAAAGTAACATAAAATTTCTACATGTATGTAGGAGACTCTGGACAATATATCATCTCTAGTAACCTTGACCTTGCAAATATTAACCTGAATTACATGTGTCACACTTGAAGTCACATGATAGTTACCATTTGACCGCCGCCATGAGAAAAGGGGCACTCGGGCAATTTTGACGCACCGTGAAAAAGTCCGGGAATAGTACGACCGCTTCGTTATTTCCGTAAACATTACAACAGGTTGCTAAATGGTGATTTAAGTCGTGATTTTTATACCTAGAGGGTATTTTACCATCAGAAATGGATGAATTTGAGGTAATATATATATTACATGCAGTTATTGTTACAAATAAATTGATATTATGAAGAAAACTTGCTTTTAAACCACTCGTCTGCCGTGCGCAGAGAATTTTTTTTTAACATCATAAAAGATTGTATTTAAAACAAAAATCAATGTATTTAAAACAAACAAATCAATTGATTTGTACGGATATAAACTTCAGTTATTTTTTTATGCTCCTAGAAGCCTTTATTGATCGATCTTTGAAAATTATGTTATTGACAGTTGTTTGTTGTCATACTGCTAAGCAACTAGGTAGTCTCCCTTGTTATCGATTTTTTTGGGTGAGTTCAAGATACACTAGAAAATTTACACCATGTTTTGAATGTTGATGTGGTGGCCGTGGGGTTAAGCTCCTTGCGTAGCATGCTCGCGGTCAGGGTTCAATCCTCGGCCGGGAAGTATTTTTTTTTTTATTGCTTATATTTTTTTTTTTATTTTCAGGAGCTGGATGGGTTGTTTCAGGAATTTGGCGTTGCTTCAGAAATTATGTCACAAAGCGATGATCATGAGGCGATCGAAAATCTTAGTCAGGAGTGGGACAGTGAAGAAGAAGAAGAAGATTTAGAAAATGCGTTAGAAAATGTAGAAAATAGTATTTCGTCAAGAGTCCATGACTATATGAGCAACACACACTCTTGTAATTCTGAACAATCAGGGTCAGAGCTTGACGACAATAACACCAATGATAACGATACATCTAACTGTGAGAATTTAAAACTGTGTAAATGCAAATCTAACTGCATGGATAGCTTTGAAGAAGACACAATTAATAACCATATATTGTCACTTAGAGAAATGGACAGGGGTGAGAAGGAAATGTTCATTATGGGAAGCCTTCAACAAGTAAGTGCTGATGAAACTTTGAAAGGTAAACGTAGAAAAAGGACAAGATTTAGGTACGTGTTTCAGGGAAAAAAGGTGTGCAAGGACGTGTTTTTATATATAAACGATATAGGAAAGAAATCGTTGAGGAACATCGTTGACCATTTTAGTATGAATGGGGCAGTACCACGTACCCATGGCAACACCGGACGAAGACCGCATCATGCTCTTGGATACAATGAGATCAGGTTTTGTGTTGACTGGTTGATATGGTATGCCGACATACATGGTTTACCCATGCCTGCAGCTCCGAGAGGACATGACGGAGAAGCTCCTATATTGCTGCCATCTAATCTCACAAAATGTAGTCTGCACACATTATATTCTCAAGCCTGTATAGAGTCTCAGGTTAGAAAGATTGGATTGTCATCGTTTAAGAACGTATGGAGTAATGTTGTGCCGCACATAAGAATAATGACTCCAAAAGATGATGTTTGTCATAAGTGTGAACTTTTACGCCACAAGGTTGTAGATGCTGTGACAGAGGACGCAAAATTAGATGCAGCAAATCATCTCCGTGAACACGTGCAGGTAAATTAATTGATTTATTTTTTTAAGTTGCTAAACGATGAACTTCATAATAAATGACAACATCCGTTGCTTTTATAATGGATGTTTCTTGATGTTGAAAGAAAAAAATTTAAAACATACGTCACAAAATTTGATTAATGTTTATGTACTATATTTACAGGATGCAAAGGCTGAACGAGAAGTATATCAGACAGCAGTTGTCCAGGCAAGATAAGAAATGTCAACTCACAGACGACATGACAGACCAGTAACTCCAGTATCCGCAGATTTAAACAAAGTACGTTGCTATAATAGTTACATTCGACCGCTTCTTATTATGAATCTTACTTTTTAAAATAAATCACTAATCTATTGTATGTATACTTTATTTGTAGCTTATGTCATGATAAAATATAATCAAATACCACAAATGAACTATCAAATTGCTACAGTATGAATGATAGATGAAGTGATGAAAGAGAATAAAGAAGGAAATAATATAAATTATTTTTCCCTTAAAATAATTTCCTTTATTTTTTCAAGAAATTATTTCAATCTCGTTCGAACGAGATTTTTGTTTACAAATCACTGGTTCCATTTCTGTGTATATATTAGTTAGGTAGTAAACGGAACCAATATCACTCTCAACAACTATATAAGCACGTGAAACTCGTGCATCGGTCTCTCAATTTACAACTCGCTGTCCGAGTACACTTCAAATTAACTCTTCGGATTTTACATCGGAAATCTCGTTGTTTGGAATGCCACGTGGTAGAGGAAGACCAGTTAGGGCTTCAAGGCCAGTAAATACTGCAAACCAGCCTAATAATGTACAGACCAGGGGTCGGAAAAGGCAGGCAGAGGAGGACGGTGACTCCCTAGCAGAAGACACTTTTCGACATTGAAAAATGGACTAATGCATTTTTGATATATGCGTCTGTGTATTTGTCAAATCACGCTGACAAAAGCTATGAGCTAATACACTATATGTATAACATTAGAGAGGCCGCTGCAAGACAAGGGTCGTATTGCTGGCGAGAATACGACGAGCAATTTCGTCTCCGGCAAGCTATAACACCAGCCCCCTGGTCAAAGATAAATAACGATCTGTGGTGGCGCTGTATGCAATTGAAGCCTGTTAACAAAAACCCCTCAAACGTGAGGAGATATACATGTAACCCTTTCAATTCAGGTTCATGCACGTGGCCGGATTGTAAGTTCTCACACACGTGCTCAAAATGTCACGGTCCTCATCCGGAAATCAAATGCACGTGGTCCGGTCCACAGTCGAATACACAGTCTTCGAATACACAGTCTAACTTTAATAATAAATCCTTTCGTAGACCTAAAGGATCATTCAATCAGCAAAGAAAAAATTAATGTGTCAAACATTCGTGGAAATACAATATCTCATAATCAGGATATATATAGATTAGCTCCATCACCAATTAATGTTAGGGTTTTAAGACGATATTTAAGATATTATGACAAAACCGAAGGTGTATTTTTATTACAAGGATTTTTGCACGGTTTTCCCATTCAATATAACGGTCCACGTGCACCACGAAATGCCAAAAATTTGCGCTCGACAGTTTTAAACCCCGAACTTATACAATCAAAAATTAATAAAGAAATTGAATTGGGTAGGGTAGCTGGTCCGTTTGTACATCGGCCATTGCCAAAACTAATCGTCTCCCCTATTGGGCTTGTCCCAAAAAAGACACCGGGTGAATATAGGCTCATTCACCATTTATCATATCCCCCTGGTGAATCAATAAATGATTACATTGATCCTAACCTATGCACGGTACAGTACACTAGTTTTGATGAAGCGGTTAAACTTATCCAGAATTTGGGTCAGAATTGTAAACTATTTAAAGCGGATATTCGTAGTGCTTACAGATTGATCCCTATTAAACCGTCCGACTTTGAATTACTTGGTTTCTGCTTTAATAATAACTTTTATTTTGATAAAGCTTTGCCTTTCGGCGCATCAATAAGCTGCATAACTTTTGAAAGATTTTCGCGTTTCCTTGAGTTTAGTGCTCTCCGTAAATTTAAAACAGGAGGATTAATACATTATTTAGATGATTTTCTAGGCTCCGATATTACTTTTGAATCTTGTTCAAAAGCATTTCAAATTTTTAAAACTACTATGTCCACTCGCGGAAGAGAAAACAGAGGGACCGACCGAAGTATTAATGTTTTTACACTGTGATAATATAGCAGTTGTTCATATATTAAATAAATTGTCTTCAAAGTCTTGTAGAGTAATGAGACTGGTACGTTTAATAACACTACGTTGCCTTAAACTAAATATCTGGATAAGGTCAATTCACGTGCCTGGTCATCAAAACGCTATTTGTGACTCTTTGTCTCGTTTACAGCTATCCCGATTCCGATCACTCGCCCCGGAAGCAGACCCCGAGCCCAGTCTAGTACCACATTTTCTATGGAGCGTCTTCAGGGAAGAGCTAGACAGTTGCTTAGTTCAGCAGTAGCTCCAAACTCGATGATCGTATATAATAATGCCATAAGGTCATTCGAAAAATTTAGGCACGAATATAATTTAACTTCTGATTGGCCAATTCCGGTCGATCATATGATTTTATATTTATCATTTTGCTTTGAGAAGGGGTTATCCCCTAAATCAATCACTACATATTTGGCAGGAATTAACTACGTTCATAAAATCCTCGGTTTTAAGAGTTTTAATCAAGTCTTTATGGTTAACAAATTATTAGAGGGCTGTCGCAGAAGTAGACCTACGCAAGATTTACGGGCACCTCTTACAATACATGTATTAGAGGAAATATGCCTTAATTTACACTCCGTTTGTTATGATAATTATGAAACCACATTATTTCGAGCACTGTTCACGCTTGCTTATTTTGGCCTTTTTCGTGTCAGTGAACTTACAGCTTCAAGTATTTGTCATCTTGGCCATGCAATTTTGCTTAACGATGTACACTTTGAAGAGAATGAACAGTATATCGTTATCTGTCTTCGCCATTATAAAACAAGCCAATATGGTAATCCAGCTATCATCAAGCTGCCTAGGAATATGAATGGATTATGTCCTGTCTCTGAGATACTAGAATATTTAAAGATCCGATCAAAAGGTTTTTCAATTCTGTTTTGTCATAAAAACGGAGCACCAATTTTGAGGTCACAATTTTCTCGTGTCCTATCGCTAGCTATTGATAAGACCCGTTATCGAGCCGGCCATTTCCGGACACACAGTTTTAGGATTGGTCGGGCGACTGATCTGGCTATCGCTGGTTATCCATCAGATGCCATTATGAAATTAGGTCGATGGTCCTCTAACTCTTTTAAGCTGTATGTACGTTAAGTTTCAACCTGATTCTATTTTATTCAGATGTCTGGGTGTTAGGCGATTCGTTGCCGTATTGGGCCGGGGTTCACGCATCTGACACTTTCAAGAGCAATTTAAAGATCGACGGTGTGTCCATTGCATGGTGGGGAAAAAGAGGCCTTGGTTGGTCGGGATTGAGGCGTCACATTGAATTGCAGGTTCTATTTTCTCAGCCACCTAAAATGGTAATTATTAACTTGGGGGGAAACGACTTGCAATCGTTTAAAACACCCGACATAAGAAATCTCATAAAACAGGAAATCGACTATTTACGTGATGCCTTTCCTGACACCCTTCTTGTGTGGATGGATATCCTCCCACGAACTTGGCCGGAAAATGAAAACAAGCCCTTAAACTTAAAGAGAAAGCGTTTAAATAGATTAGGTCGAAGAATTGTCATGGAGTCTGGGAAGGGGGCGATTATTACCACTGAGATTAATGACGCCTGTTTCTTCCGCCCTGATGGTATCCATTTAAACATTGTAGGCTTGGAGTTTTATTTAGACTATTTGAAAGATGCAATTGTTGAAAATTTATTAAATTAAGTGTTCATCGCTATTTTTTTGGAGGATAAATTTTTTTGTCAAAATTTACTGTGGCGGGAAAAAAATTATGTCGATCGGGAGGCGGCCGTCTGGTTAACAATCTTGTCTACGGTCTTAACTATTACCGTGTATTTAATCAGCGTTAATATTATAAATTTATATCTTTGGCGTTTAAACTTCTAAATTGTTTGTGTCTGGTAAAGTAGGTCAGTGTATGTGTCGGTATTAAGTGTGACACAGTGTATGTGTCGGATAAAGTATGACACAGTGTATGTGTCGGTATAAAGTGTGACACAGTGTATGTGTCGGTATAATATGTGACACAAGTGTTTTGTGTCAGGTAACCAGATATTGCTCTAGTGCTTTGGTAATATCTGTGTGTTTGTAATCGGTATTCGTACTTCAGGCTCCGTGATGCTTCTGGTAGTTTTCATTATTTTACGGTTATCGGTAGGATAATGGAAGGTATCAGTGGTTGTCAGCTGGTCCGTGTTGATGTATTATTATTTTGGCTCTGTGGCTTTGCCGGTACCCGATATTATTATATGGTTATCCGTACGATAATGGAAGGTGTCGGTCTTTGTCAATTAGTTTGTATTGGTATATCAATAAGACACTGGTAAACATAAGTGACTAGTATTCGGTTAATGTTTGGCAATCTGTTGGTCAATTAATATGACTAACATTTTCGTTTTGGCCTCCTTCCGGTCGGCATACGTTTTTTCCCAAACTAAAACCACGTTGGTTATCCACGTTGGTTTTTCTCGAGTGGCCATAATTTCCCAAAACATAAATACAAACTTGAATTTATTTTCTAAATAGTAAACATTTTATAAATGTACCATGTTGTTGTTTTCTCTTTTTCTGGTAACAAAATAAATGCTGATAAAACTAGAACTGCCACTATCATGGCGTGAATACCCCCGCATACCACTTTGTCAGTATCAACAGTGGCCATTTAGAGCTCAAGGACAACCTCCCTGCCAAATCTGAGGTTACTAAGCCAGTGCATTGCTAAGTTATGTATTCTACATGCTTCAAATGTGAAAATGTCAAAATCAATACATTGCGGACAGGACATTCTTTAGCAATTGAGAAGAAAAGCTTTTTTTTGTCAAGGTCCCTGTGACCTTGACCTTGACCTTTGACCCAGTGACCTCAAAATCAATAGGGGTCACCTTATAGTCATGATCAACATCCATGCCAAATATGAAGACTGTGGGTCAAAGGAATCTAAAGTTATTGGGCAGACAAACTTTTTGAAGTCAAAGTCCCTGTGACCTTGACCTTTGACCTGGTGACCTCAAAATCAATAGGGGTCATCTACTAATCATGACTAACCTCCATGCCAAATATGAAGACTGTGGGTCAAAGGAATCTTAATTTATAGGGCGGACAAGCTTTTTGAAGTCAAGGCCCCTGTGAACTTGACCTTTGACCTGGTGACTTCAAAATCAATAGAGGTCATCTACTAATCATGACTAACCTCCATGCCAAATATGACGACTGTAGGTCAAAGAAATCTTAAGTTATTGGGCGGACAAGCTTTTTGAAGTCAAGGCCCCTGTGACCTTGACCTTTGACCTAGTGACCTCAAAATCAATAGGGGTCATCTACTAATCATGACTAACCTCCATGCCAAATATGACGACTGTAGGTCAAAGGAATCTTAAGTTATTGGGCGGACAAGCTTTTTGAAGTCAAGGCCCCTGTGAATTTGACCTTTTACCTAGTGACCTCAAAATCAATAGGGGTCATCTACTAATCATGACTAACCTCCATGCCAAATATGAAGACTAAGGGTCAAAGGAATCTTAAGTTATTGGGCGGACAAGAAAAAACCGACGGACAGCCGGACGGACGGCCGGACGGACAAGCTGATTCCAGTATACCCCCCTTACAACTTTGTTGTGCGGGGGTATAATTAAATTTGATAAATAAAATCGTTATGTTTGATAGCACATTCATCTAATCCAGGATTAGTTTATTAGTTTTTTCATGTACGAATTTCATTTTTTTTTCATTGAAATTTGAACCATGACTTTATTATTCAGCAACACATGACGATTCTGTATAATTATTTAAATTTGTAAAATGATGACTGAAAATACATCATACGAGTACATTATGTAATACAAATAGCACTACAAATTTTTGTTGTTTTAGGTGCACTTTACGTTTGACTACAGCCAGTGCGTTACAATACCACATCATAGCCGGCAAATGGGTCCAATATATTTTGTGACCGGTAGAAAAATAAACATGTTCGGAATACGGGTAGATTCTACAGGAGAACAGTTTAACTACTTGATAGACGAGGATCAGTCAATAGGTATTTGCATTACTTTATGCATTATAAATTCATTATACAGTATTTTGTATGTATTTCTTTTAACAATTATTTTGTACGCAATTTCTATCTTACCTGTTAAAACAATATTTTCATATATACTGCACAGGTTTAGATGGTGGCGGAACTCACGGTCCAAACTCAGTGATTAGTATGCTTCACCACAGTCTCTCTAACTATGGATTTGGAGAAAAAGGTCTATATCTACATGCTGATAATTGTGGAGGTATGTTATTGAGTAAAGTATCGTTTTATACCGTATGAGCTTTGTATCATTTTTTTGTAATAACACCGCGAATATTCCTCTTTCTAAATCAGTGTAATAGTAGTATTAACAAAGACTTGATTTAAAACCTGATCTTAAAAAAAAGCTTTTTTATATTTCTATTTACAGCTCAAAACAAAAATAGATTCACGCTGGCATACCTGAGTTGGAGAATAAATATGGGATTGCATGAAAATATAACATTACTTATGGCTATCCCTGGACATACAAAGTAAGTTTCATGTTTTTTTACTTAATTAAATTAATGGTAAAGCGTCCCTTCATTCCATTGCAGAAAAATTCATGAGATGATATCTTATTAAAAACATTTATTCACGCTCATAAAGGATTAGTTTTATCAAAATATGAACAATTCAATTCCTTCGAATAAAGGACAAGTATGAATACTTTAATTGATGCACATGAAAAACAGAGTCGATATTTAGTTAAAATACATGTTCTCAAGTATTGAGATACAAACTTGAAACTATTATTTTTCGTATTGAAGATGATAATGATTATATCAAAAGTAAAGTATTTGCATATGTAATGAAGTGTACGATCCTATGCCACGTACATGAATTTTCAAGCAAGAAATTGATTTTTGCTTGAAACTGGCTAACTTGGTGCATTTTATAAAAAAAGTAAAAACAAATTTTCACAATGTTCACTAAACAACTACATATGTATTGCCATTATACGGAGAAATGAATACAAAAGTAGAGAATAACTCCTATTTTACTTATTTTATTATACGGAGAAAATATAAAATTATATACTGTACATTTATTTTAGATGTCTTGTTGATGGAGGGTTCGGGCGGATTAAGAAGTTATTTAAAAGATCGGATTGTGAGAGTTTGAGCCAGTTTGCGGACATCGTGGAGAAATCGGCGAAAGACAACTTCGCTGTCCTGTACCGAAATGCAAATGGCAATCAATCATGGACTTGGTAAATTGTCCTTTTTATATTGACAAAAAATTTATCAACTCTATTCTTAAATCTGTCTCCTAACAGAGAATCGGTGTATTTGTAAGTTACGCACTTTAATTAAGTCCATATAATACATCGATAAGATTTACTGACGTAATGATGATTCCTGCTATTCACGATATTAAAGTATTCGTTTAAAGTAATAGAAATTTGGTAAAATATTGAAAAGATAAAATAGAGCACAGTTTTGCATTAAATACTGATATTTGAACGTTGAATTTCTTATTTGGTTTTACTTTTAACAATGTCGCATATAATCTTCAATTTGAGTAGGCTTAATGATCAGGCTGGACGTATTAAGCTAAATGATTATTGTAGTGCTGAGTCGCGCTACATATTTTATTTCTTAATGAATCATTTTAGTCGTTTATTTTCTATAATAGGTATGACTGGAAATCGTATCTGATGAGATATTTTCTGCAGCTGAAAGGAATTCAAAAGTACCACAGCTTCAGATTTACAGCCGGAGACAAAACTGCGATATTTGTCAAAGAAAGGTCAAATAGTGACGAAATCCGCGTTCCATTGATGAGGAGAAACATTGTTCTGCCAGAAGGATCATTTCCTGATTCTATCCAGCCAGCTGGTTTAAGTCGTCAACGACGAGAATACCTTTACCGGCACGTTAGGAAATACGTGCGTCCTGCGTACCAAGATGAGACTTGTCCTCGACTTGCTGAGGAATGAACGTTGTGATATTAAAATTAAGTTAATCTGAACTGAAAAAGGAACAGTTGATTGTTTTGTTTCAGCGTGCATTATAAAAAACAAAATAGTGTTTGTTTAAAACACACATTTTTCTCTTTAACTGTAGCCCGTTGTCACTATTTATTACTAAGACTCGTTGGAATTACGTTTGACGTCACGCAAATTTGATGATGATGTCGCAAATTTTTAGTTAAGGTGTGTTTAGTTAAATCGCTGTATCTTACTTAAAAATTCGAATATCGACATAAAATAAAAAGATTTACACAGACGAATAAAATTTCTACAAGATTATAATAAAAAATAAAAATCGTCAAAAATTGCCCGAGTGCCCCTTTTCTCGTGGCGGCGGCCATTTGTGTTACAATCAATCAATAAATGATGACTAAATAGTCCCTATACACATCTTCAAAACTGAAATTTGACCTCTAAATGTGACCTTGACCTTAGCTACCTGAAATTAGCGCCTGGCACTAGGGCCTCGCACTCATGAACATGTGTACCAAGTTATATTGATTTGAAATCCCTCCATGCATGTAGAAGTTTTGCTCCGGACAAGCACCAATCAATGAGATATAAGTGTGACCTTGACCTTTGATCAGGGTGTGTTCCCATGATACATCCTGTTGTTCTAACTAATAATCTGTAGTAAATCTTTGCCATTACATCACCCTTAAACCTAATCTTGTTGCTTAAGAAAACAGACTGTTCAATCACTATATGCCTCCATTCTAGTCTACATAAATAAATCACCTTAAATATTATAAATCAGCATCTTTATAGTTATTTGCAAATTTACAGTTTTGACAACATGTCTCTGAATAAACTATACAAGACAAGCTCGAGCCCTTTTTAGTTGGAACAATGTAATTTCTAAAATAACATACAGTCTAACTTGCCCATGCGACCACGTGTATTAAGCGACTTTTGTCTTAAACGACCACTTTAAATTCCCCCCGATCATTTTCTCTCTATATCTTTAATGTATTAAGCGACTTTTGCTCAACGCGACCAGCGACCGCTAATTAGTCACCTAATTGACATCAATCTTTTCATTAAACGACCACTTTTACCTGTCAAGTAATTGTGTTTTTAGAGAACGCCACCTCGTTAAGTCACAAGTGTCAACAATCAAAACACAACAATAAACGTGTGAAAAACTCTATTTCCCATACCGTTTTAGCGTATGCAAATGAAGTTAAGTATACGCGTGACGTGTATTATCCAATAATATCGGATAAACAATGCAACGCTCCGCCCATACTGAGATGGTGTATACGCTTCGCTTGTTGACATTTAGACTGCATTGAATTGACCTTGAACTTGATCGGCCATTAAATTCATCGTAACAAATAGATGTAGTTTGTTTATTTCAAATGAAAAAAAAAATGCACAACAGAAAACGTCTTCACTAATAGGGTTTTCGTGTTGGAGACAAGGAAAAACAACGGAGTAGTTAAAAAATTCTGGAAAAAATGTCAAACATGTACGTAATGGATCTTGAAACTGTTTTGTCAATAAATATCAGAAAGTTATTTTTTACATTTGCATCCATTTAGATTATCGGAGCGTACTTTTTTCAACATTTATATAAAAATGAAGTTGAAAAACAATCCCACCGAATAAAAAAGATGTCATTTATAAATTTTGACTTTTATATCACGCTGACTGTCTTAAGAGACCGTTTCATTAAGCGACCGTTTTGGGTGTTTCCCTTGCCCGGTCGCTTAATACACCTTTGACTGTATTATAAAGTACATTTGTTCAGTACAAACCAGCAGCTAAGATAGGCAACTGATTTGCAGTACACACCATAACAAGTCATCCACAGTGGTCCCCTCAACGAACGTAATTTGAATTTTTGTTGCGACTTTCCAGCTTTACTAATGGAGGGAGACCTCAAGTGTCCTTGCAGGTATGAAGGGGCACCTGAGTAGAACCACCAATATTCTGTAAGCTAGCTAGATACTAGATAGTTTCCTCACATGAAAGTATCCAAAATCCCTGTGGGGATTTTAACCCACAGCCATGAAGGGCAAGTGGTTTGAAGTCAACGACCTCAACCACTTGACTACAGGCCTCATGCAAATAAAATAGGGCAAAGTTATCTACCTTTTTCTCATCATCAGCTAAATCTTCCTTGTTTTTATACCAGTCAACAAACGAGCCACTGCTACACTCATCAAACCATTTCATATGTTGTGTGTACTCCTTCAGTTCCTCCACCTCATCTAGCTTCTCCATACGACAATCTCGCATCTTGACTGTTTCCTTGGCAACCATAGAAAATAGTGCTGGCAACTTCACATCAGAAATGAAGTTCAGATCATATGGCTGAAAATATGTTGTCAAGATAAGCAAGTATTTCAATTCTTTGCAACTTTCATGTTGATAACTTTAAAATGCTTGAATAATGGGCTACATTTTTGCAATATGAAAACAACGCAGTGGTTAGCAAGGTGAATGAGCCAAACTTGCAATTTATCATGCAACTGCTATGGTAACTGCCCGATAACACTTGCCTGATAATTATTTTTGATATCAGGTCAGTAATCTGATATCAAAAATAAGCCCCGCCCATTTTAACGGACTTTTTTCAATTGCTTATATTCTTATTTTCATCAGCATGTGAATTCTACAATGTACATGTAATATCATACCCTTACAAGTCTTGAATCAAGATGCGATATTTATTTATTAATTTTTTAGACTTCAATTACGAATAAATTAGATAGCGAATAGTTTTAATAGCACCAACTAAATGAAGTGACGTCATAATTTATATTGCAAATGACATCATCGATGTTCACGTCATACTATACATGTAATCATAACAAACAGGCTGGACGATTTTCTTTGAGAACTTGTAACTGTTTACTTAATTTCGCCTGATTATTATTTAATAAGTGAACAAATTGTTTTGTTTAAAAAATAAGACGCATGTTTGTGTACAGTAGCTTGTGTTTGATTGCCGATTTGACTTTTCTATGATGAACTTTTGAATTTGACAATTCAAGACACATATTGCAGTAAAGTTTAGTTTATGTGATTCTAAGTGGATTTTTGGATCAATGTTTAAATTAAAGGTAAGAATTTTATCGTATTAGGCCTACATTCTTTTGCATCTTTTATCCGAGTCGAAAGAGAAAATGGCGGCCATTTACTGAAAATTCTATGTTTCAGGGGCTGAGGAATTTGCTTTCAAGAATTATTTCTTTGAACAAAAATCCTCCTTTTTAAAGAAATTCGCTATTTAAAAGTAGATAATTTTGTTATTTTGACAGTTATTATGTAATACATGATACCTTTCTAGCCCATATCAGCCTCGCCTGATAAAATTGATATCAAAAGACAGTAGCATGTTATTCTCTATAAGTCAGCCACCTTATCACATAATCAAGAAGGCCCAAAGAATTTATCACATAATCAAGAAGGCCCAAAGAATTTATCACATAATCAAGAAGGCCCAAAGAATTTATCACATAATCAAGAAGGCCCAAAGAATTTATCACATGATCAAGAAGGCCCAAAGAATTTATCACATAATCAAGAAGGCCCAAAGAATTTATCACATAATCAAGAAGGCCCAAAGAATTTATCACATAATCAAGAAGGCCCAAAGAATTTATCACATAATCAAGAAGGCCCAAAGAATTTATCACATAATCAAGAAGGCCCAAAGAATTTATCACATGATCAAGAAGGCCCGAAGAATTTATCACATGATCAAGAAGGCCCAAAGAATTTATCACATGATCAAGAAGGCCCAAAGAATTTATCACATGATCAAGAAGGCCCAAAGAATTTATCACATGATCAAGAAGGCCCAAAGAATTTATCACATAATCAAGAAGGCCCAAAGAATTTATCACATAATCAAGAAGGCCCAAAGAATTTATCACATGATCAAGAAGGCCCAAAGAATTTTAAGTCTGAGTTAAAATATATAAAAATGTGCTAAGTAGCTTTTAATAAAACATTCATTAAACATCCAATTCTCAGAGAAGCCAAGGAAACAAGTGTTTTTAATGGATTTTTCCAAAAACTTTGAAAAAGGTTCACTTCAGAAAAAGAAGCATTCTTATGAAGTTTTGATGATATTGACCCAGTGATTCAGTAGATGATGTATGGTGCACCAAAGAAAAGAACACCAAATTCTTACAATGATTTTTACATGAATGACATAGGGCAATAACATCTAGCTAAATGAGACACAAAGATGAGTGTTATCTGATAGATAATGACAATCACTGGACAATACAATACACTTCCTGTAACCTACCTGCCAGTGAATGTCCAGTAAATGTAACAAAGCTCCCTGTATATAGTCATAGGCTGCATGTAATTTCCTGAAAATATAATACAATAATAACAGAAAACTTGGTAATACAAAGTTTGTCTAAATGGGGTTTTCTGCGCCTTGATAAAAATCCTACCATCATACGCTGAAAGAATGTCTATGAATCTGAAAAGAGGGGCACAATTTATATAAAGCTTATAACCATTTATACTAGATCATATGAAATACCAAACATATTTTTAACTAATAATTTATGATAAACACAACTAGATGTACATCTTTTTATCATTTCATTTTTCGGTCAATTTTTTTAAAAATACGGTTTCACTTTGGTGAATCTTGTTAATAACTATAGCTTACGGATCTAGATCATGTCTCCTGTATTTATGGAAGGCATCAGTGAGTCTGCGTATGAGTGTATAAAAGGAGTGTCTAACTTTAGCTTCCTGTTCGAGGCCACACCCATCTAAACCTTCCGCATAGTGTCGAGCAAACCCAACCTGATAACTTAACATCTCTTGTAGAAACAATACAATGAGAATCTGAAACATAAAAACAAATTTTAAAAAGATAAAAAAATTCCCTCACAGTGAAATCTTGGCAACTATCCTGGTTCATGTAATACAAAAAAATACAAAATCATACAAATTTTTTTTTTTTCTTTAAATTTGACAATGAAATATAAATATAACATGAAATTAACACACTTATTTTTACAAAAAAATGGCTTAAGAATTGGCAAGAAATGCTTGCCTAGAATTGATTATCAAATCCTTCATTTTCTCAAAAATCTATTTAAATCAGAATATATACAGAATAAAAGATGTATACCTGGAAAGGTTTGTCCTCGGATAACATTTGTATAAGTTCTGTACTGATCATATAAACATCAGCTACAGCTTGACCATGTTGTGTTCTTTCTTGTAACATGTTGTGTACTCTACAAGTATACATTAAAATAAAATGTGTACTCTACAAATATACATTAAAATAACATATGTACTTTACATATATACATTAAAATAACATATGTACTCTACAAATATACATTAAAATAACTTGTTGTGTACTCTACAAATATACATTAAAATAAAATGTGTACTCTATAAATATACATTAAAATAACATATGTACTCTACAAATATACATTAAAATAACTTGTTGTGTACTCTACAAATATACATTAAAATAACATGTTGTGTACTCTACAAGTATACATTAAAATAACATGTTGTGTACTTTATAAATATACATTAAAATAACATGTTGTGTACTTTATAAATATACATTAAAATAACATGTTGTGTACTTTATAAATATACATTAAAATAACATGTTGTGTACTTTATAAATATACATTAAAATAACATGTGTACTCTTATAAATATAACATTAAAATAACATGTGTACTCTACAAATATACATTAAAATAACATGTTGTGTACTTTATAAATATACATTAAAATAACATGCGTACTCTACAAGTATACATTAAAATAACATGTTGTGTAATTTATAAATATACATTAAAATAACATGTTGTGTACTCTATAAATATACATTAAAACAAGATATGTTTGTAAAACATGTATGCCCCCTGTTGGAAGCCAATTAGTCATGTGATCAGGTTATTATGCTTGACTTCTGACCCAGTGAACAAACAATTAATAAGGGTTATCTAGTATCTACTGGTCATGACTACAAGGTAATAATTATTGTGACCCTATAGGTTGTGTGCAGCAATTTAGGTTATTACAAATCTTACCAAATAATATATGCATAAATTTTATGAATCATGTAGGCCTCATTAATGACAGCCAAGTTGTTGACCCCTTGACCCCAAAATCAATAGGTCATCTGCTGGCAATGACCAATCATCATACCAAGTATGAAGTTTCTAGGCCTAAGCGTTCTTTAGTTATTGATTGGAAACCGTTTTTACCTACAAGGTCAGTGTGACCTTGACCTTTGACCCCTTGACCCCAAAATCAATAGGAGTCATCTGCTGGTCATGACCAATCATCATACCAAGTTTGAAGTTCCTAGGCCTAAGGGTTCTCTACTTATTGATCGCAAACCGTTTTTACCTACAAGGTCAATGTGACCTTGACCTTTGACCCCTTGACCAAAAATCAATAGGGGTCATCTGCTGGTCATGACCAATCACCATACCAAGTTTGAAGTTCCTAGACCTAAGCGTTCTTTAGTTATTGATCAGAAACTGTTTTTACTTACAAGGTCAATGTGACCTTGACCTTTGAACCCTTGACCCAAAACTCAATAGGGGTCATCTGCTGGTCATGACCAATCATCATACAAAGTTTGAAGTTCCTAGACCTAAGCGTTTTTAGTTAATTGATCGGAAACCGTTTTTACCTACAGGGTCAATGTGACCTTGACCTTTGACCCCTTGACCCCAAAATCAATAGGCCATCTGCTGGTCATGACCAATCACCATACCAAGTTTGAAGTTCCTAGGCCTAAGGGTTCTTAAGTTATTGATCGGAAATCGTTTTTACCTACAAGGTCAATGTGACCTTGACCTTTGACCCCTTGACCCCAAAATCAATAGGGGTCATCTACTGATCATGACCAATCACCATACCAAGTTTGAAGTTCCTAGGCCTAAGGGTTCTTTAGTTATTGATCTGAAACGGTTTTTGCTTACAAGGTCAATGTGACCTTGACCTTTGACCCCTTGACCCCAAAATCAATAGGGGTCATCTACTGATCATGACCAATCACCATACCAAGTTTGAAGTTCCTAGGCCTAAGGGTTCTTTAGTTATTGCAGGGCTGCCAACAGCAAATTGCAAAATCAGCGGAAAATACGCCGGGGGTCAAGGGGGCTGCGCAAGCCCCCTTTGCAGGTCCAGGGCAGAGCCCTGGTGGGGGACCAGGGGGCGAAGCCCCCGGAAGCTCCTGGATTCTGATGATTTGGTATGCCCTAAAATCAATTTCCTGGACTCTAAATTTGACAAATATCCGACATTTTGACGCATTTTGACAACAGACAAGAGCGACAATGTAAACTGTAATTTGATTGGTTATTCTAAAATAGAATACCGGAAAAGACTCGATATGACCAATGAGAAAAGCGCTTACAGACGTACCATAGGCGGCTAGCGTAACGATAAAAGCCGAAGCGTGCCGGTTTTTGGGTACTGTATAAAATATGACGAATGAATTTATTGTCTTTGTCAAATTTACATCGATCTCAAAAATGACCCAGGAGCTCACGAAATCCGCGGATTTCCGCGGATAATCGGCAGCCCTGTTATTGATCGGAAACCGTTTTTGCTATCAAGGTCAATGTGACCTTGACCTTTGACCCCTTGACCCCAAAATCAATAGGGGTCATCTACTGATCATGACCAATCACCATACCAAGTTTGAAGTTCCTAGGCCTAAGGGTTCTTTAGTTATTGATCGGAAACCGTTTTTGCTTACAAGGTCAATGTGACCTTGACCTTTGACCCCTTGACCCCAAAATCAATAGGCGTCATCTACTGATCATGACCAATCACCATACCAAGTTTGAAGTTCCTAGGCCTAAGGGTTCTTTAGTTATTGATCGGAAACCGTTTTTGCTAACAAGGTCAATGTGACCTTGACTTTTGACCCCTTGACCCAAAAATCAATAGGGGTCATCTACTGATCATGACCAATCACCATACCAAGTTTGAAGTTCCTAGGCCTAAGGGTTCTTTAGTTATTGATCGGAAACCGTTTTTGCTTACAAGGTCAATGTGACCTTGACCTTTGACCCCTTGACCCGAAAATCAATTGGGGTCATCTACTGATCATGACCAATCACCATACCAAGTTTGAAGTTCCTAGGCCTAAGGGTTCTTAAGTTATTGATCGGAAACCGTTTTTGCTTACAAGTTGTGTACTTTACAGATATACATTAAAATAACATATGTACTTTATAAATATACATTAAAATAACATGTTGTGTACTTTACAAATATACATTAAAATAAAATGTGTACTCTATAAATATACATTAAAATAACATGTTGTGTACTCTATAAATATACATTAAAATAACATATGTACTCTACAAATATACATTAAAATAACATGCGTACTCTACAAATATACATTAAAATAACATGTTGTGTACTCTATAAATATACATTAAAATAACATGTTGTGTACTTTATAAATATACATTAAAATAACATGTTGTGTACTCTACAAATATACATTAAAATAACATGTTGTGTACTCTACAAATATACATTAAAATAACATGTTGTGTACTTTATAAATATACATTAAAATAACATGTTGTGTACTTTACAAATATACATTAAAATAAAATGTTGTGTACTCTAGAAATATACATTAAAATAACATGTTGTGTACTTTATAAATATACATTAAAATAACATGTTGTGAACTTTATAAATATACATTAAAATAACATGTTGTGTACTTTACAAATATTCATTAAAATAGCACATGTGCTCTACAAATATACATTAAAATAACTTGTTGTGTACTCTACAAATATACATTAAAATAAAATGTGTACTCTATAAATATACATTAAAATAAAATGTGTACTCTATAAATATACATTAAAATAACATGTTGTGTACTCTATAAATATACATAACATCAGAATAGAGTTTAAGCTTTCTTATATCCTTAAATATCTAAAGTAAATAGTTCTAAAATCAAACCATGTTCAATTATCTGTCATTCATGATATAGTATTTTATAGGCATGAAATTATATGTCAACCAGATTTACTATCATTGAATTTTTGAGACATGACATTATTGTTTAATTAACTAAGAGATGATGACATACTTTTCTGTACTCCAAGCTTGATCTTGAACAAACTCTAAAACCAGTCTAAATGAAGGAAACTTCTCTGACAAGTCAAACTGAAACATACAAAATACAGAATTTTATAGTAAAATTTAAGGCTATAGTTAAAGCTATAGACTATCTGTGACCATAGTAATCTTCTTATTTAATTCGTTCTTTCTTTTAAATGCTAAACGTGAAATTTCATAAGATTTTCCAAAAGCATACATCTCGGCAAGCCTACATTAACAAATTTGTAAAGACTATATTCAAACTGTATGTCAAGTATTTACATTTCACTACAGTCACATTGTTTCATACATACCTTATTACCAAACTTCTCACCACGTCTTGAATGTTTCTTCATCTGCTTCGACAGTTTCATTTTTGTTAGCTAAAATAAAGAAATTGCAATGAACATCATATCTTATCCTTCAAAACAGAATATTTCTTGTTAACTTCCCACTCTAGTTAGATTAGTGGCTATGTCACTGGCATAAAATACGTCCAATGGTGACATTCTTACTTTTAATGTTGAAGGAAGACTCCTCATAAAATATTGTACAAAATTTCACGACAAAAGGCTAAACTGGCATCATATGGGTATGTCAATATTAGTTTTATAAGTGTTCTATATGTTAATGTGAAATGTATGGCAACAGCAACTATGTTTTAGTTTTATCATGGATTTTAACAGTGCACTCGCTGGTGAGCTTAAAATGATTTTCCAAACTTTAAAGTAATACCCCAAGGGGACAGCAAAAACAGGGATGATAATAAAAACATCACAAAAAAAATGTGTTAACATTCTAAAGACACTTGGCTGAGTTAAGGGGATCGCTCTATTATATAACATAATGGTCAATAAATAGTCAAGCTAAAATAAATCAGTAAAGGCTTTCAGATGAATTAGGATTAAAGAAATTACCTCTTGTTTCAGCTGAGTTTTGGTAAGTCCAGCAAACTTCAACAAATAAAGGGCCTTCTGCTTACATATTGTTGCTGGAAATAAAAAGAATACATAGTTTTATTACCATGAAGTATACTGTTTACACTGGAGCTAGAAAAACATGTCTTACACCCCTGATGTTCTTATGAATATTTCACTTTGTGGTTATGAATAAAATTGTTATTTCATATGTCACTACATGTATAAGAAAAAAGTGCTAAAATGAAAATATCAGTTATTGTAAATTCTTTCCGAAAATGAATAGCATGTAATATCTTTGAAAAAGAATCAAACACTGCTTGCCATCATAGATGGGAATATCCACCTCTCAGGTAACTATTTAGCGGAAGCAGTTACCCCAAAGTTAGATATTCCAGTCTGCACAACAGCCGGTGTAAGATGTGGTGTATATCTAGGACAGAAGTGACTTACTGGGATCATCTTCATCTTTAATCACTATATTGTCATTATTTTCAGCAGCAATTTTCTGACGTTGTTGTACCAGTAATGGCCGTAATGTCTCAGCTGCTGTGTATGCCTGACATAGACCGTCTGATACACTACCTTCCCTTACATTGTTCACTGTAATCATTCAACAAAAACTTGTATCATTGTGTATACAACAGAATCAAAAGATGATTATTATACCATTTGGATATGGAATAAGGACAAACTTATCTTAACAGACCAAAAGGTGACGGTAAGTGGTAAACAGTCCCTTGCAACAGAAAGTTTAACATTAGAATTGTTCTTATAAATAACAGTTTTACAGTTAATTAGATTAAAAATCTTTCAAATTAAAACTGTTCAAACAGTCAAGTTTTTTTTGTTTTTTGTTTTTAAATAAAACAGATAGTTTAAATCTTAAACTGTTAAAAAAAAATAATTAAGTGTTACATCAGAATTATTCAAACAACAGATAGTGTTTATGTAACACTTACAACCTTCAGACCTTAGGCAAATGGAGGCAACTGAGTAGAACCACCCACCTTCGTTAGTTTTCTCACATGAAAGAATAAAAAGTTTCCTGAGAGATTTAAAAACCCAAAGTATTAAAATCAAAGCAATAAAACAGCATGCACTTAGATACAGCAAAACAAAAAGGATAGGAATAATTTATTTTTTTTTTTTTTAATTTTATTGAAAATAATCCACTCCCTAACTTAAAAACAAAACTAATAATAAATCTTTTCCCTCTCTACCGATAAAACAATCCTTAAGTTGGGAAAAAACAGTCATTCCGAAAGACCGTCGGACCGTCGGCCCTGACCGGTAAAAAATCAGAAGGTCCGATAAAAATATATGTATAGACGGCCCGACGGTCCGGTAAAAAATTAAGGTTTTATAAAAACCTTACATTCAACATTTTGCAAAGGCCGATCATTTACCTACATTCAAAAGATATCAAAATGTTGTCATTACACAATATAAGCTGGTGCAATGCTTGTCAACTGTTATGCATTCTCATAATGCAAACTTTAATGTAACAACGTAAGATAAAAATATCCGACAACTAGTACAATTAAAAGTCAATAAGCGGCTGCGTACATAAGCGGCCCAGATGTGAAAGGTCACCCGCTATTAGTTTGTTTACACAGATGGAAGTGTCAGTGTATAAATTGGAAAAATTTACGTCTTTTAATCCACAGACTTAGAGAAATGCTAAATTACACGTGTGCTCAACTGGTGTTTAGCAGCGAATTAGGGATATGTAAGCTCGTCCTAGATGTTGACAAAATTAAAATGTACTGTGAAGGTACCAAAATCATTGAACAATTAATCTGTCAACTTCACTAAATTACCGATATATATAAGTCTGTTTACATATGCCAGACTTTTGCTGAAACTTACCCTCTCATTTTGCTAGTATATAGTCTGTATGGAATTAAAGTTTAAATAGCAATATCCATAACAATATTTATGTTTACATTTTGATTGTGGTGAAAAAAGATAACTTCACTTCGTTGATAATATAATTTTCTTTTTGTACACAAATTTTTTGACTGCTGACACTTATCAAGTGACTCAAAATGCTATACCAATCAGGTTTTTTTCGGTCCAGTAAAATCATGTTTGGTCCAGTAAAAATTTTCAGTTTACAGGACCTACTGTCCAGTAAAACTCAGAAGTCTTTCGCATAGACTGAAAAAAACAAAACACTATTGACATAAACTTTTCCAATCTTTACAGAAAATCATTCCTTAAGCTGGAAAATAAACCCAACTCTATTGACATAAATTATTCCAGTCTTTACAGAAAATCATTCTGTATGTTGGAAAAAACAACCCTCAATTGACATTTACAAAAGTGATAAAAAATATCTTACCATATTTTTCGAGATCCTCTCTCAGTTGTTGTGTATGCCAGACTAGAGCACAGAATACTGCTATAACAGCTGCTGTTACACTTTCACCACCCATAGGTAACATCTTACTACCTTCTCTACATTTCTGTAAGAACTGAACCGATCTCTCTTCCCCATTTATCATACTCCAGAGAAAAGTTAGTACCACTGTAGTATCTTCAGATTCCTAGGTAACATTTACAATTCTGTTTATATAGCATGTCACATAATGTATAATAATGCCATATCAAAGACATAACATAAAGATATATACAATAAAACTTCTATATAACAAACTTTGATCACTCAATTTTTTCCTGATGTTTCATAATAAAATGAAAGTCCAGATTCCCCCCCCCCCCCCACCCCTATATATACTTTATCAAAACCAATATACGAAGAGAATTTTTATGTGTCATTTTTGTACGTGGTCAGGGTTAACTTACATATCTGCCAGATAGCGACCTCTGTAGTTTTCCTATCATATAACCACCTCTAAACAATGTAGTCCACAGTTCACTTCGTAATATATCCTGCTCTGCTGCTTCCTCTAGCTCCATCAACTGATCTCGTGGTAAAACTGTAACACAGAAAATACAAATGAGCCGCGTCACGATAAAACCAACAACATAGTGCGTTTGCGACCAGCATGGATCCAGACCAGCCTGCCCATTCGCGCAGTCTGATCAGAATCCATGCTGTTCGCTATCAGTTTCTGTACTTGTAAAAGGGTTTGTAAGCGAACAGCATGGATCCTGATCAGACTGCACAGATGCGCAGGCTGGTCTGGATCCATGCTGGTCGCAAACACACTATGTTGGTTTTGTCGTGACGCGGCTCAATAATGTTCTATCTATTGATCTTCCATTAATGGCAAACCTCTCGTGGTAACGTAGACATGACTCTAGACTTCAGAGACTGCTATGAGATACAAGGGAATCCGGGAACCAGTTTTTAGCTCTTATTGAATAGACCCCTTGGTTTTTTTACATGCCCAGTGTACAGCATTGATACATGCGAGGATTTCCTGGAATTCTTACCAGTACACCTCTAGGTAGGTGGGAAACACTGAAAGTGTCTCTGAAAAATCCCAAGGGTGTTACCCAGGATCAAACCTGGGACCTCGGGAGTGACAGTCAGTGGTCTAACCAACTGAGCTATTGCATCACCTACATTTTGTGCAAAACATTGTTTAAGTGGAACATACAGTGGTGTAAACTTTCATTTAGATTATTTAGTAAAATAAAGAATTTTATTGCTATACTAAATTTTAAAATTCACCTGGATTAGCATTGAGTGTAGCTCCACATAACTTTCCTACAAGTTTAGTGAGTCCAAGTTGAAGGTCAAATGGCCAGGAGAGGGGCATATCAGGACTTCCTCTTGCAGTGACCTTGAACTTGTAACCCCATTCAGTGTTACTGGCTATCTGAGTGAAACAAGAAATGTATATGTGGCCCCATAAATTGGATCTGTTTTGGCCATTTCTGTGATCCCACTTTTTGGTCAAATCTCATTTGCTGACCTCGGGCATCTGTGAACACCAGGTAATCATATCTGCAAAACAAACAAAATATAATTGTTTTTAGAGGCAATTACTTTTGAATTTGAACCAGATATTTAAATGTGGTCACTTGTAGTGTATGATTAAGAACTGTGTTACACACATCTTTATACATAAAAAGATTTAAAAAGCTAAAAGTAGTTTAAAGAAGATATGAATTTATCTATTTTCATAGTACCATCTAGCTTCAGAATGTTTTGGCTTTCGTCTGAGTTTATCAATTTTTCAATACTACAGTTTTTGGTCATTCCAAACTTTTCTACATGTTTAAAGCTTTTTTTTTTGGGTTAATTTCATTTTTTTTATGGAAACAGTCAAACAGTTGAAAGCAACAAACCTTCTCTCTGTTTCACATCTGGCATCAAACTCTACAATAAACTTGGTAGCTCCAGGACAACTAAAAACTTGTGTATAGTGGACATTATTCTCATAGTTGTGGGCAGATTCAACCTCCCATGTTCTCAATACAATATCCTCAGAGTGAGCACTTTGCCAGTGTGAGCTACTTATCTGTATAATAGTACATATTATGTCTACATATAATATCTAGATATCTACAATTGTATTTTTACTTGAATACAGAGGAAAAGCTAGTTTACATGTATGTGACACAAGGCCCTATACATGTATAACATCCCAATATCAGAATATGTATAGAAGAAATATAAATTATTGAATTACATAATAAATATTATCAAGTAATTTCTTTTTCTTATAGAAACTCAGGCATTTAAATTATATGTACTTAAATGAATAAATAAAATCTACTTAAATCTTTCCATAACCAATTTATCCTGATGTCACACATGTATTTTCAAATTAGTTACAGGAATTTCACGATTTTATTTAACAGTCAATTATACAAGGTATTGTTAGACAGTTACGAAAAGTCATTAAGGCCACTTATCTAATGATTTATAACACTTACAGTAGGAAAGACATCTGGTATCAGGGCAGCCAGTTTCATCAGCTCCTGGTTTAAAGGCTGTAATTTCTTCAGCAGACTGACCCTCGAGGTGGAACTGAGGCTCGGACATAGATAGGTCATCAACAAGACCATCTGTCTAACGACGGAGCCGAGGAACGATGTCTCTATCTTAGGTACGAGCACCTTCAAGTATTCCTCATCTTTGGTCTGTAGAAGCTTGCAGGCTTCAGTCGCTCGCTGGGCTACCAGGATGGCATCTGAAATACAAGAGAATTTATGTTTCTACTCTATTCACAGTTTAAAAATAATGAAAAATTTATATTTGTTTCTACTGCATCACTTAACAAAAATATGGGTAAGTCTGAAAAAGTGCTGAAAATATATTTTAGCTATTTATAAAACAAGAAAGCTTTGTTGGCCAACTTTTTTGGTTAATATTGCCCAGAAATGAATGCAATAAAAGGTATTCTTGCTAAAATACAGTGCAACAGTTCATTACTTTGTTTGTATGATTTAGTGACTTTTTTTGGTAATATACCTGTGGGCAATTACCTAGCAAGTACCACTGGATTCTGCACCAGTTCATTCTTTTTTCCAACCTAAGTAATTTAAGCCAGAGGGCCATGTGCCCTACATCACTTGTCAGGATAAAAAATTAAGATATTCATTACATGTGTTCCTCTTAATTTGTCTAAGAAATTGTAATGAGAAATTTATATCCAATGTCAGTTTATGTGTTAAGACGTAGTATCTTAAGACCAAAATAATATAAGACATATTTCCTTAAACAAAATTGTCAAAAATAATCAACACTAGTTAACTTCAGTTCATTATACATAACACTACTTTTACTTAACTAATCAGACTGACTCAATGTCATTTTGATCTTAAATAAAAAGAAACTTCCACTTACATGTAGTGGCAGTATGCATGCCTTTGACTTTTATGGCATCTGACCCTTCTGACATCTGCCACCATGTCCAAGCAAGAAGTGACGTCTGCAGAGAACTTACTAACTGCAGCAAGGGAAGTAACTGGTCATTGGCAGCCCCAGACTTCACAACCAGACTAAACTCGTGGAATGTCACCATAACCATGGTTTCCATTACCTCTAAAACTTGTGAAGGGTCAAATGTCTGGAAAAAAATTCATTAGCTTACAGGTGTCTGAGGTTTTCAATTTTTGAAAAAATCCAAATTATTTGAATAAATCTAAGCTTATATAGATGTCATTCTTAGGTAATTATGGACATCTTTTGTAAAACAATAATGACAAAAAGCAGACGTAAACCTCTGTGCACTCAAACAAGACTCAAAGACTCTTCTTGGTTAGCAACTTCACCCTTAGCCTGCTACATTTCTAAAATGAACTTCATTTTTGGAAATGTCCATATTCAGTTTTGCGGATATTAACATGAAAATTTCAACCGATGTAAGTTCAAATTAAAGGGTAATACACATCAATACCAGGACAGGTTTACCATATTTTATTTGTGTCAACTAGTTTCGTCAATACTTGACTTTCATCAGAACCAACATTTTAATTTATAGTCTGCCAACAGTTTAGAGCCTGGTCAGACTGCACAGATGTACAGGTGTTTTTATTGGCCCTGTACTGGTGGCCAAGGCAAATCACTTTCAGTTTCAGCAGGGTAAGAGTTAATTAAAGCATTAAAATATTAAAAGTCATTTAATTTACAACAAACATTTCTAACTATAAAGTCGAGCCAGTCTATTTCATAAATTTAGTATTTTCAAAGTTAATACTAACATCGGTGGGATTTTTCGGCAGGTCTAGTAATCCACGAGGATCAACAGAACTGAAGAATTGGCACAGTGACTGAAATACCAGCATAACTGATGGTGTCTCTGACAGAGTCTGAAAACAGAAAAGAAACAATAAAATGTTAAACATTTGTATGCACACAGTATCAGTTTTAAAATATCTATAAAATTTTACTATTTAAAAAGTGTTGATTTTTTGTTTGATTCTTTTTTTCCATTATATCGACATCCTGGTTGAAAGTAACTGATCATTGGCAGCCCCAGACTTCACAACCAGAATGAACATGTGGAATGTCACCATAACTACGGTTTCCATAACATCAGATGACTGCTTCCTAGATGGCATAACCAGTAATCTCACTTGCGTGCTTTGTCCAAGTTGAAAGAGAATATCACATTCAGTCAGATTGAAACCCAATATCTCTAGATAGGAGTCTGATTTACTTCTACACCACAAAGATGTATAATTGTTAGTGAAAACTATTCTGTTTTATCTTTTAATCCCTTTCATCAGGAATGGATTGTCATAGACAAGGACAATGGATTTAATAGGGAAGTCAGCATATAACTGTTATTAAGTAGGCAAGTAAGCAGACATTTATTCGTTTATCTGTTCTTTGTACTAGATGAATGTTGTCATAAATTGGTATTTCCTTGTAAACCAGCTTTAAGTCTCTAAACATTACAGACAATAAATAATATTCTGTTAACATGAGTGAAGATCTACACATTAATTCTAGAATTTTAATTCTGAAATCTATCCCTAAGATATCAAGGAACAGTTTTAAGTTCACAGCAAGGCAAAATTATTTCACTTCTTCAATACTGTAATGAGAGATAAAAAGATAATATATAAGTAAATCACCTCAACTTTTTGCATCATAGAGAACAGCTGTTTTTTCCTTGCCTCTTTATCAGAGAAGAAAACTGCAGCCCCTGAAATGATGAAACTCATTATTTGTTTTTGTTCACTGGTGTGAATGAAAGTAAGAAAATAAGCTTGTTTTAGATGGAATGAATCTCACATCAAGTTGAGAACTTTTTGTTACTTTCACTTGTGCTTCATTTTCTTATTTCTTTTTTCTTCACTTTTTAGTAAGATAAATTTCATACTTCTTCAAAACAATCATCATTTATTCATCAGTCACTTCAATTAAGTTACTTTGTATAATATTAATCTTAATGCAACCAAACATTCAGTCCAATTAAACTGTAAAATCAATTGCTTTATCAAATTTAAATTTGTCAGTTGAAATCTTTTCAATAGACTTGCTAATTCACACTTTAATGAAGTAATAGAGATAAGTGTTTTACCATCAATAATGAGTTGTCTACACAGTTTATAATGTCGGCTATTTTTATCTATTTTCTGGTTGTCTACAGTTTTACACAAGTGTTGAAATAACGCCTCTGCTGACACCTGCAACAATAATAATTAATACTAATTGATCAATTAACAAAACAGTTAAAGAATATCTTAATTTATTTAACAGGCTAAATTCTAAGATATAATGTGAACTAAATCAAAATTCAATCATTTTAGAAATTATGTTTTACAAAGTGAAAAATAGCCTTTTTTTGTCTTTGTTGGGTTTCATGTCGCACCAGAACAGTTTTGATCATATGGAGACTTTCAAGTTTTACTTGTGGAGGAAGACCTCAGGTGCCTTCTGTACATTATTTTAGGCACGAATGGGCATCTGAGTAAAACCACCCTAGCTGATTAGCTTTCCGACATGAAATGAATCCATAGTAACAGTCAAAATTCAAACCCACAGCAAGGAGAGGCAATTTATTTAAAGTCAACAACCTTAACCACTTGGCCATTAACGCCCCATGAAATATAGCTAACAGAATTGTGGCAAGAATTACATGAAATTGTTCAAACATAAAAAATATAAACAAGTGAGCTTACACAAATAAGTGCTGAGTAAATAAGGGCTCATACAAATATGTGGTAAATATTCAAAGAAATAGAACTGGTATATCAGAAATAGGTCTTAAGTAAAATACTGTTTTATTGACATACCTTACTTTCACCTGACAGTCCAGTGAATGCAGGGAGGAGACAGAAAATCAGTTGTAATGTCATCTGAGAAAATGTCTGCCACTTTTCCTCACCCCTGAATAGATTCATTGCAGAGTTAATTATTGTCATTTGTATGATGTCTATCAAAATTTCTGTTCTGCTTTAAAATCTTCAATACGGTATTCAAATAGGAAGAAACATCTTTATTCATTAATTGAATAATAAAATTAGTTAATTGAATGACAATTTTTGTTAATTGGATAATCATCCTTTTATGAATTTGCATTTATAAATTGTACAGACAGAAAACAAAATTAACATGAATACATAAATGTTGAACTGGGCTTGAGATCTAAACTTACACTTAAAAAATTAGGTGAAGTTAACATACTTTCTTTACCTAAATATCAATACAGAATCATGTTGGACCCAGACCAATGAACCCTGACTGGCAGAAAACTAAATTATAAGATCAATACAAAAAACAAGAGGGCCATGATGGCCCAAAGTCGCTCACCTGTATATAGGCCCCCCGGAGCGGGGCCAGTTTAAACCCCAGGGCTTTTATTTGAACAAACTTGGTTGACACCCATTAGAAGATGTTTCATGCTAAACATCTAAGGTCTAGCTTTATTGGCGTTTTCTAAAAGAAGATTTTTTTATGTCTATATATATATATATATATATATATATATAAAAATATATATGTATACATATTATATAATATATATAATATATATATATATATATATATATATATATATATATATATATATATATATATATAATATATATTCACACATATCTTCACTTACGGGGCCCATATATAAGACCGAGTTGAGTGGCATTATTTCATGCAGTCAATTTTTTATATACGCCACTACTATAGGCCTATAATGAACATTTCCATACAACAGAACTAAGGGGTACTAAGTTATATTATATATAAAACTATAATATTTGATTTTACCATAGGTGAAAAACATATTGACCAATAACAGAAAACCCCATTAAAAATATATACATTTGTGGGACATATATCATTTACTACTAAAACCGGCCTACGGGCACTATGTTAGAAGGGTAGCCTACGCCCCCATACATCGTTTTTAAACATGCCAGAGTTGCGAGGCCTTATGTATGCCCCACATTAAATATACACCCACAAGTATGGTCTCAAATAGACCGATGCCCCGTAAATGGAGGAATGTGACTGATATATATATATATATATATATATATATATATATATATATATGTGTGTGTGTGTGTGTGTGTGTGTGTATGTAATGTATTATATATATATATATATATATATATATATATATATTTATATATATATATATATATATATATATATATATATAATATATTATACATACACAATATTGGTTCCTTACATATATATATATATATACATACATATATATATATAAGATATATATATATAATATATATATATATATAATATGTATATATATATATATATATATAATGTATATATATATATATGTATGTATATATATAATATGTATATATCTAAAAAAAAAGTCGAGCTTAATGAATGGACCCCCGGGGGCGGGGCCAATTTTGACCCCAGGGCTCTTATTTGAACGAACATGGTAGACATCCATTAGAACATGTTTCATGCTAAATATCTTAGCTCTAGCTCTTTGGGTTCTTTCAAAGAAAATTTTTTTAGTTTTACTATATGCATATAGGGAAAATCAATGACCCCTGGGGCGGGGCCAATTTTGACCCCAGGGCTTTTATATTGAACAAACTTGGTAGACACCCATTAGAAGATGTTTTATGCTAAATATCTTAGCTCTAGCTCTTTGGGTTCTTTAAAAGAAGATTTTTTAAAAGTTTTTACTATATACATATAAGGAAAAATCAATGACCCCCAGGGCGGGGCCGATTTTAATTCTAGGAACAAAATTTGAACAACTTTGGTTTTGGATCTATAGATGATACCATAGACCAAATATCAAAGCTCTAGGCCATTTACTTTCAGACCATAAGATTTTTCAAGTTTTCACTATATGTATATAATGAAAATCAATGACCCCCGAGGGCGGGGCCAATTTTTGACCCGAGGGCCATTATTTGAACAATTTTGGTAAAGGTCTACCACACAATGTTTTCATGCCAAAATATCTTACCTGTAGCCTTTGCCAATTCAGAGAAGAAGATTTTTTATGTTTTACTATATACATATTTAGAAACCTATGACCCCCGGGGTGTGGCCAATTTTGACACTAGGGACAAAAATTTGTACAACTTTGGTATTGGACCTTCAGATGATACCATAGACCAAATATCAAAGCTCTAGGCCATTTACTTTCAGACCAGAAGATTTTTCAAGTTTTCACTATATGTATGTAATAAAAATCAATGAACCCCCGGGGCGGGACCAATTTTTGACCCTAGGGCCATTATTTCAACAATCTTGATAGAGGTCTACTACACAATGTTTCATGCCAAATATCTAATCTGTAGCCTTTGCCAAATCAGAGAAGAAGATTTTTTTTAGATTTTAACTATATACATATAAGGAAAAACCTATGACCCCCGGGCGGAGCCAATTTTGACACTAGGGACAAAATTTGAACAACTTTGGTAGAGGACCCATAAGATGATACCATATACCAAAAAATCAAAGCTCTAGGCCATTTACTTTCAGACCAGAAGATTTTTCAAAGTTTTCAGTATATGTATGTAATGAAAATCAAATGACCCCCAGGGCGGGGCCAATTTTTGACCCTAGGGCCATTATTTGAACAATCTTGATAGAGGTCTACCTACACAATGTTCATGCCAATATCTAATCTGTACCTTTTGCCCAAATCAGAGAAGAAGATTGTTTTAGATTTACCTATAGACATATAGGAAAAACCTATGACCCCCCGGGGAGCGGGGCCAATTTTGACAACTAGGGACAAAATTTGAAACAACTTTGTAAATGGACCCATAATGCCATACATAGTACCCCAAAATCAAGCTCCTGGCCCATGTTGTCCACTTTCAAAACAGAAGATTTTAAAAATTTTGTGTTTTTTTAAAATCCTTTTTTCTGGCCCTTTGGCCTACATAATGCAACAAGACCGAAACCATTTGAACAAACTTTGAAAAGGGGGAACCATTTTTCCCAAGGATCATTTCTGCAAAGTTTTGGGTTGAGTGCAGTCCCCCCTTCCCCTTTCATGAGGAGATTTTTTTATGTGAAAAGTTTTGACGACGCACGACCCGCAAGGACCAACGACGAGGACGACGCACACAGGGCGATTCACAATAGCTCACGCCCTGAGCATTGCCAGGTTGCTGCTAATAATACAAGAGGGCCATGATGGCCCTTTTGAGGTCGCTCACCTTGTTGTTATAGGCCCCCCCCCCCCCCCAAAACGTTGCAGAGCCAATTTAACCCAAGAGCTTTTTTATTTGCACAAACTTGGTAAGACACCCATAAGAAGCTGTTTCATGCTAAAACATTTAAGCTTCTAGTCATTGGGCTTTTTAAAAGAAAGATTTTTTTAAAGTTTTTATATACACATAAGTTAAAACAATGACACCCCTGGCGGGCCAGGGCCAGTTTTGACCCCAGGGTCTTTTTTTGAACAAAACTTTGTAGACCACTTTTACTAGAAATGTTTCATGCTTAAATATCTAAAACTCTAGCTATTGGGTTTTTTCAAAGAAGATTTAAAAAGTTTTTGCTAAACACAATTATAAAGAAAACAATGACCCGGACGCGGGTTTCATCATTTTAAAAACGGACCCCCCGGGGCTGTAATTTGAAACAAACTTGGTAGACACCTATTAGAACAACTGTTGCATGCCACCAATATCTTAGCCATAGCTCTTTTGTTCCTTTCTTTTTAAAAGAAGATTTTTTAAGTTTTTACTATATGCATATAGGGAAAAATCAAATGACCCCCCAGGGGCGGGCGGCCAATTTCACCCCAGGCTTTATATTTGAACAAACTTGGTAGACACCCATTAAGAAACCATGTTTCAATGCCTAAATATCTTAGCTCTAGCCTCTTGGGTTCTTTAAAAAGAAATTTTTAAGTTTTTTACTATATGCCACTATAGGGAAAAATCAAATGGAGCCCCCGGGCGGGGCCAATTTTGACCCCAAGGCTTTTATTGAACAAACTTGGTTAGACACACACTAGAAGATGTTTCATGCCAAATATCTAAGCTCTAGCTCTTTGAGTTCTTTAAAGAAAGATTTTTAAGTTTTTACATATAATCATATTAGGGAAAAAATCAATAAACCCCCGGCGGAGGCCAAAATTTTTAAAACCCCAAAAAAGGGGCCTTTTAAAAAAATTTAAAAAAACAAAAAACCCCTTTGGTAAAAAACCCCTAAACTAGAAAAAATTTTTAAAATGCCCAAAATCTAAGCCCTGGGCCTCTTTGAGTTCTTTTAAAAAGTTTTTTTTTTTACAGTTTTACTAAAATGCATTTTGGGGAAAACCCAATAAACCACCCCCCGGCCCCCCGGGGCCCAATTTTTTCACCCCAGGGCTTTTTTTTTTTTTTGAAAAAAACCAAAAATTTTTTGAAAAGAAAAACCCCCCCCCCCCCCACCCTTTTAAAGAACAAAAAATTTGGTTTCTTTTTCCCCTTTAAAAATTTAAATTTCTTTTGGGGGCTTTTTAGGTTTTTTTCTTTTTTGGGTTTCTTAAAAGAAAAAATTTTTTTAATTTTTTTTCCCTTTTATATGCATGGGGGGGAAAAAAATCCAAATTGGACCCCCCCGGGGCGGGGGCCCCAATTTCCCTAACCCCAGGGCTTTTATTTGAACAAAAATTTTGGGAAAGGCCCAATTTTCCAAAAAAAGGAAGTTTTTGTTTCAGGGTTTAAATATCAAAAGCCCCTAAGCTTTTATGGTTTTTAAAAAAAAGGGGAATTTTAAATTTAAAGTTTTTTCTTTCGGTTCCGGGGGGGCAACCAGATTTTTGCTTTTGGGAATTAAATTTTTTGAAAAAATTTTTTAAAGGGGCCCCAAAAAAGGGAACATTCCTTGAAATTTTGGTTTTGGAAATTGGTTTTAGGGGTTTTTAATGAGGAATGTCTTTTTAAAGAAAAAAGTTTACGGACAGGCAGGTACCGGGGGGACGAAGGGGACGGGGGACAAGGGAAACGGACCCGGACGAAAAACCCAAATCACAAAAGCTCCCCCTTTTTTTGTGACAGGTAAATTTAAATTAATGAAAATTTAAAGGTTGTAAATTTTTAAACCTTGTTTCAAAATTTGTAATAATAATATCACACAGGATATAACCTGGTATAGAGTTTGGGAAATCTAGGTCCCTTCCTCCCCGGGTACTGTACATGCTGGGAAATCTTTTTAAGGGTCATCAAAAATTTGACATAAAATATTGTATTATCTCTGCACGGGTAAAATTTTTCCTTTTCTTCTCTGGTTTTGGGGGGTGTTTACCTTCCATATTGAAAAAAATATAATTTAAAAATAAATGATAAAATCACAGTGTTCAACGGGACAGTGATTCACATGTTTCAACATGTACATTTTGATATTACAGTGCCCAAAACATGTCCCCATTTAATAACATGTTAAAAACTTTACAGTGATATAACAGTGTTAAACTGAAACTTGATAAAACCCAGTATAACAGTCAACATGTGCAGTGACTATAACAGTGTTTCAACATGTACAGTTTTCAACTGATGATTACAGGAATCCAACATGTTACAGTGATATAACAGTGTTCAACATGTCACTGTGATATAACAGTGTTCAACATGTACAGTGCATATTACAGTGTCCAACATGTACAGTGATATCACAGTTTTCAACACTGTACAGTGATAATCACAGTGTCCAACATGTACAGTGATATAACAGTGGCCCAACCATGTACAGTGATATCACAGTAATTTCAACATGACAGTCGATAATCACAGTGTTCCAAACATGTACAAGTGATATAAAACAGTGTTTCATGACATGTGCAGTGTATATCACAGTATTCAACATTATGTACAGTGAATATCACAAGTATTCAAAACAATGTACAGTATATAACAGTGTCAACAGGTGTACTGGATATCTCAGTGTCCAACTAACATGCCACAGTCGATATCAGTGTTCTAACATGTACAGTCATATCACAGTTCCAAACATGTACAGTGATATCACAGTGTTCAACATGTACAGTGATATCACAGTGTTCAACATGTACAGTGATATCACAGTGTTCAACATGTACAGTGATATCACAGTGTTCAACATGTACAGTGATATAACAGTGTTCAACATGTACAGTGATATAACAGTGTTCAACATGTACAGTGATATCACAGTATTCAACATGTACAGTGATATCACAGTATTCAACATGTACAGTGATATAACAGTGTTCAACATGTACTGTGATATCTCAGTGTCCAACATGTACAGTGATATCAGTGTTCAACATGTGCAGTGATATCACAGTATTCAACATGTACAGTGATATCACAGTATTCAACATGTACAGTGATAATCACAGTGTCCAACATGTACAGTGATATCAAAGTGTTCAACATGTACAGTGATATCAAAGTGTCCAACATGTACAGTGGTATAACAGTGTTCAACATGTACAGTGATATCACAGCATTCAATGTGTACAGTGATATCACAGTGATCAACATTTACAGAGATTAAGTCATCCATATTTATTTCTCATCAGCTACAAATAAACATGTAAAACACTTAATAGTGTGCTGAAAATTAAAAAACAAAATAATTCAAATAAACCTACCACAACTTGATCATCAACATTGACAGGTTTTCTGGTGAAACCGAAGAACTTAATTCCTGAAATACCAATCACAGAACTTGTCTTCCTTGGTTCCAGAAACTTCACCAGTACATACTGAAACAAACAAGATCACTCTAAGAAACTATCATTACATACTGAAACAAACAAGATCACTCTAAGAAACTTTCATTACATACTGAAACAAACAAGATCACTCTAAGAAACTTTCACTACATAATGAAACAAACAAGATCACTCTAAGAAACTTTCATTACATACTGAAACAAGCAAGATCACTCTAAGAAACTATCATTACATACAGAAACAAACAAGATCACTCTAAGAAACTTTCATTACATACAGAAACAAACAAGATCACTCTAAGAAACTATCATTACATACTGAAACAAACAAGATCACTCTAACAAACTTTCTTTACATACTGAAACAAACAAGATCACTCTAAGAAACTATCTTTACATACTGAAACAAACAAGATCACTCTAAGAAACTATCTTTACATACTGAAACAAACAAGATCACTCTAAGAAACTATCTTTACATACTGAAACAAACAAGATCACTGTAACAAACTTTCTTTACATACTGAAACAAACAAGATCACTCTAACAAACTTTCTTTACATACTGAAACAAACAAGATCACTCTAACAAACTTTCTTTACATACTGAAACAAACAAGATCACTCTAACAAACTTTCTTTACATACTGAAACAAACAAGATCACTCTAAGAAACTATCTTTACATACTGAAACAAACAAGATCACTCTAACGAACTTTCTTTACATACTGAAACAAACAAGATCACTCTAAGTAACTATCTTTACATACTGAAACAAACAAGATCACTCTTACGAACTTTCTTTACATACTGAAACAAACAAGATCACTCTAACAAACTTTCTTTACATACTGAAACAAACAAGATCACTCTAACAAACTTTCTTTACATACTGAAACAAACAAGATCACTCTAAGAAACTATCTTTACATACTGAAACAAACAAGATCACTCTAACGAACTTTCTTTACATACTGAAACAAACAAGATCACTCTAACAAGCTTTCTTTACATACTGAAACAAACAAGATCACTGTAAGAAACTATCAGTATATACTGAAACAAACAAGATCAAACAATAACAATTAAGATAAATTTAGGAAAAATATAAGATAATTTATGAATATTAAACATGTAAAGAGAATGAACAATTATTCCATATAAGATTAACAAACCTGTCCAACTGGGTGCCAAGAAACAGGGACTTCTATCTCATCACTGCAATTAAAATAAATTTCATCCCCATTTAACGAATTTCTTACCAAATAAAGTTAAATGTAAAGTATCTGAAAACTTTTAATAAAATATAATATCATATCACTGATCAAAATGAACAAAAAAAATAGTGTTAGCTGAGAGTTTATCAGGCGAACCAAAACTTCATTGCATTTTGTGTCATAAAGTTTTTATCTGCTGGTCGTGTTTTCTCCGATATCGGTGGCGGGGTCATGACCTCATTCCCGTCGGTTTCGGGGCAAATACGACTAGTTTTCATAAACCTGTCATTTCATAGTTTTAGTTTTGGTCATATATCAAGCCTGGATACTGTGCGCTTGCCAAGAAGACTTAAATATTTTAAGTCAAGTTGCGTTTCTAGGGATTTTTGCCCAAATGACAACGTAGTCTGGCAATCCTAGCTTGCCTTGTTTCTGTTACGCTTGCTTTGGTTTTCCCGTGAGTCTAGCTTGCTTTATTCGTAACAGTTTTTGGTGAAACTATACTATTCCACACAGTGTTTTGCTCGTTTGGTTTGCCAGTTATTTGCATACATCTTTTTAACTCTCAGCTAGATGGAATATTTACGTCATATGGCAGTTGCTTTATGGCATTCCCTGTTATATAAGTGGCCATATTTCTCCAATCTTAATATCTGGGAACATTTTGATGTTAAGGTTGATTGAATAAAAGTGTAAACTATACTATTTGTTATTCATTTTTCGTATGATAAAATAATGTTTTTTTATTGATATGTTAATTATATGTGCTTTTACTTCATAGATGTCTTTAGCTCAGACTTGAACGAGTATATTAAACAAAACATATCAGTAACCATGACAAATGCTCCCAAATGAGACATTTAAACAGAAAAGTGGGAAAATGCTTTCTGTCTCAGTTATCTTGGCAAGGACAATCTGTTACTCAACTCAGAGGTGTAGGTCCATAGCAGGTGCCAACACACCAAATATATTAATATGTCAGTCAAAGAAAGAAGGTGATAGGAGTTAAATAAAATAGGACCAAAGAACATAATAAACTAAGGGCAAAAGAGCCATTACTATACGCTACATTAAACTATTTCAGGTAGCAATAAAACACAGATAGAAATAAGTGAAAATTATTTACCAATCATCATCTAATGAAAAGTATGCCACAGGGTTGTCAGGTTTGCCTGCTATACCAGCACTTCTGTTAATATAAAACACATTGTAAATATTACATGTTTGTCATGTTTTATAAGAAATCAAACAGATTCACGAGAATCAGAATAACTTTGACTTCATCTTCTTATTGTAACTAGCCAGACTATCATGAACATCTAGCTAGAACACTAGCTCTAAACTATTCTGCTAAAAAATTCAAAGTATAAATAGAACACTCGTGTTTAATTTTTTCTTGTTTTTCTTGTTGTTTTACTGATATGTATTCAATATTATTGAACAATTAAAGCTGGAAAGTCACTGTTTGACATTTAGATTCTTCGTATAATTTAAAGCACAACCCTCATAAACTTAGTTTGATAAAAACAATCTATAAACAGTATCATTACATATATTGTAGATAACCTTAAGTGCACTTTTTTTCCAATCATTATATTTTTAATATAATACAAATTATAAAAAGAAGAATCTACGCATAACCTTACCTGACTTGTACACTAAACTGATACTCTAGTTTTCCCCAGCTATCATAGGCCTGAAATCTCTGTACATGCTGTGCCAGATTAAACTCCTCCCTGTAACACAAAATCATTATATTTTCACCTGAGTGCAATAGCAGAATAAGTCCTTCTAAATTTAACAACAGTTAATCAGTTATTGCACTAAGGTGAGGATTAATTGAATTTATTATTCTCTTTATAAACTTCTGTGTGTATGCACATTTACATTAACAAGAGGGCCATGATGGCCCTGAGGTCGCTCACCTGTATATAGGCCCCCCACCCCCGGGCCAATTTTTACCCAAGGGCTTTTATTTGTTTATTTGAACAGACTTGGTAGACACCCATAAGAAGATGTTTCATGCTAAACATCTAAGTTCTAGCTCATTGGCTTTTTTAAAAGAAGATTTTTAAAGTTTTTACTATACACATATAGTTAAAAACAATGTCACCCCCCCCCCCCCCGGGCAGGGCCAGTTTTGACCCCAGGGCTTTTATTTGAACATACTTGGTAGACACCCATTAGAACATGTTTTATGCTAAATATCTTAGCTCTAGCTCTTTGAGTTCTTTAAAAGAAGATTTTTTAAGTTTTTACTATATGCATATAGGGAAAATCAATGACCCCCTGGGGCGGGGCCAATTTTGACCCCAGAGCTTTTATTTGAACAAACTTGGTAGACACTCATTAGAAGATGTTTCATGCTAAATATCTTAGCTCTAGCTCTTTGGGTTCTTTAAAAGAAGATTTTTAAGTTTTTACTATATGCATATAGGGAAAATCTATGACCCCCTGGGGCAGGGTCAATTTTGACCCCAGGGCTTTTATTTGAACAAACTTGGTAGACATTCACTAGAAGATGTTTCATGCCAAATATCTAAGCTCTAGCTCTTATGGTTCTTTAAAAGAAGATTTTTTAAGTTTTTACCATATGCATATAGGGAAAATCAATGACCCCTGGGGCGGGGCCAATTTTGACCCCAGGGCTTTAATTTGAACAAACTTGGTAGACACTCACTAGAAGATGTTTCATGCTTAATATCTTAGCTCTAGCTCTTTGGGTTCTTTAAAAGAAATTTTTTTAAGTTTTTACTATATGCATGCATATAGGGAAAATCTATGACCCCCTGGGGCGGGGTAATTTTGACCCCAGGGCTTTTATTTGAACAAACTTGGTAGACATTCACTAGAAGATGTTTCATGCCAAATATCTAAGCTCTATCTCTTATGGTTCTTTAAAAGAAGATTTTTTAAGTTTTTACTATATGCATATAGGGAAAATCAATGACCCCCGGGGCGGGGCAAATTTTGACCCCAGGGCTTTAATTTGAACAAACTTGGTAGACACTCACTAGAAGATGTTTCATGCTTAATATCTTAGCTCTAGCTCTTTGGGTTCTTTATAGGGAGATTTTTTAAGTTTTTACTATATGCATATAGGGAAAATCAATGACCCCCTGGGTCGGGGCCAATTTTGACCCCAGGGCTTTTATTTGAACAAACTTGGTAGACATTCACTAGAAGATGTTTCATGCCAAATATCTAAGCTCTAGCTCTTACGGTTCTTTAAAAGAAGATTTTTTAAGTTTTTACTATATGCATATAGGGAAAATCAATGACCCCCAGGGGCGGGGCCAATTTTGACCCCAGGGGTCTTTTATTTGAACAAACTTGGTAGACACTCACTAGAAGATGTTTCATGCCAAATATCTAAGCTCTAGCTCTTATGGTTTTTTAAAAGAAGATATTTAAAGTTTATTCTTTTGGTTGCCATGGCAACCAGAGTTCTGCATGGAATTAAATTCTTTGAACAATTTTTAAAGGTGACCACCAAAGGAACATTCCTGTGAAGTTTGGATGAAATTGGCTCAGTGGTTTATGAGGAGATGTCATTTAAAGCAAAAGTTTACGGACAGACGGACGGACGCCGGACGGACGGACGCCGGACGAAAAGCGATCACAAAAGCTCACCCTGTCACTTTGTGACAGGTGAGCTAAAAATACCTTGATCAAGGACTTGAATTATGCTGGGGTCAATTTCTATAGGCCAGGATCACGTCATACACAGACAGGCTAAGTTTTATTCAGACTAGACAATTCTACGAGTGCTGAAGACAAAGTCTTTACAAACATTCTATTATATTGACAAACTGCTAAAATAAAATGAAATCATGGCATGATTGTAACAATAACTTGTAACTTATTTATTACTTACATGTCTCTGTAAACAAATACTAGTCCCCTTTTGGCACCTTTAACACCAGACACAACCTGTACAAAGAACCGGAGCAAAATAAACACATGGAAAAATAAAATATCTATGCACCAGTTCATATACTTTTGGATTTTCATAATAATTGCACTGTATATATAACAGATATGCTATTTGTAGAAGTTAATTATATCTCATCAATTTGCTATCCCTACCATCCAGATTTGTATAGCATGAAAATAAAAGTTCTATACCTGGTAGGTTAATAATTTACCTTGCCCTAACAAATGTAAACTTCTCTATAAAATTTACAATGATAAGCATAGAACAAATTGTTCTAGAGCTATTATCGTTAACCAAACTAAAATGGTAAAAATTAATTTGCCATGGAAAAAACTACACTGCCGTGAAAAAGTGGAATAGCTATAGAACATCAAAATTGACATGAAAATTCCACGTTGATATGGAAAATTTCAAACATTAAAAAAATTAAAAACTGCCATGGTCAAGTCTGCACTGCAATGGAAATACTTGTGAAGAACTTACCAATACATAGTTTGTAGACCTACATTATATCAACTGTGCTAACCAAAAGTGATTTGCAGGAAATTGACAATTCAAAATTATATAAACAAATAACCTTTATTTTCAGCTTAGATAGTTGTATCAATTCTGAAGACTTGAAGAACATGTTCACTTTTGTTGTGCCCTCGGCTGTCAAATATGCTGAAATTAAATGATAAAGCTGATATTGGAATATCTGTCACGAGGAGACCTGCCCATTGGGCGAAAAGGAAGCTTGCTGAGTTATCGCCCAGCGGCAAGTTCCCAAGGGAGGAATATCCAGATTCAAACTGCAAACATATGTCTGATATTTTTTCTTGCATATTCTACCATATTCCATTATATTTTAAACTCTTTACCTCAATTAAACAATTTTCCATGGAAATTTAGGTCATAACACCAATAACTATTTTCTTACAACAGCGTATGAAATAACAAATTCATTCATAACGGTAAAATTACATCATCCTAAGCATGCCATTGTACAGCATGAGACTCATCTGGCACCCCCATGTCCGATGAATTTTCTGGCTTGTGTAAAATTAACAGAAATGCCAGTCTGATGCAAGAAATATATTTGTTAATATTTTACTCTTATGAAATAAAGTGTTTATTATTATCATTACTATAATTACATTTAATTAGGTATAAACAATGTAAATGTTGTGTAACAATGACGGACACATTGAGCAAAAAATGATGTATATGTCTAGTATAAAGATTAAAGAGTGTTTACGTGGTGAAGGGTCTGTCCAGGAGGGTGTGAGGACGTTCTCTGGTTTAGAATTATCGTGTTCCTCCGATGTACCACCATCGCTGCCCGCTACAGTCAACTGTAACTGATAACCTGTAACACAAAAACTCATACTTACTGAATATACAGTATATGTGTACATGTAACATGGGGAGTTGGTAAGGTAAGTAAATATAATGAATGTAGGACGAAACCCCACATGTCCAAAACCCCACACATGATTTTTATAGAGTGGACGAAACCCCACACCTTTAATTGTATGGTAAAATAGTATGATGCTAATTAGAAAAATATTAAACAATTTTAACAAACAGGAGGAAGCAAAGTGACATATTGTAGTGTTGCTGTTTAATTAAATCATCTAATCTTCTCTTATCAGCATCTAACTGGCTTACAAGTTGATCAACTTCTTGTATGCACAATCAACTTCTTGTATGCACAATCAACTTCTTGTATGCATGACTCATTTTAAATAAACACTGTTGAAGACAGCTTATAAGAAATAGACATTTATAAGACAATCAAAAAATTTCAAATTCAGGCCTTCTTGTAGGATGAAAAAACAGACAATGAATTCTTATTGATTTTGATGGGTTAAAAGCATCTTCTGACAGGCAGATAGCTAGCAAAGTTTCTTGATTTTATACCAGTAATGACCTGCTGGGTTGTTTTTCTCAATAATTGTTAACTTCTTCACATATATACATTGAAAAAAAAACAACAACCCAACAATATGGTGGATAGAAAGATAAATCTAATTTAAGATAATAAATGTTTTGTTTAAATAACAAATAATCAAGAAACAGAGTTACCAAACTTACCAATCTTTTCCCAGCAATGGTCCCTGGCTTTATACATCTTGGCCATCAAATGAGTACATGGTAGAGACAAGTCTGTGTGTTCTAAAATATATGAGCCGTGTCATGACAAAACCAACGTAATGCGCTTGCGACCAGCATGGATCCAGACCAGCCTGCGCATCCGCGCAGTCTGATCAGGATCCTTGCTGTTCGCTATCAGTTTCTCTACTTGTAATAGAGTTGGTAAGCGAACAGCATGGATCCTGGTTTTGTCATGACGCGGCTCATATCATGAAAGCAAAGGTATAGTTGTAGAGCACAAGACTCCTAATTCTGAGGTCATGGGTTCAAATCCATCAAATATAATATTCTTTTTTGTTTTGACTTCTATCAAGACTGGTATGATAACTGAGACCCAGGAACTAGTCATCTGGGGTGACTAAATGTGAATGTGATTTGACATTAGAGTAAAAAGACAAAACAAACCAAAATAATGTTGGCTTTAAGTTTTTAACCTCATGAGTAATGGCCATGATTATAAAAGGCCATGATGGCCCTGAGGTCGCTCACCTGTATATAGGCCCCCGGAGCGGGGCCAGTTTGAAACCCAAGGGCTTTTATTTGAACAAACTTGGAAGACACTCATTAATTAGAAGATGTTTCACAATGTTAGGTTTTTACTACACACATGTAATGAAAAACAATGATCTCACCCGCCCCCCGTCCCCCCCCCCTGCCACCTCGCCCCTGCAACCCCCCCCCCCCCCCCCGGCAGGGCCAATTTTCACCCAAGGGCTTTTATTTGAACAAACTTTGTAGACATCCATAAGAAGATATTTCATGCTAAACATCTAAGCTCTAGCTCATTGGGTTTTTTAAAAGAAGATGTTTAAGGTTTTACTACACACATATAGTTAAAAACAATGACACCCCTGTGGTGGGGCCAATTTTGACCCCAGGGCTTTTATTTGAACAAACTTTGTAGACACTCACTAGAAGATGTTTCATGCTTAATATCTAAACTCTAGCTATTTGGGTTTTTTCAAAGAAGATTATTTAAGTTTTTGCTATACACATATAAGGAAAATCAATGACCCCCGGGCGGGGCCAATTTTGACCCCAGGGCTTTTATTTGAACAAACTTTGTAGACGTTTATTAGAAGATGTTTCATGCTGAATATCTTAGCTCTAGCTCTTTGAGTTCTTTCAAAGAAGATTTTGTAAGTTTTTACTATATGCATATAGGGAAAATCAATGACCCCCTGGGGCGGGGCCAATTTTGACCCCAGGGCTTTTATTTGAACAAACTTGGTACACACTCATTAGAAGATGTTTCATGCTGAATATTTTAGCTCTAGCTCTTTGGGTTCTTTAAAAGAAGAATTTTTAAGTTTTTACTATATGCATATAGGGAAAATCAATGACCCCCTGGGGCGGGGCCAATTTTGACCCCGGGGCTTTTATTTGAACAAACTTGGTAGACACTCACTAGAAGATGTTTCATGCCAAATATCTAAACTCTAGCTATTTAGGTTTTTTCAAAGAAGATTTTTTAAGTTTTTACTATATGCATATAGGGAAAATCAAGACCCCCCGGGGCGGGGCCAATTTTGACCCCAGGGCTTTTATTTGAACAAACTTTGTAGACACTCACTAGAAGATATTTCATGCTTAATATCTAAACTCTAGCTATTTGGGTTTTTTCAAAGAAGATTATATAAGTTTTTGCTATACACATATAAGGAAAATCAATGACCCCCGGAGTGGGGCCAATTTTGACCCCAGGGCTTTTATTTGAACAAACTTGGTAGACACCCATTCGAAGATGTTTCATGCTGAATATCTTAGCTCTAGCTCTTTGAGTTCTTTCAAAGAAGATTTTGTAAGTTTTTACTATATGCATATAGGGAAAATCAATGACCCCCTGGGGCGGGGCCAATTTTGACCCCAGGGCTTTTATTTGAACAAACTTGGTACACACTCATTAGAAGATGTTTCATGCTGAATATCTTAGCTCTAGCTCTTTGGGTTCTTTAAAAGAAGAATTTTTAAGTTTTTACTATATGCATATAGGGAAAATCAATGACCCCCTGGGGCGGGGCCAATTTTGACCCCAGGGATTTTATTTGAACAAACTTGGTAGACACTCACTAGAAGATGTTTCATGCCAAATATCTAAGCTCTAGCTCTTAGGGTTTTTTAAAAGAAGATATTTAAAGTTTTTTTCTTTCGGTTGCCATGGCAACCAGAGTTCTGCATGGAATTAAATTCTTTGAACAATTTTTAAAGGTGACCACCAAAGGAACATTCCTGTGAAGTTTGGATGAAATTGACTTAGTGGTTTATGAGGAGATGTCATTTAAAGTAAAAGTTTACGGACGGACAACGGACGGATGGATGCCGGACGAAAAGCGATCACAAAAGCTCACCCTGTCACTTTGTGACAGGTGAGCTAAAAATAATGCTCTAAACTTTTTCGGGATTGAAGGCAAGATCAAGGGGCCAAAACTTTTTGGGGTTTGATGGGAAAGGTAAAGGGTCCCGCTGAGACAGAAAAATGATGTCATTAAAAAGTTAGCAAATAAACAAGATTTTTTGCTGATAATATCATTTAACTTCAAATTATCTCTCTCTTAAAATGCCACAGTGCTTTACATGTTTAATGATTTAAATCTGAAAATTAAAAACTATGTACTGAGCTCTAAAAGATTTGGAATAACATTATATATGTGGACATTTTACAAAACTGCTGTATTGTTGTTTTTTTTTTCCACTCATTTCATGGAGGATGTTAAATGAGTGTAGGTTCAATACTAAATTTATTGAGTAAGTTGAAAACAATCATAAAGTGAGTCTTCGGCGAGCATAATATTGGGGTTTTTTTTCAATGTGTTTGATAAATTTAGTGATGAACCTACACAAATATCATATTCTATTCATCACATATTCAAAATAAGAACTGTTTACATTAAAAAGGAATGTTTTTTTTTCCATTGACTCGCTTAGTTAGTGCTATCATTTTTGGTATGAGAATTATCTATCATAGACCCATTTCAGTGTTGATGTAAGAATTAAATTTGAACAAAATAAATTTCATACAAACCTTGAAGAATTTTAATGGTACGTATTAACCCTCCTGTATGTGATCTAGCTAGATTGAATGCTAACAACAGATGTACCCCATCAGCTAACACGTCATTGTTTTGTCTATAAATAGAATCACAATAATCTTTTTAATTATATTTTATATTTCTTTTCAAAATATCATATTTGGTATTTAATAACAATGATTATCAAGTTTGCAATAAATGTCATTTCAATAACATGCATTACAAATTTTATTATAAATGTCATTGCAAATACAAGAAATAATTTCATCACATTCATGATTATATAAGAAAAAAGTTTGTTCAACAAATATCAAAAATGGTGCATAAATTTAAAAAAAATCAAGTCAATTATTTCCAGCATTAATAAATAACAATGGCAAAATTGTTCATTCATTTATCTGATATGAAATATAATAAATTTTGTAATCAGATAAGTACAAAAATAAAATGAATTCAACATTTTTAGTTAGTGTTTTAGTTAATCTAATTTATATTTTAATATTCATCTAAATGTATATTTAATAGAATTAAATTGAAATTGATAATAACCAAACCAAAAGAAAAATAAATAATAAATTAATTACAATGAAATGTGTGAAAATCAAAATTCAAATACTTTGAGCAAACAATCACTCAACTGTAGCCCAAACAAGCCAATTATCACCTAACCAATTAACCACTCCTTTAATCTTAGTGGACAGCATGGACAGTGCTGCCTTTTATCACTCAATGTTCAATCAAATACACTGATTGATTAATCTGTCACTGGGAGATATAATTCTAATGAATATCAATGGAAAGGATAGCTTGGTTAAAAAATCTGTCACACATAACTGAGCCAAATGTCATTTAAACAGTAACCCTTTATATACCTTCCACTAAACCAGAACTTACATCAATTTACAACAGTTCACTGAGTTATAAACATTTATTTATTTATCAAACTTAAATTACTACAAACATTGTTAAAATTAATTTTCGAAACATGTAAAAATCAACATAAAGACTGGAAAAAGTGACGATGCTACCTATTTCTTGGTACATGCTTAGTGCTTGTGTAAATATACTACTAGCACTAGCCTGTGCTTGGGACCAGGAGCAATAATCAACATAAAGACAGGATGAAGAGATGATGCTACCTATTTCTTGGTACATGCTTAGTGCTTGTGTAAATATACTACTAGCACTAGCCTGTGCTTGGGACAAGGAGCAATAATCAACATAAAGACAGGATGAAGAGATGATGCTACCTATTTCTTGGTACATGCTTAGTGCTTGTGTAAATATACTACTAGCACTAGCCTGTGCTTGGGACCAGGAGCAATAATCAACATAAAGACAGGAAGGAAAGATGATGCTTCCTATTTCTTGGTACATGCTTAGTGCTTGTGTATATATACTACTAGCACTAGCCTGTGCTTGAGACCAGGAGCAATAATCAACATAAAGACAAGCAAGAAGGAAAAAGACAGGATGAAAGATGATGCTATCTATTTCTTGGTACATGCTTAGTGCTTGTGTATATATACTACTAGCACTAGCCTGTGCTTGGGACCAGGAGCAATAATCAACATAAAGACAGGATGAAGAGATGATGCTACCTATTTCTTGGTACATGCTTAGTGCTTGTGTATATATACTACTAGCACTAGCCTGTGCTTGGGACCAGGAGCAATAATCGACATAAAGACAAGCAAGAAGGAAAGATGATGCTACCTATTTCTTGGTACATGCTTAGTGCTTGTGTATATACACTACTAGCACTAGCCTGTGCTTGGAACCAGAAGCAATAATCAACATAAAGACAGGAAGGAAAGATGATGCTACCTATTTCTTGGTACATGCTTAGTGCTTGTGTAAATATACTACTAGCACTAGCCTGTGCTTGGGACCAGGAGCAATAATCAACATAAAGACAGGAAGGAAAGATGATGCTACCTATTTCTTGGTACAAGCTTAGTGCTTGTGTAAATATACTACTAGCACTAGCCTGTGCTTGGGACAAGGAGCAATAATCAACATAAAGACAGGATGAAGAGATGATGCTACCTATTTCTTGGTACATGCTTAGTGCTTGTGTAAATATACTACTAGCACTAGCATGTGCTTGGGACAAGGAGCAATAATCAACATAAAGACAGGATGAAGAGATGATGCTACCTATTTCTTGGTACATGCTTAGTGCTTGTGTATATACACTACTAGCACTAGCCTGTGCTTGGAACCAGAAACAATAATCAACATAAAGACTGGATGAAGAGATGATGCTACCTATTTATTGGTACATGCTTAGAGCTTGTGTAAAAACACTACTAGCACTAGCCTGTGCTTGGGACAAGGAGCAATAATCAACATAAAGACTGGATGAAGAGATGATGCTACCTATTTCTTGGTACATGCTTAGTGCTTGTGTAAAAATACTACTAGCACTAGCCTGTCGAGCAATAATCAACATAAAGACAGGATGAAGAGATGATGCTACCTATTTCTTGGTACATGCTTAGAGCTTGTGTAAATATTCTACTAGCACTAGCCTGTGCTTGGGACAAGGAGCAATAATCAACATTAAGACAGGAAGGAAAGATGATGATACCTATTTCTTGGTACATGCTTAGTGCTTGTGTAAATATACTACTAGCACTAGCCTGTGCTTCGAACCAGAAGCAATAATCAACATAAAGACAGGAAGGAAAGATGATGCTACCTATTTCTTGGTACATGCTTAGTGCTTGTGTAAATATACTACTAGCACTAGCCTGTGCTTGGGACCAGGAGCAATAATCGACATAAAGACAAGCAAGAAGGAAAGATGATGCTACCTATTTCTTGGTACTTGCTTAGTGCTTGTGTAAAAACACTACTAGCACTAGCATGTGCTTGGACAAGGAGCAATAATCAACATAAAGACAGGATGAAGAGATGATGCTACCTATTTCTTGTTACATGCTTAGTGCTTATGTAAATATACTACTAGCACTAGCCTGTGCTTGGGACCAGGAGCAACAATGAACATAGAGACAGGAAGGAAAGATAATGCTACCTATTTCTTGGTACATGCTTAGTGCTTGTGTAAATATACTACTAGCACTAGCCTGTGCTTGGGACAAGGAGCAATGATCAACATAAAGACAGGATGAAGAGATGATGCTACCTATTTCTTGGTACATGCTTAGTGCTTGTGTAAATATACTACTAGCACTAGCATGTGCTTTGGACAAGGAGCAATAATCAACATAAAGACAGGATGAAGAGATGATGCTACCTATTTCTTGGTACATGCTTAGTGCTTGTGTATATACACTACTAGCACTAGCCTGTGCTTGGAACCAGAAGCAATAATCAACATAAAGACAGGATGAAGAGATGATGCTACCTATTTCTTGGTACATGCTTAGTGCTTGTGTAAATATACTACTAGCACTAGCCTGTGCTTGGGACCAGGGGCAATAATCAACATAAAGACAGGAAAAAGTGATGATGCTACCTATTTCTTGGTACATGCTTAGTGCTTGTGTAAATATACTACTAGCACTAGCCTGTGCTTGGGACCAGGAGCAAAAATCAACATAAAGACAAGCAAGAAGGAAAGATGATGCTACCTATTTCTTGGTACATGCATAGTGCTTGTGTAAAAACACTACTAGCACTAGCCTGTCGAGCAATAATCAACATAAAGACAGGATGAAGAGATGATGCTACCTATTTCTTGGTACATGCTTAGTGCTTGTGTAAATATTCTACTAGCACTAGCCTGTGCTTGGGACAAGGAGCAATAATCAACATAAAGACAGGAAGAAAAGATGATGCTACCTATTTCTTGGTACATGCTTAGTGCTTGTGTAAATATACTACTAGCACTAGCCTGTGCTTGGAACCAGAAGCAATAATCAACATAAAGACAGGAAGGAAAGATGATGCTACCTATTTCTTGGTACATGCTTAGTGCTTGTGTAAATATACTACTAGCACTAGCCTGTGCTTGGGACCAGGAGCAATAATCAACATAAAGACAGGAAGGAAAGATGATGCTACCTATTTCTTGGTACATGCTTAGTGCTTGTGTAAATATACTACTAGCACTAGCCTGTGCTTGGGACCAGGAGCAATAATCAACATAAAGACAGGATGAAGAGATGATGCTACCTATTTCTTGGTACATGCTTAGTGCTTGTGTAAATATACTACTAGCACTAGCCTGTGCTTGGAACCAGGAGCAATAATCAACATAAAGACAGGAAGAAGAGATGATGCTACCTATTTCTTGGTACATGCTTAGTGCTTGTGTAAAAACACTACTAGCACTAGCCTGTGCTTGGGACAAGGAGCAATAATCAACATAAAGACAGGATGAAGAGATGATACTACCTATTTCTTGGTACATGCTTAGTGCTTGTGTAAATATTCTACTAGCACTAGCCTGTGCTTGGGACAAGGAGCAATAATCAACATAAAGACAGGAAGAAGAGATGATGCTACCTATTTCTTGGTACATGCTTAGTGCTTGTGTAAATATACTACTAGCACTAGCCTGTGCTTGGAACCAGAAGCAATAATCAACATAAAGACAGGAAGGAAAGATGATGCTACCTATTTCTTGGTACATGCTTAGTGCTTGTGTAAATATACTACTAGCACTAGCATGTGCTTGGGACAAGGAGCTATAATCAACATAAAGAAAGGATGAAGAGATGATGCTACCTATTTCTTGGTCATGCTTAGTGCTTGTGTAAATATACAACTAGCACTAGCCTGTGCTTGGGACAAGGAGCAATGATCAACATAAAGACAGGAAGAAGAGATGATGCTACCTATTTCTTGGTACATGCTTAGTGCTTGTGTAAATATACTTCGAGCACTAGCCTGTGCTTGGGATAAGGAGCAAAAATCAACATAAAGACAGGAAGAAGAGATGACACTACCTATTTCTTGGCACATGCTTAGTGCTTGTGTAAATATACTATTAGCACTAGCCTGTGCTTGGGACCAGGGGCAATAATCAACATAAAGACAGGAAAAAGTGATGATGCTACCTATTTCTTGGTACATGCTTAGTGCTTGTGTAAATATACTACTAGCACTAGCCTGTGCTTGGGACCAGGAGCAATAATCGACATAAAG